TAGGCTTTTCTTTAAGGGTTTTTATAATAATATAGTAAAGCTATTAAATCTAGATAGCTTCTTAGGCTATATTATATTAAGAAATATACTTTACTTTAGTAGTTAAGTATATAATAATATTCTATAGCTTTAAGTACTAGGATATAATACTACTCTTTAAGGTAATAATAAAGCTACTAATAGATTTATATATTTATTAGTAGCTAGTATAGTTAGTATTATAGTAGACTTAAGGTTCTTTATTAAGTTCTATAAAAATAAGTTTATAGTTAATAGTACCTTTAATATATTATAGAAGCTATTTTAAGCTAGTAATATATTCTACTAATAAGGTAGCTATAAATCTATAATAATAGTTAATAATAAAGTAAATATTAGGCTTAGAATAGTTAGAAAGATAAATTAAGCCTTTATAAGTCTTAGTATACTAGCTATTCTTAATAGTTAGCTATTACTTAATACTTTTAGTAGTAGGATTTATTAGTAGGTTATAAGGTTTATAATTAAGGAGGCTAGCTTCTTTTAGAAGGGCTTTAGTATATTTACTTTAGAAGAGTATAAGGGTTCTTATATATTAGTCCTAGTAGATATTAATACTAAGATAGTAGCTAATAGGGCCTATATTTATTATCTTATAGGTATTTAATAGGGCTTTCTTAATCTTTATAATAGTAACCTTATTCTTACTAATAATAAGAAGATTATTAATATAAACTATAATAATTAGGCTATTTTTATAAATAAATAGGGAATAATTAAGCTATATAGGCTTAAAGCTAAGACTTTAAAGTGTTTTATAAAGGGTTATATATTAGATCTATAGGGCTTACTTTAGCCTATATAGGGACTTTAGTAGCTTCTATACCTTCTTAGGGTATTCTTCTTAATATCCTTTAGGTATTTTAATATAGACTTTAGTATCTATAGGACTATAAAAGAAGGTAATCTTAATATTTATTTACTTAACCTTAAGGTCTAAGGTAGCTATAATTACTAGTAGTAAGTATAGTATTAAAATTTTTAATATACTTATAAATATTTTATAGTAATTAAGTCTTTTATATTAATTAAAGCCTTTTACTATATATTAGGATTTTTAGTAAATAACCTTATTATTAGTACCTCTTTTAAGTTTATATACCTACTTACTTAGAAGAATAGTCTTATTTTTAAGCTTATTAACTATAATTATAATATAGTTCTTTATTAAAGAGTTATACTTATTTACTATTAAGCCTTTCTACTTTTATAAGTTAGGGTAAAGGATAGCCTACTTATATATTATAAGTTCTTTATTATAAATAAGGTTATTAAATATAGTAAGGTTTATTATATTATTAAGATTAAAGTAAAGTATATATTAGTAGTTTTAAGATACTAAGACTAATCTAATTAGAATTTTAATCTATATTATAAGTCTTTCTTCTTACTTAATAGTACTACTTAAAGCTAAGGATAAGGGTATTTTAAAGAGGTTAGATAGTATCTTATTAATATTAATAGTAAAGATAGGATATAAGGTTAATTAAATATCTAATAGTATTAGTTTAAATTTATTATTATTTAGTATATATAGATAGCTAATAAAGTTATTATTATTAGCTAGGTTATAGATATTATTATCTTTATTAGTAATTCCTAGTACTACTAATATAGAGAATATAGAGGGTATTATTTACTTAGGCCCTATAGTTAAGGTAGTAGGTATACTATAGTGCTTTACTATAAAGGTCCTACTAGTAGGTAAGTTATAGGTAATTAAAGTAATTTCTATATACTTTTATTTCTTATTAATTACCTATTAACCTAAAGAGTAGTATATAGTTTTACTCTTATAGCTTAAGGTAGGGTTATTCTACTAAAGAAGGTTATATTTAAAATCTTTAAATAGCTAGTTAGGCTATTCTTAAAAGATAATATTATTAATAACTACTAGTCTATTAAGTCTATTAGTATTTAAGATAATATAGTTAGTTTAGCCTTTATATCTAATTAAGATATATAGAATAGTTTTAAGAACTATTTTTAGAATATAATAAGAGGTCTTTTACTACCTATAATTACTTATAATTTATAAATAACTAAAGTTAGGTTTATCTTTAAACTATAGTTTATAAGGAGTTATTAGTTTATTATTCCTTATTATAAGGGTATACTATTAAAGAGTAGTATAGGCTTATACTATAACTAGCTAGAATTTAATTAGTATTTTTAATTAATATATAATAAGAAAAAGCTTATTTTATAGTATTCTATTTCTAACCTTAATAATACTATTCTATTAATACTAATTAGTAGTAGAATACTATAGGTATATATTTAAAGAAATATAAGAGTTTTTAAACTAGGTTATAATATTCTCCCCCCCTTAATCTAGCTAGATAAAGTAGTATTTATATTCTAAATATTCTTATATCTTTAAGAAATTTAGTATTATATTAGGTAGCTAAGATTTCTTTTTAATAGGGAATAGTTAGTATATTCTAATATAATTATTAATAATAATAACCTAATATTAATTCTTTTTCTAGGAGGTAGGTAGGGTATTAATAATATTAGTATAAAGGCTTTTAAAAGGATATATTCCTTTCTAGAATAAATAAATATAAAGGCTTTCTTTTTATCTCTTTATAAGATAGTTAATATAATATTTATACTAGCTAATAGGCTTTATATTAGTAAAGATAAAGATAAGTTTAATAATATTCTATTCCCCTAAATATCTAAGTTAATTATATTATAGTTTATACTTTAGGTTATTTATTATATAGGCTAATATACTAATACTTAGAGTAATATAGTTAACTATATAGACTTTAGTAATCTACTAGGTAGTAAGAATAACCCCTTAATTCTTTATTATAACTACTCTTTCTTTATTAAAGACTACTATAGTATTCTTTACTACTAGGTAGCTAATAGAGAGTAGGCTTATTAAGGTACCTTCCTATAAAATACTATTATATAATTTTAAGGTAGTCTTAAGGCTCTTTATAGTAATAATAGCTATTCTATAAGTAGTAGGTTTTAAGATAGTACTAATAAGACCTTAAATACTAAGGCCTAAGTAAGGGGATAAGTCCTTTATAAGTTCCTTATAGCCTAAGATATAGCTAGATATACTAGAGTTAAGTAGTATTAGTTTTTAATATAATAATATAGAAAGACTAAAATCTTATTTAGGTTTAATACCTATAAGAGTATTATCTACCTTAAATTAATTAAAGTATTATAGGCTTTAAAAGATAGTAAAAGTAAGTTAGGCTAGCTTAAAGTCTATAAAAGGACTTATATACTATTTAAAACTAACCTTTTTATATTTATACTTACTATTATATTTCTTAGTTAAGTATTAGTATTTTCTATTTTATTAAAATAAAGAGGGTAGGTTTACTAGATAGAGTTTAGAATATAGCTTTTAGTATTACTTATTAGAGTAACCTAGAAGCTTATAAAAAGAATAAAAGTACCTAGTAATATTAGGTTTTATTATACTATAGGGAGAATACTCTTTAGTAGTTATTATAATAACTAAAGTAGTTTATTACTTAGACTTTTTATTATTTTATTATTTAAGCTTAGTAAGGTTAGCTATAATTATAACTACTTATATAAGTATAGTTATAAAAGCTATAATAGTATTATTAGTTTATTTTAAAATAAAATAAGGGGTTATTTTAGTAATATAAAAGTTAAACTCTTTATTAAGACTATTAATAAAAAGATATACTATTAAAGCCTTAAAGACTTTAAAGTCTTTATTAAGAGATTACTACTTAGCTTAAGTATTAATAAGTATTATAATAAGTTTCTTAATAGATCTATATTAAATAAAGGTTAGTATTAAGAGATAGTTAACTATAGTTTAAAAGATAATAATACCTTTTAGTTTAAAATACTTCTTAAAGGCTATAATTATATTTAATACTATAACTTTATTTTTAGTAAGGCTATAGGTATATTCTTTAAGGCTTATATTAATAAAAGTAATAGTATAGACTTAGTCCTATATTTATTCTTAGATAAGATCCTTTATAGTCTTACTACTATAAGCCTTAATTAAGATAGAGCTATTTCCTTAGCCTTTTAATAGTAATCTACTAAGATTATTAAGTCCTAGTATATTAATTATCTTTAGCTTCTATTTAACCTAATTACTTTTAGATTTAAGCTTTAGGATATTTAATACCTCCTTTAGTATTAAAGATATAGTACTAAATAATAGAGTAGGTAATAAGGCTATAAAAAGATCTTAACTTATATATAGAAGTTAAGTTACTAATAGTACTATCTACTAAAGGAGTAGAACTTTAAGATAATAAGGAGGATAATAGGCTAAGTATATAATCTTTCTTTTTAAACTAAGTACCTTATATTTATTTAAAGGTAAGAAGTATTTAAGTAAGTAATAGGGAATTCTTCTTACTAAGTAAGTAGTTACTATATACTTTTTATAATAGTTAAGACTATAGATTATAGTAAATAATTTAGTAGGTATATTTAAGACTATAGATTATAGTAAGTAATTTAATAGGTATATTTATTTAGGGGCTATAACTATACTAAGTAAATTTATATTATAATATATATAAAATAAGTATATAAAGTCTATATATAAATTACTAGGTAGGGTATAGTAATAGAATTTCTTTTTCTTTATATAGAATTTTTATAATAAATAGACTTATTAAATATACTCTAGATTAGCTAGAGTTTAAGGTCTTTCCTCTTCCTATATATAAGGAGTTATAAATTTCTTAAGTTTTATAGTAAATATTAGCTTATATAGATAGTAGGTAAATTTAGTAAGAAATTAACACTTTCCTTTATTTTATTAATAGCTTTTATAATATAAGTACTACTAGGCTTATAACCTATTATAACTAATAGGGTATATATAGGGTAAGAGGTAAAGTTGTTATATTATATAACTTCTATCTAGTTATATAGTATAGGTAAGTGCTAAATATACTAGGTAATAGGAGATTATTCTTCTGGCTTTAGAGCTGCCTATTATTAGTATTAGAAAGTAATTTTAAATTAATTTAGAATTTATTAGAATAGACTTTAATCTACCCTTTTATTTTATTCTTTATTTTATTCTATTTTATCTATATTAAGATTAATAAGTATTTAGAATTCTCTATTTTTTTAAGGTAGTGTATTCTTACTTAGTTATAAACCCTAAAGTAATTTTAAAAGTTCCTATAATTTATTTATAATATATTTCTAACTAGTTTTAGGAGCTTTTCTAATAAGTAATAAATACTTTCTAAACCACTTCTTACTTATTTTCTTCTTATAATAGAAGATACTACTTATACCTTATATACTTTTACTAGGAATATTAGTTATAAATTAATTATTAATACTCCTAGATTACTAGAAGGCGTATTATCTATCTACTAAGTTATTCTAACTTTATTATTACTTAAATACCTAGCCTCTAGGTAATTTAGAACTACTTATATTATTTATAGCTTATTTATATAGTAGTTTTAAACCCCTTAGAAAGATATATATAATAAAGGGAGTAATTAGTTCTTAATTACTTACTAACTAATTCCTAGGTTTAATACTGCCTTTACTATAAACAACCACCTAAGTTAATATTTTCCTATTTACTTAGTCTTTATATATAATATATTTTTAAGTATATAGGGGGTAAAGTCTATCTATTATATAATTAAATAGAATATTTATATTACTCTATATTATCTAAGTTATTTAAAGACTTAGTAAAGAAGTAATAATAAAATACCTTTATAATTAAGTAGGTATATTAGGATACTATAAGGTAAATAAAGTCCTAACCTATTTAGAACTAGTTCTAAATTAATTAGATATATCTTTCTTACCTTAATACTCTAGTTTTACCTATTCTATTATTATAGTATTTAATTAAGGAATATAATATAATCTATTTAATTTAATATATATATTATAATATAGATAACTTCCTATCTAGGTATTTTAGTATATTATTATTCTAAATTAATTACTAATTAGTTCTTAGTTATTTATATAATTAAATACTTATAAGTATTTCTTTTACTTAAATTTCTAATAATTACCTAAAAAGTCTTATTTTTATATATATTATAACTTAAACTATTAATTATATTAAAATAAGATTTCTATAATTCTCTATAGAGATTCTATTAAAGAGTAAAAGTAATATTATTTTATTTATTTAAATATAATTTACTACTAATATTATAGTAAGTATAGTCTTTAATTATTTATATTTTAACTAATTATAAATTAGTTTAAAACTACTTAATAAATAATAGTATACTATCTTATCTTCTATATAAAGTAGTTTTTATATTCTTTATCCTATAGTTAGCCTAGGTAGATATAATTATTTTAATATTATATAGATTATATTCTTATATACTAATTCCTTTATTAAAACTATCTTTAGATATTATAGTGTAATTCTAATATCTAGCTATAACCTTTAAGAATACTATAATATCCTTAAGTATTATTTCCTTTTTATTAAGTCTAGAACCGATTTAGAACTAATTACTAATTACTTCCTCTAGTTTTATTATTTTCTAATAAGTATATTTAAGTAATATATACTTATTAGGCTATAACACCTTTATTAACCTACTTAGTTCTATTATATTATAATATAAAACTACTTATAATTATTAAGAAGTCTTAAGCTTTATAATTTCTATTTAGATAGAATTTTATTACCTTAATTATACTCTATTATTAAAAGATAAATACTAAGTAATAGGTATACTATTTATATTAATAATATCCTTTAACTAATTATAAACTAATTATTAACTAGTTCTACTCCCTTTAGTATATTTAATACCTAGAGTATTTAGATAATTACTATATTATTATATACTTCTATTATAACCAACTAGAGAATATCTTTTAAGGCTATTATATAGCTATTAAGGTAGATATTAATTATAAATAACTAGTTAGTAGTAATAACTACTAACTAACCTAGGTATTTTATTTAAAAACTTATAATTAAAGTAAACCTATTTAGAATTAATTTTAAATTAGTCTATTATATTTACTATTTTACTAACTATATTATAGTTATATTACTACTTTATATCTTCTTTAATAAGAATAATACCCCTACTTATAAATATATATACTTTAAAGTATTTATATTATTTAAATAATATTTCTATACCCTAATAAAATAGTAAAGTATTTATAATAAAGGTCTTTATAGTCTTATTTATAATATAGAAACTACCTATTATTAAGGTATATTCCTAATTAGTTTAGAATTAGTTTAGAATTAGTTTTAAACTTATTATATTATAGGATTAGCCTATACCCTCTTTAAACTTAACCTAAAGTATTAGCCTTAGGAATAGCACTTTACCTATATAATCTAACTTTACTAATACTATTTTATAGCTAGAGTTAAATAATATTTTAAGAAAGGCTATTTAATATATAATTAAATAATATTAATTTTAAATACTTTATTTTAAAATAAATACTATATAATCCTTTATACTTTTTAATATAAATAAGTCTTAAACTACTTAAGAACTAGTTACTAACTAATTTCTCTAAAGATCCCCTTAATATAATACTAGGTAAAGTATAAAGTAAATCCTATTATTACTATAGGCCTTAACTTCGCCTTTATAAATATCCTAGAGTACTTATAGAATAATATTCTATAAATAATAAATAGTATTAAATTAAGTTATAACTAGTTTTATATTTAAGGTAATACTTATATAAGCTTATTTAAGGCTTTAGAAAGGTATTTATTCTATTTAACTTTACTTATTCTAACTAATTTAGAATTAGTCTTTAACTATTTAATAAATAATTAATAACTATATAATATTAAAGTATTTATTATAATATAGTATTTTAATACTATATAGATAATCCTTAAGCTTAAGTAACCTATACTATTACTTAAGCTTATATAAGTTATTAATTATATTCTACTTAAAGGTAAAGATAATAAAATATAGGCCTTATACTATTATAATATACTAGCTTTTTTAGGATATTTAGGTATAGTTAAAATACTTAGTATAAATCTTTTTTATAATAAATTATAAACCAATTTAGAAGTAATTCCTAACTAGTTATAGTTAGCCTACTTTAAAATAATTATAAATAATACTATAAATAGTAATACTATAATTAGTAATATTATAAGTAGTAATACTATAAGTAGTAATACTATAAATAATAACACTATAGATAATAATACTATAAGTAGTAATACTATAGGTAGTAATACTATAAGCTATAATACTACTACTAAGTTTACCTTAAACTAGTAATAAGGAGTCTAGATAGTAAGAGTTTAAGTATTATCTTTTTAAATAGGTTTCTAATTAGTTTAAAACTAATTAAATAAACTATTAAACCTTATATATTAATTAAATATTCTTAAGTAGATTTTTAACTACTTTTAATAATACTATAAACTATTAAAAGGATATTAAATAGTATAGAAAAGATAAATAATTAAATAACTAAGATAAAGGAAAGATAGAATAACTAAGAAACTAACTAATTAGTTCTTTAAATTTTTATTATATCTTATAATTCTTATTATATAATACTAATAGGTAGTATTATTTTTTAGTAAGATAATACTTATATTAGATATCTAATAGATTATTAATTAGTTTTAACTATTTTCTATTAACCTATCCTAAATAAGTTAATAGAATTAAAATCCTTTAAAATATTTTATCCTTTTTTTATATTTAGGACTTTTTTAAAGTAGAAGGTATAGGACTTTTACTTATAATAGAGTCCTATTATTCTAATTACTCTATTATAGCCTTAGTAAATTAGCTAGTAGCCTATATAATAAATAAATTAGTTTAGAACTAGTTTAGAATTAATTAAGAACTAATTAGCCTATATACTTAAGATTTCTCTACTATTACCTTTATAGATTAGCTAGTATCCTATATAATAAATAAATTAGTTTTAAATTAATTTTAAATTAATTTTAAATTAATTTTAAATTAATTAGTATACTTAAGCTTAATTATCTTAAGCTATATTAAAGAATTAATTATACTATTTAGTAGCCTTAACTTACTATTATATTATTAATACCCTTATAATTAGTTAATAGATTTATAGATTATAGTATTAAATATAATATTATAGATTTAATTATAAACTTATAGGATATAAATAAAAATAAAGTATAGAATTAGTTAATTAAAATTAGTAATAAATTTTACCTAGATAAATAATTACTTAGTTATTATATATTATATAACCTAGTATATTTAGTAAGTAAATACTATTATTATAATAGGTATAATATAAAGTAAAGTCTTTATAGGATAGTATTTTAATATTTTATTATTATTATTATAAGGAAGAAAAGAATTAGTTATAAATAAATTTAAAACTAATTAATAACTAGTTTTAAAATAGTTTATAAATCTAATAGAGTATTATATAGGGGAAATATCTCTATAATAGGAATATTGTTATACTAAGATATATAGTGTATATTAAGAATTAGTAGGGCTACCTCACCTAAGGGTTGCCACCCTTAGCCGAACTCACTAAGGTACCCTCAGGTGAGATACCCCCTCATTACATATGGGCCTCCCAGCAACAAGAAAGAAAAAAAAGCCCTCATCAGCTCTTTGCCGTTACCGGCGCCACGCCCTTCTTCTTCGGGCTCGGCCGAGATGTTCACACCTAACTAGTTAATAACGCCTCCGGATTCCGAGAGAGAGCTCGAGTCCTAGTTGCGCCCTATTTTTCCCGATAACGACAACGAAGGGGGGGGGACGGCGGGACCGATATCGCATTTTCCCATATAGAATGCCACGCAACGGGCTGAATTCATCGGGCGGAAGAGCATTAAATCACTCGTCAGAATCAATCAAAAAGACGGTAAATGTCTCCTTCATTTCAGCTCGACACGGCATGTCCTTACACGGCATGTCCTTGCAATGGGACCGACCTCGCTTTTGCTGCGCACGTATACCGACATCGCCGCCTCCTACGTCATTGCGTCCAACCCTCCTCGTCAAAATTATCGCATCGTCGCATTATCGCATGACAGCAAGCTACATATTGCCACGACCAAAATAATTCGCCAACGCGAGCGCTCAATGGATGCCCTGCCAGCTTCATGCCATTCGTGTCAGCTCTCGTCCGAGAAACCTCCAAACATCCCATGGCAAGCACAAGTTACGCGATTCAGCAAAGCCCACACACGAGCGAATCCTGCAGCAGCAATTTGCAACGTAACCATCCGTCATGTATCCCTATTGAAAACCCTATAAATGTGTGCCTGTGCCTGCAATAACAAAAACTCCACAATACAACATGATAAATATCTGCCAGTAATTACCCTTTGACCCCCACATAAGCTGAAGATGTAGTCTTTGCTAAGGAAACAACGGAAAAAACAACAAAAACTCGGATGACAGCCCATCGTTGGCTTCTCCCTCTTCATGAAAATAAAAAAGAACGAGACGTATAGCTGAAAAAAAAACCTCCAGATCCGAGTCCAGCAAACCACCTTACCAAACTGCAGCCTGATCCGCGTCAAACCTCGACAACTCCTTGCCCGCGTCCTCGAGATCCTTCTTGGCCTTCATGCGCATGTAAAAGATTGGACAGTCCTTGCTGCTGCAAATCACCTCGCAGTGCATGCTGCCCTGGCAGCGCTGGCACTGCGTCCACAGCCGCCCGAACCGCACCTCGAGATCCGACATGCGGTCCAGCGTGCGCTTGTACAGCTCGCCCACCCGCGGCCCGCAGTCGCCGCACACGGCTCCCTCGCTCTCCGTCTTGCCCTTGAGCGGCCGCTTGCAGCCCATGCACGTCTGCGTCTTCTTGGCAAACTTCATCAGCCCGCCCACCGACGGCGCCGCCACCGAAATCGTCCGTGTGTGGTCTCCCGTCAGCAGCGACCGCGCCTTGGTCTCCCCCAGGATCGGCTCAAAGATGCGCGTCAGCGGCTTGGCCAGCTGGTTGTCCAGGTAGTACTTCGTGTCAATCGGCACGTTGTTCTCGAGCACGTAGATGGGGTCTTCCGACTTTTCAAAGTTCTTGGCCCCCGCCGCGCCTCGGATCATCACATACGCCACACGGTCACCCAGCGAAGGCGCCGAACCGGCGTCACGCTTCTTCATCCGTGCCGCTAGCTCCACGTGCGCTTGCTTGGCCGTGTAGTCTTCCTTTGTCAGGGCTTTGGTAATCACTAGCTTTGACATGTCCACCTTGTTTTGCAAAAGGTCGGCAATCATATCCTTGACGTAGTCCTGAGCACCCTGCACGTCACGGTTGATGAGAATCATCCGCAGCACCTTTTCAATAACCGTTTGCGCCAGCAAGCAGTTATCTCTTCGTACCGTCTCCAGACCCTTTGTGTCCATCTTGTCGTACTTTTCCGTCTTGGTCCAGTACAGACCAGCATAACGCTTCTTGTTGATGAGCAGGTACGGGAAGTAGACCTTTTCGAATTCCAACTTGATGGGCTTGACAAATTTCGACGAAACAAACGCAGCCGCTTCCTCGCCCAGTTTCATCGCCTCGGCCAGCTCTTTGGTGCCAAACTTGACCATGACGGAATCGGTATCACCATAAATTACTTGCGCATCGTGCGAGTATCCGTTGGCAATGCAATACTTCTTCTCAACTTCGTCCTTGGTCCTTTCAATCATTTGGCGACCGAAACTCGTTGTTGAACTAGCAATCGCTAAACATGGTAGCTTTCCGGTTGTAGCACCGGTGAGACCGTAGACCGAGTTGGCAGAAATCTTCAGAGCCAGCTGACGACCGTTCAACACAGCCTTCTTGAACGGGTCTGTTTCAACGGCCAGCTCACGCTTGGCCTGCTTTCTGGCCGACAAAAGTTCTTCCAGAATTTGCGCCAGCAGCCCCTTTCGCTGCTTCGTCGTCACAAACGTGTCGCCGTTGGGAGTGACAATGTAGTCTTCGTCCTTGACCAGATTGAACTGTGCTATTCTGTCTTTTCGGGTAATGAGCGTTGTGTAGCAGAGGTTGTGTGCTTGCATGATACTGGGATACAGTGAGGCAAAATCCAGTGTTGCAATCGGCACGTCATAGTAGCCTCGCGTGGGTTCAATAACTGTCGCACCTTCGTACTGATCATCCGAAGGATCGCCCTTCATGTTGGGAATGACCAATTTCTGTTCCAGGGCTTTACGGAAAAGCTGACTGACAAACTTGATTTGCTGACCACGCGAGAGCAAAAAGTTGAACGGAACACCCGTGACACGAGCCATTTCGGTATAGTTTTCCAGACACGACAGCTTATCCATCAACCTTTGTGGTAGATATGCATCCTTCAAACAGTAAATCGCCAGACGTCGACGATTCTCCGGCGTTCCGTTGAAGAGCTCTGTAATCATGGTGTGGTGGACATCTTCCTTCTGTTCGCCGAGGAACTGAGCGCAGACTGAGTTTAGCGTATAACTACGCAGTTGGTGATCACGTTGAATCAGTTGAAGCAGATCTAGCTGCAGGCGGCCGTTGGTATTCGTCGCCTTTGTATCTCGGTTACCGATCTGTTTGCTGGAAAAGCTGGTATCCTTAACTCTGGATGGAATGCTGGGTAATCGAGTCCAGTACTCGAAGCCGTTGACCTTGAGGTGCTTGGCTCGGTTGATGAGATATGGAAAGTCAAAGTTGGCAATATTGTAGCCAATGATGATATCGGGATCGACCTTGATAAGAAATTGCTGCCACTCGCTCAGCATCTTGGCTTCCTTCTCGTATTCGAGGACTTGGGTGGCGACAATGGAACTGGTTGTATCGAGACAAAAGACGTTTCTGACGAATGGCTTCTTTTCACCATACCGGGTAACGACGTTGGCAATCTGAATGACGGGGTCATGTTCAGGCTCTGGGAAGATGCCCTTTCGGCCAGCGCACTCGATGTCAAAAGACAGAATACGGAGTGGCGCCATCTTGGCCCAGTCGCCTTCCGGCTTGTGTGCGACGAGATCGTGGTGGTTGATTTCGGCCTCGATTTGGCAGTTGGATTGCCTCATGTGCTCAGGGATGAGTTTATATGTGTTCGCCGGCGCCTCAACCCAGGCCATGCCTTGTATCTTGCAGTCAACCATGAAGCGCAGGACGTATTGAATATTGTCGTAAGTCATGATGCCGCTGTCACTGCTGCCCCACATGCCCTTCCAGTTGGCGTTGCCGGCCTCGATTGTCGATCGGACGCTGTTGATAAATTTGGGGTCGGTGACGGTAATCTGCAGGAACGGGTTCTGAACATTGCCATTGAAGCCAAACATGTCTTCACGCAGACGCAGCACCACCGAGTGGATCGCGGGTTGGTGCTGCGCGAGCTGCTGCTCCAGGAACACCTTGAACGCTCCGCAGTCCTTGGGTTGAAAGGACGTCGGCGCGGGGACGTATAGGTAGTGTCTGAAGTCGGTGACGTGGAGCATGACCGAATGGCCCTGTTCGGTGACGCCAAACAGCTTGACCGTGGTGCGACCCCCGTTTAGCGTACCCTCTTCGGCATCGATGGACTGGAAGCATATGCTATCCTTTGTGGTGTCGAGGGCCTGGAGCGCCGGGCGGTCCCACGCCTGGTCCTTTTCTGTATTATTCTGCTTGCGCTCGGAAATGTCCTGGCTGAGCTTCTCGAGCACCTCGGACTCGAAGACGCTCTTGGGCTGGCTGGAGCCCAGCAGCCTGGAGCGCGGGTCCTTTTGCGACGACGAAAATACAGCTGGTGAAGACGAGAAGATGTCCGTCTTGCGCTTCTTGGCGGACGAGGGCGTCGTGGGCGGCATATTTCGCCCAGTCTTGGACTCACCCAGCACCCGCTTCTGGGGGAGGACCACGGTCGCCATCGCTCGCTCTGTACTTCTGTACTTGTTCGGGGGGAAGGTATCGACCAATGGTTGTAGAAATCAAAAGAGGTTCAAAGCTCGTATGTCATGAACGAGGCGTAAGAGCAAGTCAATCGCCAGCACTGTTGTTGGAGTTGGGTGCAATGATGAAAGGCAGTTAGTGGATTTGATGGGCAAAAAGTACACGCCAATTGGCTTGACACGCTGGTTTGGGACAGCACTTTAGAGAGAGACGCGCCTTTCACACCTCGACGTGACGGATCCACTTAAAGGTTAATAGGCTCCACGTGATTGCGCGAGACGTCAACAGCGAGATCCGGCGACACACGATGATGGATAAAAGTGAGTCACTTGACTTCTACTTTGTCGAATTGGCAATTGCTGTTGCTTTTGGACTGTAGAACATATCTGCGCTGTGGTTTTCGAAAATATGTCTGGGAGCATCAGTACCTCGGCATGCAAGTGGCTCTGATCGCTTAACGCTTCGCCCGATTTATGACACTGTTACAGTCTGAAGCAGGGTGTATAATTATTTTTCAGCTCTTCGTTACAATTTTAGGTCTGGGCATCTATACATGTATGGTGACCAATGTCATAAAATTCATTGCCCAATCAAACGCCAACGCTGTGCAGGAATGCCGACCTTGGTAGGCAATGCAAGTGATAAAAACAGCAAATGTAGAGTATCCAAACCAAGTAACTTGCGCGGCAATTAAGACGAGTTCTTAATTGCGCCAAGCTCACACCAGTCCTTGATGGGTAGGCAACTCAGATACTTGCACCAGCCACATTGCTCACCAAGCTTATAAAAGTTGTTGAGCAATACAATGAAAACGGCAATGATGGTGATGAGAACAGCAGCTCGTACAATCCACCAAGCCCACCAAAGCGGTTTTCGTCCCTTGAAGAAGCCAACCGGGCTCTTAAGGAAGGCCGGATGTACCCCTGTGCCGCCTTGGACAGCGGAATAAGTTGTGCCCTCATCCAAGCGCCTTCGTAGGGCATTAGGAGAGTGTAAAACACAGATTCCAAGCGCCAGTCCCATGAGAAAACCACCAATATGCGAGAAATTGTCTAAGCCAGGCAAGAGGCCAAGAACAAACGCAATTACCATATCCAGAATAATGAACATCAGGTCCTTGACAGGGCTGCGACGCTCTGACCAGGAGTAGAGCAAATCCAAAAGTGTAAGTGCGATAATTCCAAACAAGGAGCCGGAAGCACCAGTAGAGGCAATACCAGGGGCGGCGAAATTACCACCCATGACAAAGCCAAAAATACCAGCGCTCATATACACAAGAAAGAAGCGGACAGATCCAATGGCCTGTTCCATTTCCTTGGCCACTGTCAGTTGAAGAAGTAGGTTGAATCCGATATGAATGATTCCGGCGTGCATGAAGATGGGAATAATGAATCGGTACCACTGATCGGGTGCTGGGTGCTGATCCGCGTTTCCGTCGAAGACGGGATCGGGTACACCTCCGAAGCCACAGAGTGTGGAGAGAGGGCAGATTTCGGTGTTGGTCGTAGCATTCGGGCAAAGGAAATAAATTGGTCGGTCGGCTGATGCACCCTGAATAGCTTTGATGTTGTGCATGCAGGGCGCGTATCGAGCACCCATGTTGATGAGCACTTGCGTCGAGGGGCCAATCATGGGATTGAATTGCGGCTTGATCATAATGGGAGAGCCCGTCATTAAGCCTAAAGACAGCGTTAGCGGAAACTTGACGCCAGAACAGCGGGAAGCAACTGACCATTTTTTACGATCTCGGCGATAAATACAGCGGCCTGGACCAAGCTGAAGAAGTATACAACAAAAGGGATTCGTTTCTTGTCCGAACCGAGCATTCCCAGCTCTCCCACACGGACCTTGCCTCTACCTGTGCGCGATCGTTGCCCAGGGGCGGCCGAGGCATCGTAAACATGATCAGTGGCTTCGCCGCCCTTCATCGGGCGGTCTTGCAGAGGAATGTCCTCTGCGATATTTGGTCTGGAGGACATGGGCGAGGCTCCGGCCTGGCCATAGTAGCCGGTATCTTGGTAGAGGCCAGGCTGCGAGGTGCTTCCGCCCGGCACGCTGCCTTGTCTCGAGTTTGGCGGGTAGGTGTGGTCGTCGAAGACGGTATCAAACGGCGACGGTCGGCCGGGTTGGTTCTGAGTGTGCTGTGTGTTGTAGTCGTAGTCATAAGCGGGCTGGCTGCCATGGTACTGCGGCGCAGGCGTTGACGACTGAGAATACACATGCAGCGATTCGGGGTCGTAGTATGGCTGTTGCGTTTTACCGCCGCCGCCGGAATACGGGTAGCCACCCGACGCCATAATGTCGATGGCTCGTCTTTCCCTCGGGCACTGTAATGCAAAGATAGGGGAGCAGGCTGGAGCTCAAATGCCAGTCAAGGGGTATGAGATGGGCGATGCAGAAACAAAGGTTGAGCGGCGCGTGGGATTTGTTCGCGAGCGACGAGGACCCAGTCGGGCGGACGGTTAGAGGAGAGTTTGGTTAGTGCCTGGGGGTTGGTGGGAGGAGCCAGACGCTAAGAGGTAAAGTTCACAGCGGAATGGACGGCCTGCAACGCGTAAAATTGCAGGCGTGTGCTCGTTTCAGAAGCGTCCTGTACGGCAAATTGTAGCTGGGGGAGGAGTATGTGTGACACTGTGTACGGTATTGACTGAATGGACAGGAAGAAGATGGATGAAGGCAGCTGAGCAAACGAGAGCGATGATGATGAAGGAGCCAGGTAATAACTGAACAAGGTCAATTCGCAGGGGATCATGATGGGCAGTACAAAGCCCCATCGAGGCTCCAACGACAGAGAGGGCCAAGACCCAAGGTGCCTGACTGACGCAACAAGTGTCCACCCGCGGCTGTGTCCTCATTGATGATGGTAGCCATGGGAAGCCATAATGTCGTAGAGGTACAAGGCTTTCGATGTACATCTTGGTGAGACACAAGGTACCATCATGGCCAGCGCCACTGTGTCAAGTCGGCGGGAGTGGCTGGGCGGGCTCTTCTGAGGCGCAGCTAACACAAGACTATTTTTGGACATTTAGGTATGTACATAGTTACGCCAGCCACTCCCACTGTTCAGTACTGCCATTGCCAAGTAATACCGACAGCTCAGCGCATAAATGCCGTATTCCAAGTGTCGCCAGCCACGCATGCGTCTTTTTTACTTGGGTACTTTGGCCGCCGTACCTTAAAACTACACTTGATTGGCAAATTTCAATCGGAATGGAGATAGAATTGGAGAAAAGAAGGAATGAAACTATTTATTCTATTTTCGGTAGAGCCAAAGCCTCGCTGTAGCTTCTATTGATGTCGTTCTACTGGTAGGCGTGGTCAGGCGATCACCATAGGCGTCATTTGTGGCGTTTGTGCAGCCTCGGAAGATTCTCTTGCTACTGTCGTCGGCAGGACGATCGTTTTAACCATTGTCAGAACGAATTACTGAACGCGAGCAGTCTGTCGTGCACTTTCTGCTGTGGCCGCCATCCTGAGAACACTCCCGTTCTTTTCTGCGCAACTTTGCAAGAGGTTGAGGTGCCTATATCGTCTTCTCGCAGGAGACCTTGCGCTTTTTCCAACGCCGCATCGACAGGAATAGGCTCGGCAATAAGCGGCGGACCAAATTGTTGAATTGGATGTTCATTATGGGGAAAAGGCGTACATGACGTATTGCTTTGAAAATGGTGACTCTCCACTCGGCCAATGCGTTCGCATATTTCGATGTACCAGGCGCCTAAAGCTACAGTGGTAACTTTGACATTTCTTCTGTCTTGAAATCGGTACAAGTACGGAGTTCCCTGTCGCCCTCCACATAATATGTCGGAAATTTACGGATGAGCATCCAATTTTACGGAGCATGGAGCAGTTACTGATACAAGGATGGGTGAGGTTTTGTACATCCGTCTCGCTCTTCGACGGCGTGTGATCGAAAATCAGTCTAGCTGCCGACACACCTATGCTCGAGATGTATGTACCATTAGATTTTTTTGGCATATATACATAGTACTTTACATTGATCGGTGATGTTCTGCAAGAAATTCGTACCCTGCGCCTTCCGCTTTGTGTGACAGTGGTCTGATTTGTTGTTGTACATGGTGTTACATCGTCCATTCGATTGCCGCAAATCAAAATTGTCTGTTGTAGCGGCGTCGACTTCTTCTTCCGCGAAAACGACCGTCTTATTTCTTGCCCTCGTCCGAGTCGTCTGGTTTCGTCGACTCCGTCTCGTCATTTTTCTTGGTGCTGCCCCAGTTGCCGCTGAACACGTCGGCAATCTGCTCCATTATTATGTCGCTCATGCCCTTGCCCTCTTCAAAGCTCTTTTGGTGTTCCTCTGCGCGCTTCTCCTTCCAGTTGTCCTTTTCACCGCCCATCCATATATTCTTGATGATGCTGTCCTTGTCATGGCCAGGCGGCGGCAGACCCTTGGCGGCCGCCTCGCGCTCCTTGTGCTCCTTGAGCAGGCGCTGCGTGCGTTGGGCGCCCTCGGGTAGGCCATTGTCCAATGCCGAGGACACGCGGTTGTTGAATCGATCGTAGATGGACTCGCCAGTGTAGGATTTGCAGAGATGGTTCGTGGAGAGCGAAAAGGTGGCGGCGAGAGCAAGAAAGCGCAGGTCCATCTTGCGCGGCGGTAGCAGCATGATGAGCGGCGTGCCGACGGCGAAGACGAGGGCAACATTGTCGATCAAGGGGTTCTGGGACGGCCGTCGGGGCGGCTCGGGCTGCGCGGTCGTCGTGGCCATGATGCCAGGCTCTCAGTCCAGAGCTTTTCTCGTGTCGATTGGTATTCTGTGCAGAAAGTCTTGCAGCGCGGTATGGCCCGCGCCCGAAAAGTTGCCTCGGCGCGCAGTGTCTATTGTCCAGGCGGGTGGGCGCTTTGATCTGAATAGGCTGAACGGACGAGGTAAGGGCGGTAGCAAAGCAATGAAGCTGGATGGGCGAAATCTTTGGACGATAGAAGTCTAATCTCTGTGATTTCGGTGTCGTAGTACTTTGTCGGCTTGTAATTTGGTCTCGGTAGAAGCTGGCGAGGATGAGATACAATTAGGTAGGTAGCTGCGAACAATATTTTAGCAAATGTTGACGATGTTGTTCTACTACCTACTGTGGGGCCAGGTGGTGGTGCCCCAGCAGACGGTGTGCAAATCATTAGAGGTAGCAAAAGAAAAGGCATAGCTAAATTGATTCAACAAAGAGTAACTAGTGCTATTGGCAGGAGATGAAAAACATGGCGCACTATGAAAATGGAATAGGATTTTTTTTTCATTGTTTTTCATCAGTACATCAAGGTAGTATCAAGTTGTCATACTGGCGGCAGCTACTAACCTACTGGCCCTTCTCAAAACGTGCAGGCTTCCAAGCGGTTTGAGCAAATGGCGGAGAGTGGCTGCCATTGGGTGCATTCAGGTCAAGCACCTACAAACTGAGACTGTGAATGATTGTTGACGGTGTTATAGAGGATTTGAGGACAATGCCAACATGTACTGCAACTTGGTTCGAGAGTCGAAGATGGCATATAACTAAAACGGAATTGTGCACTGGTGGTGGATGGCGGTTCACGATCGTGCAAGGGATGCTGGGGACGGCCCGGACGGGCGAGATTGGGATGGTCTAGTTAATATTGAAGCTGGGGGTTGAAAGGTCTGAGCGACTGCCGTGGACGATATCGCCCGGCACTTCGTCGTATTCTCGAAATGTCTCCATTTCCCCAACTCAAGGTAGCAGTTTTTGCAACCATGGACATCGTGAGACCTTCACTCTCGGTTACGAGCTCCTTTCGAGGACTTGTTACTTTGATGTTACAAAAAGTGAACAACTGCATCGGAAGCCCGGAGGTTAAAATTATTATTAACTGCATGACACTATTACCCAGCTGCAACCGGGCTGGCGGGTGGGCGTCAGAGCTTGAGCACCACAGCGCTACCAGCCGTCTCGTTATTGGCCGTTTCCAGCGGGCATCCCACTACCGCCCACTAATACCTACCTGTAGGAGGTACCTCTTAGTAGGTGCCTACCTGAAGTCTACCAGGTATTGGTACGAAATTCGGCCCTCCCCCCTGCCTTACCTAAGGGACCTACCTACCTAGGTAGGTAGGTACCTATAACTACAGTAACTTGATCATTCTCGCTCCAGTTGCTCACCTTACTTTTGCACCTAGGTAACGAGCTCAACAAGGCTCGCTTTCTTGCTGCTTGCTGCTTTCCGCTCTCTGCTTGCAACTTGCTCGTTTGCATGCTCTCGTCCAGCAGCCAATCATCCTTCTCACCATCCCACCATCCCACCATCTCCTTCAACTCCACTTACGCTCCAAGTCTGCCGATCTGCGGCAGTTCAACGCTTCTGCATCGTCATTCCACGTCCTCATCGAGAACTCGCCTCCAAACCAAACGACATGCCTCCTGCATGACCATCCGAGTCGCCGCAATCGCTTTACGACGCTGATTCACGCCAGAGGACTGTCTGGACCTACGCACCTCGGCTTCCTGACATTGCGCGCAACAATATTGCTTCCAAGCTCCACCGCGTTCTTCTGTCTCGACCTCCCCGCTCCTATATTTCTCTCCCGCCATTTCCTCCTCTCATCGTCTTGTTTGCCGCCTGCGTCTCTAACCAAATCATGGCCCTTCAATATAATCCTTTATTTATCCCGCAATCTCCAAACTAGATCCCGCCTCTCGCCCAGCCCTCCCGTCTTCAATGTCATAGCATACCCCTTCCACACGACAACATGTCACTGTCGCCCGCCAACCCGTCGAGCTCCCAGAGTGGTGGCCCTCAGCCTTCCAACAATCCCAATAGCTCCAAAATATCTTCCGACCATGTACCTCTAGCGACCAGCTCAGACCAGCCGGCTAAACGCGGGAGGAGGAGCAACCCCAAAGTCAAGACTGGGTGCACCAACTGCAAGTGAGTCTAGCCTTGGCATTACCGCCTTGTTCCCGCTTACCTCTTGTTTCAGTCTTGCTTACAATCACTTCCCTCCAATAGGAAACGCAGAATCAAATGTGACGAACAGCGCCCAGAATGTACCCAATGCGCTAGAAGCGGCAAGACATGCACGGGCTATCCGCCTCCCAGTCGCCATGCGCGCCCAATCATGGATATCCGCATCGCCCCAAAGCCGCTGGCCGCGATGCAGCCGGCTCCTTCCCCTTCGTCAGGTGCCATGCCGCATCCCACGGGCATAAGTATGCTTCAGAAACAAACAGTCTTGCCGCCTCGTCGTGCTGGCCGACGTCGAAAGACCGTGGAGCAATACAGTGCACTGTCTGCTGCCGCAATACCTCTGGCGCTGCATCGTCCATCCATAGCTCTGCCACTCCAGCCTGCCGAAATCATGTACTTTGAGCTATTCCGACTACACACAGCCTCTCAACTCTCCGGCTACTTCAACTCCAACTTTTGGACACAGCGAGTCCTGCAAGAATGCCACAACGAAAGCGCTGTTCGTCACTCCGTCGTTGCCCTCGGCGCCTTATACAAGACTCTGGAGCTATCCTTTGAGGCTCCATACGATGTTGATTTGCAGTACCACAGTAATTTCATCATGGCCCACTGGCAGGTCGCCGTCAAACAATACTCCGAAGCTTGCAACGCCGTCTTGTCCATCAAAGGCGACACTGTCTACAGCCACAATACACGTTTAGTTGCCATCATACTCCTAGCATGCTTTGATTCCTTTATAGGTGATCACAAGCAAGCAATCATCCAAATTCAAACGGGCCTCGGCATCTTGGGGCAGTTACAAGGACGTCGTTCAACAAATCTTCTGACAGCCTTAGATGACACCCCAGACGAACTGGTCACCCTCTTCGGTCGTCTCGCCATCCAAGCAAAGTCGTATGACCTTGCTTTCCACTTCCCTCAACCCTATGTCATCAAGCTGGGTTCCACAACAGAGCACCCCGACTCTCCGCGGTCTGGCAGAAGCTCGCCCTCGGTCATTGGCAGCCCCCCAAGGGAGGGCGTCTTTGAGACGTTAGCCGAGGCGCGATTAGCCTCTGATAAACTGTGCATGGCGCTGATGATGTTTGTCGAGCAGCTACATGCCGCCAAAACAAACCCGAGCTACGTTCTCCCGGCGGCCTGGAAAGTATACGGCATGGGTCTAAAAGATCGTCTGACAGCTTGGTCTGATGCGTTCGAACCCATCCTGATGTCACGTTACAACCCAGATATGCCATACATTGAAAGGGCGGGCATTGCTGCGCTCAAAATGTCGCAGATCAACACAAACGTCATCTTCCTCATGCTATTTTGCGACAATGAAATGCAGTTTGATTCCTTCAATCCTCACTTTAAAATGATTGTCGATCTCGGGTGGGAAGTCGTCGGCGCCGACGAGTGCAGGTTCGCCGCCGAGTTTTCCGCACAAACGCCCGGCCAGCCGCAGTACGCCCACGGCACACGCGGCGCCTTCAAAGCGGGAAAGTACGGCGCAGGCCGCCTGAAGCCCAGCTTTTCGGCCGAGTTGGGCATCGTGCCACCGCTATTTGTCGTAGCGACCAAGTGCCGCGACCCCTGGCTGCGACGTCAGGCAATCCAGCTGCTCAAGAGCAGCGCCCGCCGCGAGGGCATGTGGGACAGCGAGCTCACCTCCAACATCGCCACCTGGGTCATGCAGCTCGAGGAGCAGGGCGTCCCTGGTGGCGGTGCCGCCGGTGTTCCGCCCGCGCTTGACCCGCGCAACCCCATGGCCGGCTACACGGACGCCCAAGGCGTCGTGCAGCGCACCATTCCCGACGATCGCCGCATCATGCTCAAGGCTGCAGATTTTGATCTCCGCTCGCGCTATGCAGACATTATCGTCGGCACACGCGCCGTATACAATGGAAGTCTGGATGTGCGCCTTCAGAGGACGCGCATCACCTGGTAGAGTCGCGTTCATGTACCACAACAGTATACCCGTAACATAGCCCATCTGTCCGTTGTATATATAATACAATTCCTCGTCTGAGCCCGATGCTCAGACTCTCGACATGAAGATTTGAAATTTGTGCACAAACCCGCACCTTCGTCGACTACATGTCCAGTCGCAGCCATCAGGGTCAGTACTGATTCACAGATACCATATGACATCACTAGAAAGTGTTTATACAATTATATTCGTAAATATGATACATTCATCCAATGCAAATTTGCCGCGTGAGAATTGCCACACAAGGCCATGTAAATATAGCATCGCTTCCTTGCCCCAACTACAAACAATGATGTGCCAGCGGGCTCCGTTCTCATTTAAAATTCTTACAAAGGAGGCAAGTCCTCTCTGCATATAGGGCACTGCAGCCGAAACTTCATCCAGCTCTCCAGGCACGGCGTGTGAAAAATGTGCCGACACGGCGTGACCATGTACAAGCGTCTCGCAAACACGCTCGCGACGCCGCCGCCGCTGCCATCCTCATCCCCGCCGGCGCGCACCACGGGCACCTCGAGAATCTCCTGACAGATGGAGCAGTCAATGACGTGTCGCGCACCGCTGCCCTGCCGGGCCTTGTCGCTCGTCGTTGCGCCAGCCGTGCTGCTCCGCCGTCGCGGCCGATCCTGCGCGGCCGACACCTCGTCAGTGGAAATCAGGCCAATGGGCAGACCGCCGGCCTCGACATTATCCTCGCGCAGCACGGGGTGGTAGTCCCAGGCCTCGGGGAGCCAGCGGGCGGGGACGGCGAAGCGCGGGCCGAGGACATCCTGCGCGCCGAGCAGCACAATCTGCAACCAGACCCAGGCGGCGAGGACGGCAAAGGCGCGGGGACTAGTGCGCGCAAAAAGGAAGTTGTCCGTTTTTAGCCAAAAGTACGCGACCGGCGTCACGCGCAGCAGCGACTGGCCCAGGACAAAGGGCCAGGTGAGGGCGCGGCGGCAGTTACGGATGGCGTTGCGGTGAATCTGCGGCACCCACAACGAGAGGTAGGCAAGGGCGCAGAGGTCGAGGTAGGTGGCACGCGCCGACGGGTACCACGTCGACGAGGACAGCGTGACGAAGCTGATGATGAGGCTCGCGAGGACAAAGCGCCCAATGATGGCCTGGAAATTTTGCCGCGGTGAGGCGGATGGGGGTGTGGTGGTGGTACGGCCGGGGAGGGCGGCAGCACCGTCGGTGATATCGGCGTCGACGTCGCCGTCGAGGGCCACGATGACGGGCTGTACGGGGAGACTGTCGACGCGACCGCCAGCTGTGACGGGGCCGGGGAGCAGGGAATTGGATGGGATTGTCGCAGGCGGAGCGGGAGAGGCGGTGTTGGTAGACGGCTCCGAGCGCGGATGGTTCTCTGGGAACTGGACCTCGTAAATCTTGGCGAGGAAGCTGCCACCAATCGTCATGGATAGAAAGGCCGCAAACATGAGCGCCATGGTCGGCAGGAACGTGGCGCGGGCTGACGACACCCACGTGGCCGAGGCGGTAAAGGTGATGCCATCGACCATGACCATGGCGCCGACAGTGCCGAAGCTCACGCGGCCCATGGTAGACGGCGTGTACGTCTCGCGCATCTGGTTCTTGAGTAAAAATACCTGGCCAAAGACGACGCACGCAAAGATAAGAAGCCACGTCTTGACGCGGTGCGTCTGCACCTCGGCCTTGACACCTGCAAGGTGGTTGGCCTCGCCGGGCGGGTGCGTGGGCGGGCCCTTACTTTCGAGGAAGAAGGCGCAATCGGGCGAATATACGATGGTCGACATGCGCAGCGGGGGTATTTGGCCGACTGGTGCGCCTTGTGGCGCGGCGAGCTCCTCCTCAATGGCGCCAATGAGTCGCGCGAGATCGAGATTGTCCTTGGCGGCGGCGCCGCCGCGCAGGCGATCCCGGTCCGGCGGGTGCACCTGCGCGTACAAGACGTACTCACACTGCGGCGCGGGGCTGAGGAGAAACTGCGGGTTGCTCTGAACCTCGGAACTCCACGGCATGGTCTGGTCCGCGTAGACATTCTTCTCCTTGCTCGTGAGCACGGTATTCAAGCGCTGCGTGAGCAGTGCCTTGCTGGACTGGAAAAAATCGGGGCCGGGCGTCAGGTGCGGTAAGCCAAAGATTCCCTCAAACTTTTCGCTCGTCGTCGTCATCAGCACGACGCCCTGCCGCGGCCAGTGCACGCCCCAGAGGCGCATCTCCCACGTCGACTGCGAGCCCGTCGTGTCCTCGAGCGACAGCGCGCCCTTGACGTTGCGGATTAGCCCGCCCGATAGCGGTGCCTGGTCGCGCGGCAGCTGCTCGTACGCCGTCGTCGTCTTGTTGCCCTCGAGGTGCAGGTGCATGCGGCCCGACTGGCCCGTCAGGTTGCGGCCCCAGCTGATGTGGTCGCCGATCCAGTCCATGTCGGGCACGCTTTGGCTCAGGTTGTAGCTTGTGTAGCTGCGCATGGCGCTCCCCGGTTGGTACACCCAGTCGCCCTCTAGGGTGCCGGAGGCTGTCGCCCAGACTGGCTCCCCTTCGGCCGTATCCCACAGGGGCGGCTTATCCGGCGCAGAGGACACTGCGTGCCGGCTCAGCTGTAGGCTCTTCTTCCTGAACTGATCAAGGTCTTCCCAAGCAAATCCGTCGATTTCTCTGAATCCCGTAATGTTGACAAAGGCCGGTGCCTCCTTTTCGCTCGGTGCGAAGTCCCCCCACTGCGTGCCGTTGAGCACCTCGAGAGCATCGCGGTGCCGCGCCAATCGACGCGCGGCAATGACGGAAAGTAGAGGTCCCGTCTGCCCGACAATGTCGCCCATGGGCATTAGCAGCCATATCATGAGTATGAGAATAGCCAGGCTCGCCCCGGTCTGTTGTCGTGGCGGCATCGTAATGGCGTCGTTAGGTTCGCAATCGAGGGGTCGGCTTCGTGATTTCTTTGGTCTGTACTAGAACCACCACTCTATTGTATGCTCATCTTCGGCGGCATCTCGCTTCCTTGGATTTGGCCCCGGTAATCGCCTGAGGGCCTGTAGAAATATCGACCGACAATGTTGGGTACCTAGGTATGTAGTTGAAGATAAAAAGATCAAGAACGGTACACGAGGCACTGCCGGATGACGCTAGAGAAGCACATGGAGCAGCTTCAGTGGAGCAAGCGCTGCTCGGCTACCCGCCGGTGCCGCCTGCGCGCATCGTGTGCCAAACCTGGAACCATCCAACCATCCACTCTTCAAGACGGCGTTAAACCCGAATTTCAATCGTGCTAATGCGTGCTTGGGAACCCGCCGCAGCTATGGCAGATATGGATTCAGAGAATCGCGATTCCGAAACGCAGATGCGAAATAACGTGAGACAACCCGAAAACGCTTCGCGCAAGCGTTGCACAGGTCCAAGCTTCCACGGCCCAGCAACAGCTCATTTCGGCAACGGCTCTTTATTGATTTCAATTTCACTGACTGGCACAATGGCTTTGATAGTCTGGTGATGACGCGCGCACAGAATTCAACGCTGCGGTAGAAGAGCTCCTCAACACCATCCAGAACAAGTTTGCTGGTGTATCTTCAGAAATATTTGCGAAGCGTGAGTTTTCAAGAACCGACCGCCCACTCGGTTGGTTTATTCACTGACAATGTGCAGTGGATGACATGTCATCAAGGTTGGACAAGCTGGAAGCAGAACTACGCGAAAATAACTCCAAAGACAACTCCTCCAAGCCATAGACGCGCTGGCGCTTCTTGTGTGGTCGTATCATAGAACGATAGTGGACATTTCATGATTACAATCTTCAAACGGTTATAGAATTACGCTTTTGATTCATTCATTTCTAAATGCCCATTTTTCAGGCAACTGTTGTGGTATACATTCAACAAGTATCGCTGCTCTACAGCTCATCCTTCACTTCCTCGATCTTTTCGGCGACATCCTCGACAAACTTCTTGAGGATGTTGGCCTTGGTCTTGATCTCGTCGCGCTTGGACGGGGCGAGTCCGCCCTTGGTTAGGATGCTGTCGAGTCTGGTCGACTCCTTCTTGACCCAGCCCTCGTTCTGGCTGAGCTTGTCAAAGACGCGGACATAGTACTCGGCGTACTTGAGCTCAGCAGCCTCCTTAAACTTGCCGGCCTCCTTCTTCACTTCGGCGGCGACTTCGGTGAGCGTTGCCCCGCCTGTCAGCTTCTTAACGAGAGCGTCGAGGGCGGCAATGGTACCTGCGCTGCCGTCGAGTTCGCCGCCGGGAAGACGGTGGGTACCGGCCTTTTCATTGATGTATTGTACAATGCCGGCCTCGGTGCGGGTCGCGTCGCAGTCGACACCCTCCTTGTCACCAGCAGCAAAGAACTTGATGGTGGGGTAGGACTTGACACCAAACTCGTCGGCCACGGCCTTGCTGTTGGGGGCCTCGGCGTCGACCTTGGCGATGACTACGTTCTTGTCGTTGGCGAAATCGGAAGCGACAAGCTCCCAGATAGGGGCGAGCTTCTTGCAGTCTAGTAGTTCTAGTTAGCAACATGGCCAAGGGTCCCAATAATATGGCAGCTTACGTCCGCACCACTGAGCAGTAAAGGCAACGAGGACGTGCTTGTCACCGCCAACTATCTCTTTGAAGGTGGTGTCGTGGAGCTCCACAACCTCGGAGGGGAGCTCGAGCTTCTTCTTGGCCTTGACGCCAGTCTTCTTGGTGATGAACTCGGTCAAGCTCTCGAGGTCGCGGCCGGAACCATACTCCTCGGGCTTGTCGCTCTTTCCGTCAAAGTATTTGAGCGTGGGGAAACCCTGGACGCCAAAACGCTTGCCGAGGTCGCGCTCGGCGTCGGCGTCGACCTTTGCAATCTGTACCTTGTCCTTGGCGTGCTCAAAGACACCGGCGAGCTCCTCGTAGATGGGGGCGAGAGTCTTGCAGTGGCCGCACCAGGGAGCAAAGAACTCGACGAGGGTGGGCTTGCCTGATTTTAGGACCACATCGTCAAAGTTGCTGGGGATGAGGTCGATGACGGCGGACTTGGCGGCGGCGGTGGCGGCCAGAGCTCCGCAGAGGACAGTCTTGAGTAAGACCATTGTGAATTGGGTGTTTCTGTAAGTAAAAGAAATCAATTGTCAGTTTGTGAGTCAAGACTGAGTCAAGACACTCAATTCAGATTGGGTAATCAAATTGATGCAAGATGGCTGCTTGCGTACGCAAGTCAAGGGGATTTCTTACAAATATACGAGCTTCTATAACACGTATGGCATAGCGAAGTGGCCCCCGTTCAACAATCAGAGCTCCCCATTCAGTGACACACTAGTTAACTAAGGGGCCCGCTCTTGGAGGATATTATCAGCACGTGACGATAAGACACCCTTTCACCTTCAAGGTTCGGACCCACGTGACCGTTCGGATAGTGGACCGTTGTCGGTGGGCTGGGGTTGGCAACCCTCCAATCGGTTGCCAGAATGGGGCGAAGGAAATTCACACAAAAATCACGCCCACCTTAAACCTCGCGAAATCCCCTTCCACATCAAGAACCCAGCCTCCGCCAACACAACCGCAATCATGTCTCACGAAAGCGTCTGGAACTCGCGCCCGCGCACCTACGGCAAGGGCTCTCGCAGCTGGTACGAATAACACCCCGAATCTCCACGATTTCCGCGCCATCCGTCAAGGCGCCAGTTCCGTCTAGCAACACTGCCTTTGACGGTCGGACCGATACGAAAGCCGAGAGAATCCTCGAATTGCTAACAATTGTGCCTCCTTGTAGCCGCGTCTGCAAGCACACCGCCGGTCTCATCCGCAAGTACGACCTCAACCTGTGCCGTCAGTGCTTCCGTGAGAAGGCCAAGGACATTGGCTTCAACAAGGTACGCGATATCGAAAACCACACACTCTCCCAACGCTTCAACGAAGTCACTCAATCGAGGCGAACTACGGGATCAAATCTGGAAAACAGAGCACAAAAGAAAAATGTTGATCAATCACACCATGAGGCAAGATGCTGACCTAGAATCTTTTTCACAGTACCGTTAAATGCGCCCTATTTTATCCTTTACATTAAAAAAAATCCAAGCCGAATCTACTTTCGATCAACCCTCATGGGGAGAGATTAGGGGAGCGAGGAATAGCCATGGGGGTGGGGGGATCAGGGATGATGCATTTGAGTGATGGCGTCGCAGAGATGGAAAAAATTTAAGCACTCGAAGGGCTGCCCGCTTGGAACCGGAGTTATAATGGCTTGCTTTGGTTTTGAGGGTTATCGTGCGTCTGACGATTATCCTCGGTGGATAGACGAATACCATTACGATGGAAATTACATCAACACATCCGTTTCGTGTCGATATATGTGATGATGGGATTATGACGCTTTCCACCAGGTATCTTGGGGTATGCTGCTTAAAGCTTCGACGCCCTGTTACGTCCACGTCGTAATTGCTGTAGATCAATTGATGTGACATTATCGCAAGAGTAGGATTAACAATGACTGAGTTTGACGCACGGCATATCTTCTCATTTGACCGCGGATTCTGGCAAAGTGGCGTGCTTTGGAATTCTTCTAGAGTACATTGAGTGTTACATTTATCTATCACTACCTCCTTTCAACCCGTCTAGAGTACATAGCCAAGACAGTAAAAAGAATCAGAGTGGAGATCCTCGAGGAAGCATCCTCGGGAATATACAAGAGCGTCCATGCTCGTCAAATGACTTTTGCGGCTTTGGCCGCCCCGTATCAAATTGGAGCGTTTGCGGGCCGTTATTTTTTATACATCCTCCAGCGAAATACTATCGCTATACTTCACTTCTTGTACCTGTTTATTTCATAATGCGGGTAATCAGACCAGTGGCAACGGTCTTGCCACCTTCACGGATGTTGAAGCGCTGGCCAATCTCAATGGCGTTGGGGTTGGTGAGAGTCAGGACCATCTCGACGTTGTCGCCGGGCATGACCATCTTGCTAGAAGCATCCTCGGTGCCCTCGGGGAAAGTCATATCAACGGAGTCATCGGCAGTACGGAGGTAGATCTGGGGGCGGTAGTGCTCGTGGAAACCAGTGTGACGACCACCCTCCTCCTTGCTCAGGACGTAAAGAGAAGCGAGGAACTGGCTGTGAGAGGTGACAGAGCCAGGCTTGCAGACGACCATACCACGGCGAATGTCCTCACGACGGACACCACGGACAAGCAGGCCAGAGTTGTCACCAGCCTCAGATCGGTCGCAGGACTTCTTGAAGGTCTCAATGTCGGTAACCTTGGTCTTGATGGGCTCACTACCCTTGCCGACAATCTCGATATCCTCATCGCGCTTGAGGACACCACGCTCGACACGGCCAGACACGACGGTACCACGGCCAGGAATAGAGAAGACATCCTCAACGGACATGAGGAAAGGCTTGTCCATCTCACGCTCAGGGGTGGGGATCCACTCGTCGACGGCCTTCAGGAGCTCATCGATCCTCTCCTGACCAATCTCGGGGCGCTGGTTGTTCATGGCCATGAGAGCAGAGCCCATGATGACGGGGGTATCGTCTCCCTCGAAGCCGTAGGTGGAAAGCAGCTCGCGCATCTCCATCTCGACTAGTTCCAGCATTTCAGGGTCGTCAATAGCGTCAACCTTGTTGACGAAGACGACGATTCTCTGGACGCCGACCTGACGGGCGAGCAGCAAGTGCTCACGGGTCTGGGGCATCTGGCCATCGGAGGCGGCCACGACAATGATGGCGCCGTCCATGTTGGCAGCACCAGTAATCATGTTCTTGATGTAATCGGCGTGACCAGGGCAGTCGACGTGGGAGTAGTGGCGGGCGTCGGTCGAGTACTCGATGTGAGCAGTAGAGATTGTGATACCACGCTTGCGCTCCTCGGGAGCCTTGTCAATGGCACCATACTCGAGGAAGTTGGCGAGGCCCTTTTCGGCCTGTCGCTTGGTGATGGCGGCGGAGAGGGTAGTCTTGCCGTGATCGACGTGGCCGATGGTACCTAGACACAGTGAGTTAGCAGTCAAAAGCATGCGGGATGTAGAATTGATGCTTACCAATGTTGACATGGGGCTTGCTACGGTCGTGAGTAGCATATGTGCGGTAGGCGTTCAGAATGCTGGCAACATTCTGCGTCTTGACGGAGCGAAGGGGGTTCGCAGTGAGACCCTGTCGCGCCGTGCGCATAAACGGCGCGATGGACCGAAAAGCGACGGACATTGTGAAGGTTCGGGGTATTATAAAAGGATACTAGAGGTACAGAAGAGAAACAACGCGACGGGGTGGAAAGAAAATCAGGCGAGGGAAATGAATGGGTAGAGAGGCTCTCCTGCGTAGAAATGCACTCTGAAATTTTTAAGAGCTCCAGCGTCGCGCATCAATTGGCAACTGGCAATTGGCCAGGGGCCATGGTGGAGGTTGGAACTTTTAGTCAGGCAAATAATTAGTGCAGCCCACTTTGCTTGAGTGTCAGTCACGTGGAGCGCCAAAACTGACCCTGGTCGTCGCTCATCTGAGTATTGACGAAGAACAGTTCGCAGTGTATTTGCAGCCGTGGCATCCCATCTTGTTATCTTGACCGTCTCGAAATCATTACAAGCGTCTTGGTGTGCTGTGGCTGTCGGTGACAAATCAGTTGCTCGCAACGTCCCGCCACCCTGTGCCACTTAGCGAGGCTCCTCGGCGCACCCGGACTTGATCAAAATCTCCCGCAAATACCTCACAAAACTTTTCATAAATCTCCCCAAAACAATCCCCCAATCATTCACAATGGATCCTCTCATGGAAGACAGCAACGCCGATGCGCCTAGCCTCAACTTACTTGGCCAGGCCGCAGCCAAGCTGCTGGAATACGGCAACAACGCCAGCAACAACCTGCAGGACACGTTTACCAAGATGACAATCCATGGCTGGCTTCGCCTCACTGTCATTGTCGGAGGATATCTTTTGCTACGCCCATATGTCCTGAAACACGGCGTCAAGACGGCAGTATCGAAGATGGAGGACGACGAGGAGAGAGAACGAGCCAAGGCTGCTCTGACGCCCAACGAGTTGAGGGGCGCCAAACAACAGCTGGAAGAGCATCTGGAGGACGACGGCGGCGACGGCACAGGTGCTGACTGGGGTCAGAAGGCCAGAGTGCGCCAGCGCATCATGTTGAAGGAGATGCTGGAGGCGGAGGAGCAGAGGCGGATGGAGGAAGAGGAAGACGACAGGGACATTGCTGAATTTTTGGAGGACTAATAAGCGCTGGGTCTTTGTGGCTTGCAGATTCACTGCATCATGTCACATGGCTCTGAACCATTATTACGAACGATAGACTTGTTTATAGTGCTTTGATTGGGCTGGGCATGAGGATTGCGTGTCTTGGCGAGGCAGTATTTGTACTATTACAACTTTGAGTTTGGCGACTATTCATTGCATTTGCTGGCATGCGGCTTTACTACCTGGATGTCTCCTGCTTACTACCTACGCGCGTGAGGCCTGTTTTCTGACAGGGCACTGGACACGTTTTCCGCTCAACATGTGATTTTCCCCTGTCACAACGCTGTCAGGCTACTACGACGTGTAAAAAGACCTCTATACTTTTTATAAGCCGTGTCAGAGACGTTAACAGCGTTGTGACAGGGGAAAATTATCTGCGACCTGTCTAGTACCCTGTCCAAAAACAGGCCTCACTCGCGTATGTAGCCAGGTACGAGTTCGATTTGTACAGTGACTGAGGTAGGTACCTACCTGTAGGCAGTAGCCTGATGGGATCTCTGGTGGCAGCCTACGGCTTGCGCGACACTCGAAGAAGGACGAAGCACTGCCAAAAACAGACGCATATAAATAGAGTCTTGCTGGTACCATTACTTTCGAAACATTTGGCCGTCGCCAACTGCCCCAAGAGTCAACAGGCAGTTCTAGAATCTGCTGATGCCAAGCCCGCAGGCGTTGTGGCAGTGGCGGGGCCGCTGACGGGCCGCTCTTCGGCGCTAAAACGACCATGCGGGTGGCCTGGCAGGGAGGGAGACAATAAACCGCCGGTTAAGTAGCTTTTGAAGTATTATTGTATACCAAGTGCTTTATCTTTGTAATTATATTCTTTTTCCTTATCTTTGCTATTCTTCTTATCCCTCCACTCTTTATTATTTTAACTCCCGTTCTTCCTTTTTCCAGTAAGCTTTTCTGATACAGAGTATACACTGATTTGTATGGGTCCCCTGCGTGCCTGCCTGGTTGCAGTGTAGCTTGTCGTCAGCGATTTAATCGCAGATGTATAGTGCCAAAAAGTTTACATATGAATGCTGCCTTTGGTTCCTAGTTAGAAGCAGCTCTTGCTGTACGAGAACGCATAACCCGAACCCTGCTTGGAAATGTGCCAACGGTGGCGGAGTGGATGTGTGGAAGCAACCTTAACAGGTACTAAGGTATTATTTAGCCCACCGGCTGGCTCCCCGCGCCATGTCATGCCTTCGCCGCCTCTACCACTGCGCCTCCAGGCTTCCCACTTGCATGCATAGGCTTGTGACTACTTTTCAAAACTCCCAAGTCCTTCTCCGTCTTTTATTTTCCTTGCTCTTGCATAGCGAAGCGTTGTGTGCCTGTAACGCTCGTCTCTTCCTTGCCTGATCCTCTGTTGCCTTGCCTTGCGTCACTGCAGATCCTTGCAAGCTAGGTAGCCTTGCCTTGGTCACCGCAAGTCATTGCGACCAAGTGGCAGCCTACAGCTCAAAAAATCATACATCATCGGCTTGATTCCTACCGTGGGACAGCTCCTGCGGTGTCATGTATCCAACACGCAACGCCAAGTGATTTTTCGAAATGGCTGATTCCGTCAATATTCAAAACCTGCTTCAAGCGGGGTACTTTACAACCTCACGGAGCAGAAGCAAATCTCCGAACCAAGAAGAGGTCGACCAGTGCCCAGACCCTCGCCGCTTAGTGCAGCCGCGCGACGACTACGACTACGACTCTCGATACGACCGGCAGCGCAGGAGCCCGTCTCCTATCCGTCTACCGCCCCCGCCTTCGCTCACCCGTCCCGCGGCCGCGTCCCGGAGCAAGCCTGTGCCTCCTCGTCCTACCGTGGACGATGAGGATAGCATACTCGACAAGGAACACGGCTACACAAAGACTGTTCTTCCTGAGGAGGAGGCCGCTTCCAAGGGTGATGCCGACCAAGCTCAGACTATTATGGAGGTCCATGAGTTTAACCCTGAAAGGCGATTCGTTCTACTCGACGATGAGTCGGCCACTTCTACCGACGGCGACCGCTCCGACTCTGTCGAGGAGAAAGTCGACCCCAGACCTAAATCCACCGAAAACTCGAAAGCAGCGGCTCGTTCTGGCGATGCAAACCAACACTCCCCACGCTCGCGAAGCGCTGGTCTTTCCCCGCCGCCTCCGCCTCCGCCGACAGGCCGAAGACGAAGCAGACAGGACTTACCTGTCCTGGAGACGGAGTTGAGTGATCGTCAGTATACAGAGCACCATCGGAGTAGGTCCGCTGTGAATGGTCCGCGCCCCGACTACTTCAACCCCTCGCAATCTTCCCGGGCATACGGCGACCAACTTCTGTCCCCCGACTTTACCAAGCACAGTTCCCGCGGAAGAGACGACGGCTACTACGGTCGCGAGCACAGGGACAGATCTCGTGAGAAACGCCGCTCTAGAATCAGCCCAGAAAATTCTGCCAGACGCTCAGACACTGCCTCCGAGTATCGAGCCCCCAGGCGTACCAGTTCAATCGATAGGGACAGCGATCGTCGAAATCGAGGCTTCTGTTCGAGTGCTTCTCGGGAGGCCGCCTATTCCAGACCAGTCCAGCCCCCTTTAAGAGAAACCCCGAAATTGTCAGCACGCACATCTCGCGAGCCTAGTCGCTCCAAGGATGAGTATCCAAAGACGTCTCAACCTCTACCAGCGTCGCGAATGCCCCTCATTGTGCAGGAGGATAGTCCGGTGAATCTTCCTAGGGCATCAGAGCCTGAGAGAGGTAGTGCGGCAAACCCGTCAGCAAAATCAAGCACTGTACCTCCTGAGAAAATACCACCTCGGACAAATACGATGCCTGCCTATCCCGTCGAAAAGCCACCAGTGCTTCGACCTGCGGCCACAATCAACCTAGCCAGGGAGTCTCAGAATGCGGTACAATCACCCCTGCCTTATCCTGAAGAAGACGCGTTTCCTGTCGATCCCTTTTCGCTTCCTCGGGATGCAAGCCACCCCACCAATGGTCCTCTTTCAAACATCCATATGCCAGCACTCCCGCTCGATTTCACTGCTGAGACTCCAGCAAGACAGCGGCCTGCAAATGCAAATGGATTCCAGTCTAGCTCCCCGGCACATGATTCTAAAGAATGGAAGCTGGGCAGCTTCGATCCAGAAAGGGATGGCGTCAAGGTTGACCGCCCCGTCGGAGCGTTTCGACGATATTCGGAGAACAAAGCCGAAGGAGCGTCGGACCGGCTTCCAAACTGCCCTCGAACGAAGCCAGTAGCTGGCAGGGTAGATTGGCTCACCCTCCCCAGAACGGATTTCAACATTTGTCCCGAGTGCTATGGTCAAGTCTTTTACAACTCGGACTATCGAACCCATTTTCAGCCTGTGCTGCGTCCGACTATGGATGCTATTGTTTGCGACTTTGGATCCTCGCCGTGGTATAGAATCGCATGGCTTCTGATCTTAAAAAACAATGACACGGATCTTCGAGTCTTTCACGATATTGCCGCCATTGCCTCGGCGTCTCGCGGCTACCTTTGTCCTGGCGACCGCAAGACGACAAGAGAATGGTACACAATCAGGGATCCCTACACGAAGCGTCCGGTTCCCAAATTTACCGTTTGTTACCAGTGTGCCAAGACCGTGGAAGCTCTCTTGCCCCGCCTCAGTGGTATTTTTGTGCCTCTGGACTCGAGGTCAAGCCCTGTTCGCAGCAACTGTGCACTACACTTTGAACCCGATCGAACAGAGTTTGTCTTTTACTTTGACTCGTTTGAGACTACCGCCGACAAAGCGGAGAAGTCGAACAAGGGTCCTGATCTGGGCTATCTGGCGCAGAAGCTGGAGCGTCTCTGTGCGCACACGGCCTGCCGAGAAGACAAGCCGATCACGGATGGCTACTGGCACTTTATGCAGTTCCTGCCCGAACTTACCGTCTGCGCAGACTGCTTCGAAGACGTGGTGCAGCCACAGCTGTCAGAAGAAAACGTCATTGCGCGCAACTTTTACATTAAGCCGCGGAAAGTCCCATTGGCGACCTGCCAGCTGTATTCGCCGCGGATGCGCGATGCTTTTAAGCGAGCATGCCGTCGAAACGACCACAAGTATCTGGAGAGCAAGGTCAAGGAGAGGCTGGAGGTGGAGTCGAGCATCAAGAGCAAGCTCGCAAAGCTGGATAGAGATGGGCCGAGGGACGCACGCAAGGAGAAGCAGATTGATGCATTGATTGAAGAGTGGAAGGAGTGGGAATGAGGAGGGCTGGTTGTAGAAGCACGGGTTAGTTTGAGAGCGTGGCATTGCTATTGATATGTAGATTTGCGCGTAATAATAGACCCTAGGTGACAACGATGATACGAGGAACCGAATGATGCTGGATGTGCTGGCTCGGAATTTTACCTCTATGCTTCCATCGGGATAGAATATGTACTCAATGGTATGATCGGCAACTGTCCTGACCACAAAGTACTTTGCAGACACTTGTATAGGAGCCGGTTGTGTGGCCGTTGCAGAGGATCGTCTGCCTGGTACTCGAACAACAAGCTCGCGACCTCACCATGCTCTGATACAGTACCAATAATACCGCACCGAGGTACCGCATTGCTTGCCCAAAGTGCCTTTAATCAGGCCATGTACGCAGGCGACAAGATGTACAACATGCTCTCGCATATCTACCGTGTGTGCCGTGCTGTAATGCCTACTGGTACGTGCTTTTAGGCAGCCGGCTTCTCGACAACGGCAAAGCAGAGAATCGTCCCCGATTGCAGAGCGTGTGACTTGAAGCTGCGGGCGCTTTTCATTAAGAGCATGATGATTGGTGGGAGTATCAACCGGCCAACAAGTTGGGCAATGGCTCTTGTGACTTATCTCTCTACGTCTGTGTCGTAACGATTCTCAGTCTTTCGCCCCTCAACGTCGCTCGAAATAGTCTACTTGGCCGACTTCTTGGTGATACCTACTCTGCAATCTTTGATGTTTGTTGATTCAACTACTGTGTGTACCCCATTTACTGCATCTCCATCAAAATGATGGCCGAAACAATGGCCCACCGCAAGGCGCGAACCTGCACATCAAGTCGACGTTTTCCATGCACTTCTTCTAATGAATGATTTATTCGCGGTTCGTACTTGACGTACGAGAGTTTGGGAAATTCCATTCGAGTTCCTACCTCCGGACATCTGTACAGTAACATGGAATGCATTTGGCAGATTGCATAGGCCCCAGCTGTATGGAACCACAATGATGCATCGCGTCAGAACTTGACACGGCCATCATTCTCTCTGCTAAGAGTTAAAGAATTGGAAACGTAAATTGTACTTTATATTACACGGCCCGTTTAAACGGGGAGCAAAACAACAACCTTGTTTTGCTGCGGCCTGCCCACACGCGCGTTCTCGTTCTCACCGCGTACCCCGCATAGCCTCGACCTCGCGCCGCAGCGCATCCAGATCGGCCAGTATGTCCGCTCCCTTGCTAGAGTCGACGGGCGGGACGAGGCCGCCGCGAGCGTCCGCCATCTCAGCGCTCGACGACGTGCGCGTCGGGCTGCTGCTGCCGCGCTGGCGCCGGGGCGGCGGCGGTGGCGGGTGCGCGCCGCTGCTGTCCCGCTTCTCGAAGGATCCGCTGCCGCTGCCGCCGCCAGGCAGCCGGCGTACCGAGGATGGATTTCGGGCGGGTGGCCGCGGCGGCACCGCCGCGGGCGACTTGCTTCCCTTGGAGGGGGGGCTGCTAGGCGTGGCCGTTTCCGGCTGGGCGCTGCGCTGCGGGATCGATGACGACGACGATGTAGAGGGCGACGACCCCGAACCGCCACCACCGCCGCCCTGCTTGGGCGTGGCGTGCGGCCGCCGGGGTGGTGGCGGCGCGGGGATGTGCGCCCCGCGCTCTTGTCGATGCGTCGAGTCAATCGAGGAGCGAGGCTCGTGGTCGTCTTCGCCCGGCTTGAGTGACGCGGCGGGTGACAAGTTTGTCTTTGTATCTGTGCGTGCGTGCCCGCGTCGTGGGGGCGGTGCTGGTGCCGACTTCTTGGTGCCGCTCGGCGCTGCCGCCTCGTGAGCATGTGAGTCATTCGATGAGCCCTCGTCCGACGGAGACTCTAGGTCATGGCCACTTGGTGTGCGTGAATGTGATGTGTATTTGGTCTCTGGTGACGCCGCGTGATGTTCGGGTCCTAGTTGCGTCGGCTTCGGCTGGTCGCTCTTGATGGTCTTGCCGTGGCGGGAGCTTGGTGGCGGCGGCGGCGCAAGCTTCTTATCTTTGCCAGATGCTAAAGGCGGGACGACGCGGTGGTCTTGCTGTATGTTGTCACTGTCGCTATTTCGTAGACTGAGCTTTGGCTCTCCCTCTGGCGCAGCCACAATCTTATTCGCTTCCGCGTTCAAGGACGCGAGCTCTTGTTCAGCAGCTGGTGCCTTGGCGCCTTGTATGGCTGAACTGCCCGTCAGGAGCAGCCTTTTGAAAGCATCCACATTGAGGGCCGGCGTGCCGGCATTGGCAGCCTTGAGAACCTCGCCCTCTTCCCTCTGCTGTAGGTCCAGCTCCTCCTTGTTTGATGTGTCTTCTATATCTTGCAACGTGCGGCTAAACGGGTTGCCGGGCGGTGCCCCCAGCGCCTGCGGAGCAGACGCATAGGCACCGGCAGGGGTCTTTGGATATGGCGTTGTCGCCGCGCTGTCCCGGTCGCTTTCGTCTGTCGCTGAGCCGGCAAAGGGGTCATAGTCGACCGGGGGTGGCACAAGGCCTTCCCCGGTCCGGTACATGGGTTCGACCTCGGGCCATTCTGGGGAGTCGGGCGACAGCGGGGGCGGTGTCAGCACTCTGACCTTTTTCACGAGCTTCTTCTTGCGCTCGTGCGCTGGTGCGGGCTCGTCGTCTGCGTCGCTGGGTTCTGGTTCGCGAAACGACGTGCGCGGGGGCGCGGCGTGCGTCTGTGTCGTGTCTATGGGGTCGAGGGATGGGAGAGGTAGGTCGGCTGTCTTTGGCTGCAAGACTGATTTCCGAAATGGATTAGATGACGCCATGGTGCGTTGTGAGTTTGACTTTGCAGTCCTGTATCGTCTGTCGTGTGATGTTCGTCTATAGAGTAGGTATGTTGGGCCTGAGTGGCGTTTCACGCAGGAAGCTCTGTAAGCTGAGGTGTGGTGTTGTGCCTTTGAGAATACCACGGCGGATGCTGCTGGCGGGGTGAGGTAAAAAGGGCAGACTGTCTCGGCGCGAAAGATGGCTCAGACAGTATGGGCAGAGAGCTTCAGGCCATCTTCAGAGGGAGATGTATGTGGAGGGACGCCAGCTCTTGCGTCGTGCAGCGTGTACCCTCCGCCCGGGGACGAGATGACGCGGAGACAATTTCTGTAGCTGGCCGGGTTGTTTGAGACACGCAGTGACGTATGGACGAGTTTGAGGAAATTATGGCCGGCGAGATAGAGGAAGGCAGGCAAGGCGTTAATGCGAGGTTTGGCGCCGGAAGAAGCGGTTGGCTTGCGTAGGTACTCGCTTCCCCTCCTTCTGCTGTTCCATTGGGTGCGCCTCTGAGGTCCGGCGCAGGTACCTTGGTACATCGGCCGGAGCTCTTGGAACGGGTGGGGCTACGACCTGGCAGTGCTGGTGATAAACCTGTACCCACAGTTTCGCCTAGATTGTATGTGAGCACATGTACAGCGCTAACTCCCTCGGTCGTGGACAGCTTCACCCACCCTACAGCAAAACAGATAGGGCGATTTTGCGCCAAAAAGGGGTGATAGCACTCATTAGCTGTGCGAAACCAATATCATTATGGTTTTTAGTGACTTTCACATCGAGCAACTCCCAAATAATGGCGGTTTTCTGCGTGGCCGCCGTATTCACTTACACGATGCATTTTCGTGATGGCCTCACCGAACATCATGACACAAACTACCTCGTCTTTCCAGCCTACATATCCATGCCAACTCCAATCCCAGTGTAATAACGCGTAAGAAGTGTAAAATACGAATCATACTCACTGTATGCATGAACTACCTTGGCACCTTCCTTCGCACACTACTATTGTCACGCCACTAGTTACAAACGTCATGTCGGCAAGACAAGCGCATCGCGGAGCCTTCACGTGCCATGATGGGCGGCATACCGGAACGCCCAGAAATCCGGAAGGGACAACCGCGAAACACATCAGCAGGCCGGCAAATGCAGACGAGACAAGCTCTACCCGATTCGGACAAGTAAACAAAACCCGGGGTCCGGCGCGTCAGGGGACCAAAGTGACGCGCAGGCCATGCCAATAGTCTCCCACAACCTTACTGGTAGTAATTTGTATTAGGACCTTGTAAAATAGCAATCAATGCGGGGAACAAACAAATGCAAGTCGAACAAGACATGGTTGTAATATGTATTTTTACACTTCTAGTGGCGCGTCGTCCAACCCATTAGCTCGAGGAAAAAGAAGCCCGTTCTTCCCTTGAAAAAACCATACATGAAGGAAAATGGTGAAAAAAACGGCTGTGGTGCCCTGGTCGCGAATCACGCGCCAAGGATGGTATCAGTAACACAACACGCACAGAAAGTAGAACCCTCATTTCCCTTTTCCCCTTTGCCCGCGCCAATTCCGCACACCGACTCCGTTTCCGTTGGATGCATTACCAAAAGCAATGGAGCCAAAGACAGGAAAGAAAAGAAACCAACAAATATATCCCAGTCGCTGTAAAGTCCCCCCTCCCTTCCCTTCCCACATAGACCGATCCGTTGAGTAAATAAACAGAGATATCAAAAGCAAACCAAAAAACGCCAATGACCGATTTCGTTACATCTTCAAAAAGGAACACCCAAGACACCAATGAAGCCGTCTCGAGATAAGAGAACTTATTTGGCGGCAGCAGCTTTCTTAGGAGCCGCCTTCTTGGGGGCAGCCTTCTTGGTGGTGGGCGCGGCGGCCTTGGCGACACGGCCAGACTTGGTCTTGGTCAGGACCGTCTCGGGCTTCTCCGCCTTGGGGGCGGCAGCCTTCTTAGGGACAGCCTTCTTGGGAGCGGCAGCCTTCTTGGCGGGCGCGGCGGCGGCCTTTTTGGGCGCAGCAGTCGCCTTCTTGGGGGCGGCGGCCTTCTTTGTGGCAGCGGCCTTGGGGGCGGCGGCAGCAGCAGCCGTCTTCTTAGGAGCGGCAGCGGTGGTGCTAGCGGCGGCCTTCTTGGGGGCAGCGGCCTTCTTGGGCTCAACCTTCTTCTTGTCGAGCTTGGTGCCGCCAGAGGGACCCTTGGGCTGGGCAAATACACCCTTTTCGACGCCGGCCTTGAGGGCCTTGTTGAAGAGGGAGTCGAACATGTTGTCCGAGACGTTTAGGGCGTTGTTGGCCTTGACGTATTTCTTGAGGGACTGACGGCTGGAGCCATTGCGGTCCTTGAGCTGCGCGATTGGTTAGTACAGGAGCGTTGGTGGCAGTGCTGGGTTGGTGAGCGCGACGGAGCGCGTTGCAAAGCCGACTAGGCAAAAGGTGTCCACGGCCGGCGCGGAGAGCAGAGTAATTGACAAGAAAGTTTAATAACACATACGTTGACAATGGCATCAGTGATCATATCCTGTAGCAATTTTTGTTAGCAACCGTGAAAATAAAAGGTGTGGGCAGAGCGACGCGAAGACGCAAGAGCTCGAGGAAAAAAAACAAACCTGGTAGGAAGCGTGGGAGGCCTTGGCCTTGGGAGCAGCAGCAGCTTTGGGAGGCATGTTGAGATTGGTTTTTAAAAAAAGTGGTTGATTGGAGAGAGGCGATGAAGAAGTCGAAAGAGACTGGGCGGGCGGAAGATTGGAAATGAGAAGGGTGCTTCAAGAGATCAAAGAGCAGGAGAGGCGAGCGAGTCGGGCGCGTGGGAGGGACGGGGAGATGTTTATATATGAGGCGGGGCGAGGCCGCAATCAGTAGCTCTGCTGGCGGCGTTGTGGGCGACGATTTTTGGAGGGAGGGGGGGGGGCTTCTGGCACGAGGACTGTCAAGTCTGTGTTTGTTCTTTGTTTGAAAATAATAAAATCAAAAGGATGCATCTTTGAATTGTTTCTACTATTCATTCTTTTTTTTCCCCATCCTCATCCCCCCTTCTCAGTCTTGGGTGTTTTTCTTTTGTCGCATCTCTTGGTTTGCTGCGTGTCGACAGTTGCAGAAGCAGAGGCAGCAGTTAATAGAGCAGAGACAAGTATCAGCCCAGGCAGGCCGCGCGCAGCTGGTTGTGAACGGTGTGGCGGTACTTGGCCGGTACCTCGCTTCATGGCACAGCGGCTGCCCCGCTCAGTATCTCTGTATTCATTTGCTGGACCTCTCGTCATAAATGCACCCGCTTTTTCCGTCTGCCGCTGTGAAGCTTTCGCGGCAGACCACCACACGCTAGGCCCGGCCGGTGCAGCTTCAGCCACAGCCAGTCTTGTACCCTTTTCGCGTCATCCGCTCACAATGTCTACATTCATCGTCCATCCGCCACACCTAAATCTCGGTTGCCCCACCTGTGCTTCCCACCCGAAAATACTGCCCCCCTGCCTCGTGACCAATTTTCTGATTGGCCAGCGCCACTCCAAGCACCTCCAAGCACCTCCCCCGCCATGATCCAGCTTGTACCCTTCAAGTCCTCTTTCCTCTGATCTGCTGAGCCGGTCCCTCGTTCCATCTCGTCCTCGTCCTCGTCCTCGCCCATTGCTGGTGAAGCCTCTCGCCAGATGTTGCTACTCGGCCTTCCCCCTCCCTTTTTTCTCTCGTCCGCGTTTCCTTCTGTCCTCTGGCTCTCTCCTTCTCTTGTCTGCTCACCCTCCATTACGATTTCCATGAGTCATTTTTTCAATTCCCCCCCTCCTTGATCATCTGAGTTTCCTATTAGCTTGTCGGTTGCGATTTGGAAACGTCGACCGCCACCAACATGTGTAGATGCCCGCACCGCATACCTACCTTCACACAATTCTCTTGCACACTCTTGGGCGCATCCTGAATTGTCCAATCGCTAGTTGTCGCCTCTATTAATGTCAAATGAATATTACTGTAAAATCTTCGTCGCTTTCATTTGAGCACCCATGTGCCTGTATTTTTGGCCAATTTGGTACGCGGATGGTTGATGCGCGTGCGCCGGACTTTTCCTCGTCGCTCGTAGCCCGCCCGCCGGTCCATCCTGAAGCTATCCGCGAAACTGGCCCTCGATATTGTCTTCATCAACAACAACCGCATTTCAGTTCATTATTGCATTTTTGAGTGTCTAAAATGAATACAGTAACCAAATATATATTTTGTGCAAGTTCTACATCAAAATTAGCCATCGTTGTCGAGATATGATGCCAGGTGTTTCCATCGTCGTTTTTTCCGCTCGCGTTTGCAAAGTTGACAAGTTGGCGCGGAGCACAATCATTCAGCACACCGCGCCAACTTATTTATTCACTCCTGAAACTATACGCAATCAACCAGAAATCAATTGCTTGTACGTTTGAAGTATTTGATTATGCAAATTTCTCTCCAAACCGCTCTACAAACCGCCGTTCCAACAGTCACCGCTTCCGACCGTGACGCCTGATTCAAAACATGGCCTCGGTATCTTGACTTATACCGATTTTCTCTTCCATGCCCTTTGGTAGTCTTAAACTATCCTAGATATAATATTTGAAGAGCATTGACGCAGAAACCACGTCTTCTCAGCCCCTAGTTGAACTGTTGAGGTGCCATACTCGATACTTGCCTGCGAGTGCGAGGGGCTGATGGCCAAAGTCGACGTGGCACCAGCGCTTTTCACGCCTCAGAACGTTCCTCCAGGCAACTGTCCCCACAACGCGTGAATTTGCAATCCAACATCTATCGACATCCTCTATGGGGGGCGTGAATTTGTTTTCCAGACACTCTTTCTTTCTCTATCACTCTACACCACATGCTGGCGGCGTACGGCCACTACAAGGCTGTCTCGTCAGGTGCGCACGATCAAGTATGCGTCTCAGTGCCAAGTCGCACCACACTACACACAAGACATGTAAAAATGCTAGAATAATAGAAATAGCCTTCTGGGCTACTCGTAAGGATTGCCAAATACATATATTTACCATAACCGAATTTCCAGGTTAGATACACCCAGCCTCGGCTTGACGGCCATTGGGTTCCTGGCGCCTGATCACTTACACGACGTTGCCGGTCAGGTGAAAGATCACGTGAGCTACCGCCCCCTGCAACCGTGCCGCGTCCTGCGCAAGTTGCAATTCGGCCACTTGCTGCTGGACTAGGCTAGGCTATGTAGTTAACACAACGAACACACATCCGGTGCGGCAAGCTTCTGATGCCAGGACCATTTGCCGATTCCACTGCGCTGCTAGCAGTGCTGTCAACCATCTCACTTGTCGAAATAGCTGACCTGGTACAAGGCGATGCAATTTTTCTAGCTGTAGCAGCCATGCCCCCGTGCCTGACGGTGAGAATCGTATTTAAGCAAATATTTTTAGATGCGGTTTGCTTCGCAACCTCGGGCAAATTCGCAGATTTGTCCTTCACCGCGCTTCAACACCGTTTCGTGATGCCTCTTTCGCCAGATGTGGCGCAGCTATGCCGGTGCCACAAAGCTGTGGCTAGTGGAGAGTTCATCGTTCATCGCCCCTGCCTCGTTGAAGCTGGTAGGCATTTTGTGGGGCCCTACTGTTGGACACGTCGGCCACCATTTTATATCGACAGTTGTGCGCCGCGGCTCTGTCTCTTGTCTCTGGCCGGTGCTTTTTGCAGCAATTGTTCCTGTCGGGGCTCTGTATCATGGGCAGTGTCCCTCACATTCTCCCCCGTCGATTTTGTCTCTTGCCTCTGCTGTAAATTCAACAACGACTGCACTCACCAACAACACTCGTCGTACCGACCAGGGAGCCCCTCATCGCCAAACTCCCTGGCCCGCCCCTACTGCTCCGTCCCGGCTTCGACGCCCTCTTCAACCCCGACTCCCACACGACAAACGCGGCCCTCCTTTAGCCACAGCCATGGCCGATTACACCCAGTTCCACGCCCTGGGCCATGGCGAGCAGTACGACCCCAACGATCCGAACAAAACGAGCGCCCCAGCTGCTCAACATTTTATGCCTCCCGTGGCCCCCAACCCGTACCAGCAACAGCAACCATATGGCGCCCCCCCGTACCAAGCAGGACAGGCTGCCCCGATGGGGGGTCCCTCGCATTCAGGATTTCATGGCGGTGCCCCTCCGCCTCAGCCAGACACATTGGCTGCGCAAATGGGCGGCATGAGCCTCGGTGTCGATGGCCAGGGCACTGTTCGCAAGAAGAAGAGAGATCGCCATGCCCACCACACCGTCGAGCCAACAGGCTCATCGCACGCCTTCAATGGCATGCCCACCGCCGGTGTCGGCGCCAGTCAGTTCCTCAACAATGCCGGTAGCCCCTCGATTCCTGCCTTTGGCACTCAGTTCGACAGCCAAGCAGCGCCTCACACACACTACGGCGCCCCGGCTCCGTCACCGCTTGGCGGTGGTCCAATGAACTCTACTGGCCCTGTGAATCCCATCTCAGGAAGCGATTTTGGCGATGCTGCCGCTTCTGTCCCGGCTTCGGGCACCGGCAAAGTCTCTGCCGACGACCTCCCCAGTGTGCCGGCTGCTCGTGACGCTATCCAGCAGTACTTTCTCAAAAATATTTATCCTACTTTTGAGAAGCACGTTCCGCCGCCTGCCTCAGTCTCCTTCGTCGCCCACGATCAGGGCAACTCGTCGCCCAAGTATGCTCGACTGACAATGAACAATGTCCCTGCTACCCCCGATGGCTTGCAAGCTACCGGTATTCCCCTCGGTTTACTCATACAGCCCCTCGCTCCTCTTCAGGCTGGCGAAGCTGAAGTACCTGTTCTCGACTTTGGCGAGGCTGGTCCGCCCCGTTGTCGCAGATGCCGCGCTTATATCAACCCCTTCATGATGTTCCGATCCGGAGGCAACAAGTTCGTCTGCAATCTTTGCACATATCCCAACGATACCCCACCCGAATACTTTTGCGCTACCAGTCCCCAAGGCGTCCGCGTCGATCGTGACCAGCGTCCAGAGCTACATCGTGGAACCGTCGAGTTTGTGGTGCCCAAAGAATACTGGACAAGACCTCCTGTCGGTCTGCGCTTCCTCTTCCTCATTGACGTAACACAAGAGTCTTTCAACAAGGGCTTCCTAGAAAGCTTCTGTGACGGAATACAAGCTGCGCTTTACGGAGGCGAGACTGACGAAGACGGCGAGCCCAAGAGACGTATACCCCAAGGAGCCAAGGTCGGCTTCGTCACATACGACCAAGACATTCACTTTTACAACGTCAACGTACGTTTCTGCATCGCATATCTCGTGTCGATTTACATCCTAACCGATTTTATAGCCTGGTCTCGATCAAGCGCAGATGCTCATCATGCCTGATCTCGAAGACCCCTTCTTGCCCCTGGGCGAAGGTCTGTTCGTCGACCCGTATGAATGCAAGTCAACCATTACCTCGCTTCTCAACCGCCTGCCCGAAATGTTCTCGACCATCAAGAACCCGGAGCCTGCCATGCTGGCCGCTCTGAGCTCCGGTTTGGCCGCTCTGGAGGCGACTGGTGGCAAGATCATCTGCTCTTGTGCTGCCCTGCCTACGTGGGGCCCTGGCCGACTGTTCTTGCGCGATGATGGCAGCCATCCTGGCGGTGAATCTGACAAGAAGCTGTATACTACCGAGCATCCCGGATGGAAGAAGGTGTCGGAGAAGATGGCTGCCGGCGGTGTTGGTGTTGATTTCTTCTTGGCCGCTCCTTCTGGTGGATACCTTGATATTGGCACGATTGGGCATGTTGCCGCCACAACTGGTGGTGAAACGTTTTATTACCCCAACTTCATTGCTCCTCGCGACAGCCCTAAACTGTCGACGGAAATCGCCCATGCTGTTACGCGCGAGACTGGTTTCCAGGCGCTAATGAAGGTTCGATGTTCGAATGGTTTGCAGATTGCGGCCTACCACGGTAATTTTGTGCAGCACACGTTTGGTGCCGATCTTGAGATTGGTGTCATTGATGCCGACAAGGCGCTGGGTGTTTCCTTTTCTTATGATGGCAAGCTCGACGCCAAGCTCGACGCCCATTTCCAATCGGCTCTTCTGTACACGACTGCCTCTGGTCAGCGCAGAGTACGTTGCTCAAACATCATTGCTAGCGTCAGCGACACGTCCAAGGAGGCTGGCGTACGCGAGCAAGGCATTCGTGCGTGCATGAAGTTTGTTGACCAAGATGCCGTCATTGCTTTGCTTGCCAAGGAAGCGAGCACCAAGCTCTCAACGACATCTAGCAGCCTGAAAGATACGCGCAACTGGTTGACGGAGCGAACCATTGACATAATGTCTTGCTACCGCAAACACTCTGCTCAACAACACCCCCCTGGGCAGCTGGTGATGCCGGAGCGACTCAAGGAATTCTGCATGTACATGCTTGGATTGCTCAAGTGCAGAGCCTACAAGGGTGGGATTGAGAATACGGACCGAAGAGTGTACGAGATGCGCCTGATACGATCTATGGGGGCGCTTGAGCTTAGTCTGTACCTGTACCCGCGGATGATTCCTCTGCACAACCTCCAACCGGAGGATGGGTTTGCTGATGCAGAGACTGGCCACCTCAAGATGCCGCCTTGCGTTCGGGCGTCATTCTCACGGGTTGAACCGGGGGGTGTTTACTTGGTTGATAATGGACAGCAATGCCTGATTTGGCTTCACTCTCAGACGTCGCCAAACCTCATTAGCGATCTATTTGGTGAGGGCAAGGACAGCCTGAAGAGCCTAGACGCGTACACATCGTCTATCCCGGTGTTGGATAGCCACCTGAACGCGCAGGTTCGCAATGTTGTCGAATTTCTGAAAACGCAGCGCGGCTCCAAGGGCATGAACATACAGCTTGCGCGACAGGGGATCGACGGAGCCGAGTTTGAGTTTGCTCGTCTCCTGGTCGAGGACCGCAACAACGAGGCGCAGAGCTACGTGGACTGGCTTGTGCACGTCCACAAGGGCGTTCAGCTCGAGGTACGTGATTTAGTGATATTGTGGCGGGTGTATTGTGCTAACGATGCTGTCAGCTGAGCGGTCAAAGAAAGCGTGAAGGTGATGGCGATTCTGCGGCGAACAGCTTGACCAACTTTGCCGGCCTTCGTCCTTCGTATTGGTAGAAGGGGTGAGCAAGATGCCACGACCTGATGAGATCTGAAGCAAAAAATGACGACGAGCAAAGGATACTTGGGTAGTGTGGTCGGCTGTATGGAATACAGTAGCAAGTGATATGCGACAACAGGCTGGTTCCAACAAGGGGAGTAACATAAGGGGTGTCAGCATGTGGAAGAAAAGGGCAATTTCGATGAGGCTTGCGGGGAAGAGTGAGAATTTCTGCCTTGGGTAGAAGAAATAGTATAGTAACCTATCTAACAAGAAGCAAAAAAAAGCCACCTGTACACCGAATATCCACTTGCAACAACATTGTTCTACACGCCCGCCTCGCTACGATGCATCCTGCACTTTGACGTGCTCCTTTTGAATCACGACCCCCGAAGTGGCTTGGCAAGTCGGGCAACCTTTTATTTCCCCCCAGAACAGGCAAAGACCAAAACTAGGCGTTTTTATTTTTATTTTTGGCAGATGTGATGGGGGATGATCCCTGCTCACCGGTGTGGCTACCCAGCAAAGTCGAACCACGGCACCACACCACTTTCTGGGCGCGGCGCCCAATTTTGATTTTTTTTTCTTCTAGTTACCATCTTGGCTCTCTGCAGCAAACTTGTCGCAGGCCAAAGGAGACTTGGATTGCTAGACAAGGAGGTTCAAAAAGAAAGAAAGAAAAAAAGGACGGGGAAAAGGCAACAAAGTCCCGGTTGTCGAATTGTCGCGACGGCAACACCCACCCTGCAATGGATGGGCACAGCCCTGAGATCTCCGCAGAAGCGAGCGGAAAATAAAATCGACGAAGAGCCAGCCGGACAGGGGCGCGGGGGAGGGGGGGGGGAGCTACATATTGTACACCGAGAACTGGCGGCTGGTACAAATTATTCCTCGCCCACCCCCTCTTCGTCATTGAAGAGGGGGGCATCTTTTTTTGGGCGAGTGAAACCTGCATGAGGTATATGTTGTATATGTTTTGTTATAGTCTTGTTTCATTTTTTCGGGCCAGGCTCTGGTTGCCCTGTTCATTCGTCTTAGCAGGCAGGGGAAGCAGTGATTCGGGTTGACGCTGGTAGCTCTTGTGGTGATGGGGTGTCATGGTGGAAAAAAAAGACGTCAGCAACTCGGTGCCACCCAGCCTGCATACAGAAATATCCACCTCGTCTCCCATCGTGTGATTGATTGTCCTAGCCTCGCATCCCGGGGGTATGACGCTGATATTGGCAGGGAGCGAGGGCGGAGTCCATCGATCCTCAATCTCCTCCAGCGGGGCAGCAAGGGCATGACAGGGGACGAGCGGAAGCCAAAAAAAGAATTGTTTCTAATTTGTAGATACCTAAACTACTATCGTAGACATACCAGTCGTGCCAGCAATAACTACTACTCAGCAAAACCATAATCCATCAGCCTCCTTCCGAATGCAGTAACCGTTTTGCATGCACCGCCAAGCAGCAAATCCAGCAAATCCAGCAAATCCTAGCTAGGTATGTATCAGGACCAGAACATAGCCCGACCATGGGCACGCACCCATGCTCGTCTGTTTGCCGCCTCCAGATTGTGCTGTCTGGCGAGAGAGCTCCGTGCCTCCCGCTGACAGATACCGAGATGGACGCGGCACAACACAATCACAGCCAGAAACCAACACTGTCGGGAATCTCCGGCACCAGGAAAATAACAACCAACGTTACTCCAATGTAACCAAGCAGCGAGCCTTGAGTCGACTCATGTCGTCACATTGGAATCCGCAGTGCACCAGAAGCAACACACTAACAGCCGACCACCCTCCACATCTCATCACTCTTCTCCGTAGCATTTGCCTAGCACACGTTACAGCCTCGGTGTGTCGGCCGAAAGGCACCGTGCCAGCCTTGGTATTGACATTTCCCAGCCTCCAAGCAAGAACAAGCAACTAAAAAGAGCCAAGAAAAAAAACCGCACCAACAGCTTGAGACGTCATCAGCTTCAGAATAGGCCTCATCCTGCATGACAGCATCCCCACGGTTGGGTACCTGATCTTCGCCGTCAGCTTGAATGGACACCCACGTGAGCAAAATAAGGCTTTTCAGTCGGTGGCTTACCACGTCTCCTGCAGGTTTCGAACAACCTTGATAAAAGAGCCCTGGGGTGCAATGTCTTGGAGCCTCGGAGCCGTACGCATGCAATATGTCCGCCCCCCCTTCCCGTCCTGGCTGGCTTTGATGCTGTCGCGCCACCCTTTCCACCCTTTCCACCCCTGTCGCCAGCTGGGCAGGCATATAGATCGCCTCAGCTTGTAATCATTTCGAGGCCATACCGAGGATCTGGCTCGCTGACCACGCGCTCGATCTCGGCTGCGTCAAAAACCCGCTCAAAGATGGACATGTCCGACGGCGCCGCCCTCTGCAGCGAGCCCAAGTCTCCTTTGGTCTTGATTCTCGTCTTTTGCTCCTTCTTGATGAGTTCCTCAAGAATGCACTGTGTCGTATTCAGCGACGCATCTTCAAACACGAAAATGATGTAGGAAAACTGCCCGCGCAGATCCGGATCAAACAGGACAACTTCCCGCCAAATCTCCGCCAACTGTTGCGGCGGATTGCGACAGCCGTTTCCTAGACCGAAATCACCCACCACCACGCGGTCATAGCCGTTGTAATGACAAATTCGCAGAGCTCCCCGGATTTTGTCCTTCATTTGCTGACGCTCCGCCTCAAACGAGTAAGACGCTCCATTGTCCTTGAGCCTTGGCCATCGAGTCGGTGGCACTGATAATACGGGCAAGTCGTACCACCGGTCTAGCTTTTCATACCGGTCATGAGGGCCACGACAAACCACGACTGCGTCGGAAAATACGCCACCCGTTGTTGGGATGGGATAATTGCTCTCTTCTCCAGTTTGCGGCAATGGCGTTGATAGGGTCGCGAATAGATTGCTGCGTCTGCATAGCTTCTCTTCGTACAGGAGAGAGCCAATCTCCCAGTCACCTCCAGGTCGCCGCTCATTCGCGGCGCAGATGAATGGAATGCGAATTCGAGGGCCGCCAGCAATCTCGCTCGCTTGCGAGTCCATGTTGGCGTAATAGATAGCTCTCATGACCGGGTCGCCGTTCTCGACACGGAAGAATGGCGGCCGGATGCTCGGTCGTCGATTCACAGGCAACTGCAGACAAGGCTCTCTATACAGAATCGAATAGGGCGGGTAGAGGTCGAAGTAGCTAGCATTGAGCAGCGGAATAAAGTTGCGTTTCGTATCCAAAGCAACATCCGACGGCTTTGGACGGCTAGACCGGCCAGGCTTGCTGGAAACCATGCTGATAGACGGGCGTGGCGATGGCGGGAATCAACTTTTAGTAAGGCTTGCTTCTGTTGTAACAAACAATCATAAAGGGACTATCTTCCCTCAAGGCGGCAAGAGAGCCTTTATATAGCCTCACGGTAGGTAGGTAGGGGTGGCAGTGGCTTGTGTTGCGCCAGTGGCCAGTGGTGTACAGTCGAGGTCAACAGCCGGGAGGAAAGCAAGGGTGAGGCGAGTTGGGAAACAGAGACGAAGAGCTGTCACGCAACACAACAAGTCAAATCAGGCCAAATACAAGACCAATATTTTGGGGCAACCCGACAACAAGCGAGCTAGAAGCGTGTATGGGACAAGGGCTCGAGGCGAGAAGTGTCGAGCTTCGACAAGTGACAGTCACTAACTTGTACACGGACGGGAGACGCCATTAACAAGAAACAAGAGCTAGGTACGTATTCCTGAGTGGCTGTCTTGGTGGCAAGACAAAAGACTGGGGGCTGCGCACGAGAGCTTCAGCACCCATCCAAGCTGGCGGGACCGAAGAAAAGGTCGAAGCAGAGGCGGTGCCAGGAAGGGTTCGACTAGGCATGGCGGGCAGCCGTCCCGGTAGAGAGAGCGGGCAGAGACTGCATGATTGCGAGATCTGACAAGAGCATAGGTAGGCTGACGCTGCCATGCTCTCAGACAGACCTGACAAGCTGAGGACAGCGCAGAGCAGCGTTGGCATCGGCGCTGCAGAGGCCGGATGCGAAGCAAGTCGGCAGTGAGCAGGCAGGGTCAGGTTACGGCCCGAGGGGTAGGGTCTAGCTCTCTCGTTCCCCCACCTGTGGCTTGACTAGGTAGAGGGTAGTAGAGGGAGGGTGACATCTCTTGCAGGTCTAGCCGCAGCCTTGGGAGAGATCTGTGGCACACCATCTGTGCTTGTTCAACACGCGGCCAAGATTAGGCGGCGCGGCGGAGAGTGGAGGGCCATGCGTCAAAGTCGTCCGGGCGGCCCGTCGACAGGGTTTACTGAAAAGGCGTTAGCCCGACGTTGCTCATGTTTCGGCATCTCATCAACAAGAAGCTCTTTGCGCTTTTTGCGAGCTGCCCGGCTAATTCGAGCAGTGATCTGAGACGGCCTGAGACAGCAGCCGAGCGACTGGATTCTAGGTACGTCGAGTGGCATGGTAGAGACTTGGGATGCTCATTGCGAAACGGGTTAGTGAGGCGAAAAATGGGACTTGGTAGTAGAGTAGAAGTACATGTATTCGTCGGCAAATGCGTGGCCGAGTCGACTGTGACAAACCAAACACCCGTCGTTGGTATTCAACGAGGCACCACGGCATTCGACATCGTTTGCATAGGCTATGGCATAGGTAGGCTATGGCTGAGAAGCCGGGCTCGGTGATCGGCTAATAGCCAACGGCGGATGATTTTCCTCGCAAATACCGATGGTGATGTCTGTTTGGCTAGAGATACTGGTGAGCGATGACAAGTGATTCAGTTCCTAGGAGAAGTTGTGGTATGAAGGAGGCAACTGGATGCCAAGACAGGAAGCCGAGACAACGACGCTAGAGCGGGTCTGCTACACTTTCTAGTTCTACCCTTCTTGGGTAAGCGCAACTCGCTAATACTAGGTACATTTTTTTCTGTCATCTATAATTCGTACAAATTACCAGTAACTGCTTCGTATTACGAGCACCCAAGTACGGGACAGCACATCATTATAGACGTTTCTATTGGCCTATTTCTGCTTTGCTCCATGACAACAGGTAGCACTGGTACCCTACCCATGTCAACAAGGCTGACAAGAAAAAGAACATGTCAAAAAATTCCAACACGATGATACAACCCCCTCCCCCTTCTGTGTACAGACAGGCAAGACCTGCGTAAGCGACAACCAAGGTACTACCTGGTAGGTACCTACGCGCGTGAGGCCTGTTTTCTGACAGGGCACTGGACACGTTTTCCGCTTAATATGTAATTTTCCCCTGTCATAACGCTGTTAGGTTACCACTACGTGTTAAAAAACATTTATATTTTTTATAAGCCGTGTTAGAGACGTCAACAGCGTTGTGACAGGGGAAAATTATCTATTAAAAAAACGACCTGTCTAGTACCCTGTCCAAAAACAGGCCTCACTCGCGTATGTAGGTACGTACCTGTAGGAACTCCGTAATTTGTCCAGTCTTTGCCTTTGCAGCGCTGTTGCCAGCCTGTTGGGCGCCGGTTCCTGCAGGCCCCAGCAGCCGCCCATCAGCCACGGCGTCGCACCATGCATTCGCAAGTTAGCACTCCATTCCAGACAAAGGCAGGCAAGAGCTTGGGGGAGGCAATGCACATTCACAAGCTCCTATCCGTTTCCAAAAAAGGACCGATGAGAGGCTAAGAAAAAAGGCACATGCAAATTGACTGCGTAAATGGTTCCGTCGCCCCCGTCTGGAGCTGCTCAGCAACTCGGAAGCGCGCATGTTCATTATAGCGCCTTATCCACTGTAAGGTGTGGCTACAGCGCGTCAAGTCTGCAGGTACCTGTGCTCTAGCAGGTACAGGTATAAGGCAAGCGCGAAGCGACAAGAACCGTTGTCACGCATAGGTAATCTACTTCCCAAGATTCCGCCTGGTAAGAGACTTGAAAACGCTTCAGCACTTGTCATTTTGGAAACCAACAGCAAGAATCTTTAAAACATATTTTCAAACAACTTTATAAACCACCAACAGCTTTACACAAGCAAGGGGGCCAGCGCACGTCGCTACCCACCCACTTGCCAGGTACCTCGGAGTGACAAGGCATCCACCGGAATCACCATTTTTCCTCAGCCGCCTCAACCACAGATCACAGGCTAGTTACAGGCCATCATCACGGCATCATCACACCACAACAGTTGTCGTCACGTCCGTTTCTACCACGTTGCACCCCAATCCGGCGTTGATCGCCCCGGCCTTCATCTCAAACTATTGCCCGCACGCCGTCGCCTTCTCTTGCACCCACCCTTCCAGGGGCCAAGACACGTCCCATTTCATGATAGGTGACGTCTGCCAAGTGCGGTGAGCTGTGTCATGTTGGCAGCACGAAGCTTGCGACACAATCGCTGGCCGTCGTGTGCTGCTGTCCACCGGGCCTACTCGGTCTCAGTCCCGGGAGACCGCCATGTCCGCCTCAAGACCATCGCAGACCTCAAAGAGTTCCAGTCCTCGCAGCATGTCTCGGACGTCCAAGTCCGCGGCTGGGTGCGGTCGGTGAGGAAGAGCGCCGGCGTCCGTTTCGTCGACTTGACGGATGGCTCTTCGATGCGTCCGATCCAGGCTGTCGTCGACAAGTCGCTTGCACTAGAGTTTGTCTCCCTCGAACCACTTCGCCTCGGCCATTCTGCTAACCGCCCACGCCAACACAGCATTCGACCGGGATCCGCAGTGCGCCTCCTCGGCACTTGGAAAGAGGGGTCGCATGTAAAGCATAATCAGCCACCGGACGAGCCGCCGGGGGCCGAGCCGGGTGCCCATGAGCTGCAAGTTCAACAGGTTGACATCCTCGGCCCCTCCAACCCCCAGGTACGCTAATCACCGCGTGCTCTTTGTCTGAAAGGATATTCACCTTCAACTCAATAGACATATCCCATCCAAAATAAGTACCAAAGCCCCGAGAGCTTGCGGACAATCTCACACCTCCGATCCCGCACCCCATTGAACAGCACCCTTCTGCGCTTCCGTTCAGATGCTACCGCCCTCCTGACGCAGTTCTTCTTTCGTGAGCAGTTTCAACAAACACACCCACCCATCATTACCTCTTCAGACTGCGAGGGCGCTGGTGAGGCCTTCATGGTACAGGCTCCCGGGAAAAGCCATTTCTTCAGAGACCCAAAGTATCTCACAGTATCAACGCAATTGCATCTTGAGTCTTTGGCCCAAGCCCTTGGTAATGTATGGACACTGTCTCCCACATTCAGAGCCGAAAAGAGCGATACATCACGCCACCTGAGCGAATTCCAGATGCTCGAGGCAGAAATGAGCTTCGTTGATAGCATGGATGATGTCATGAACTTGGCTCAACAGATGCTCGTGTCACTTGCGAGCGGTCTAAGGGAGCTTCGTGCAGCCGAGGAACTAAAGCATCACAGAAGAGATGCCAAAGAACCTGCCGAGAAGCTGGCTTTTGAAGACCTTGAGAGCGTCGAGGTTCTTGACCGTCGTTGGAACGGTATGATGACAGAAAAACCTTGGCCAAGGCTCACATACACCGATGCCATCGAGATGCTGCAGCCCGTAGCAGAGCAGTTCGAGCACAAGCCCATCTGGGGCGCTGGACTTCAATCCGAGCATGAAAAGTTCCTCGCCGAGAAGGTCGGCTACGATGAGGCGAACGATGCTTACCTTCCCGTCTTTATCACACAGTATCCACGCGATATCAAAGCGTTTTACATGCTGAAATCGACTGACTCGCCGGCCCAGGGCCAAACTGTTGATTGCTTTGATCTCTTGGTACCCGGTCTCGGCGAGCTAGCGGGAGGCTCTATGCGCGAACATCGCTTGCCTGAGTTGGAAGAGAGCATGAGGTTGCACGGATTGCCCGTACCCAGCGCCCGTCAATCCGGAAACAACAATCTCGGCTGGTATCTGGACCTGCGGCGATGGGGATGCCCACCGCACGGCGGCTTTGGACTCGGCTTTGATCGGCTCCTGAGCTACCTCACTGGCGTAACCAACATTCGCGACGTGGTACCTTTTCCGCGCCATTTCGAGCGCTGCGACTGTTGAAACGTGGCCCGCCATGGGGGTGGATGGCTATCTCGTCGCCGAAATAGTCAGACTTGCTGCTTCGGTATGGTGGGTGTCTCGTCGCACCCGATGACAGTTTGACAGAGCGCTCACAGGGTGCTGTGCTCGTTAGTGCTGCCGTGCTCGGGAAATGCTTCCGTTACCCTTTCTTTCGGCTACACAATTCGAGGCTGCTTCACAAGTGAAAACCACGTGGCTTCTGTGGATTATGTACGCGCCCTGTACGACGAACTCTATCAAGCCTTGCCAGATATGGCAGTAGGCACGAAGTACACGGCTACTCGGAGAAATACTGTGCTAGAATTTTGTTGGGATTTGTTGAGGAAAATGGCGTGATGCTCCCGATTTCGGCCGCAGATTGGCCCCATGACGGGCCATTGCACGAGTTTCCGGTGTCAGCTCACCGTCGCCGCAAAGCACAATTTTGGATCTTGTTACGACGTAGGTGGTGTAGTATTATGTATTCCTAGTGTACTTATGATTGTGAAAGCTGGACACGGTCTCAAGGCCGTACTGCATAGCAAAACTCCTGACCGAGCTGTAAATGTTCAATTCGATATCACCAAATCCTTCACCTCGAGTGAAGGAAGACAGCCGCCTCATGATGGGCCTCTTTCCTTGCACCGTTTTTGCTGTAGGGCGTGATCTGTTGTTGAATGATGAATGTCAAAAGACTGCGTGTCGCTCGTTTTGCAAGCGGTTGACGCATCCCGTGGAAGCGCCGCCTGCGTTGTTCGACTCGCCGTGTGATTTTGAGGCTGTCGCCAAACAACCCTCCGTTGCCAGTTTTAAGGCGTAATCAACTTAAAAAAATGAAGTAAGAATCATCATGCCATTTCTCAGAAAATCCATACAAGGCTGCGGAAGAAATATTGCTGTGTTGCTCCTACGCGTCCAAATCGGCGACGTTGGTCTGATCTCAATGGCTCTACTTGGGAAGAATACTTGATGCTTTTGTGAATATCAGCACGTAGATTGTACTTTTTATTGCCGATTCGTTTCTTTTCGGGGCCGCGCAGGCGCGCAACAGCGGTTGTTGAGCTCTACGCTCCTCCTCGACCTGTTGGCGTTGCGCTTCCGGAGCAGACAACTTGCGCAAAGGCGCCACTGAGATGGACTACATTGAGGCGCTCAAATATCAAGACTCTTCATTTGTGTCTTGCTTAAGGTATATGGGAATCAAGTGACAATGACCGGATTGCTGGGACGACTCGGAGCTGCCTTGGCAGGCTGTCAAAGTGGTTATATGATGTGGCACTGGCCCAGAGCTGTTGTGGACTAGAGAAACTTTGGGGAGATGACTGCGTTTTTCTACTTTTCAAAACTAGGACAGGTTGCAAGTATAAATGACAGATTCTGGTCCTGTCCATTGTGCAGCACAAGACAGTAGCGTCTCTGCCGCCACAGTTCACTCTTTTATAAGTACAGAAAGAGTCATGTCTTCACTTTCGAAACTTGGACAAGTTGGAAGCATCAATGGCAAATTCTGGTCATGTCCATCGTAGAGGACAAGCCGGCAGCTTCTCCGCTGTCAGAGTTCACTCATAGGTAGTACAGAGGGGGTAAGTGCCTACCTCGAGCATCTCGAACGACGATTGCTCAATGTGTTTTTTTTTCTTTGAAAGATTCTACGTTGAACATGCCAGTTTATCCAAAGTACAACGCTTTTACCGTCCGCTTTTTCCACGCTTCAAGGACAACATCCCATGCTTCTGCCATATCATCTGTACAGCGCCACCACAACGGTGGAACTGATATGCCAAAGAGGCAACCTTACTCTCCTCACCCACAATAAGCATAAAACAAACGGATACCGTCGATTTACTCCCCCCCCCCCCTTGCTCGCTCAGCATGCTTGAGGCCGGAAGCCACGGCATTCCGGGTTACTACAAGACCAAGCGCAGCAGCACACCCCTCCCCCCGGGCCCTGCCCCTTCCTTGTATCTTTTTGTCTTCTTAGGAGGCAGGGGCTCACCTTTTTTTTTTCAATGTGGACCGGGATCGGTTGGAACGGCAAGGCTAGCGATGCGAGATGACCATTCTCCGTCTTTGCCCATTCCGAGCGAGAATGGGTTGTGGGGGAGAAGAGCAGTGACGAGGGGACGAAACGGCCGAGTCTCGGGGCTTGACGGGGAGAAGAAGAAAAAAAAAGCTTGATTAGAAACACGATCATGGCTCCTTTGAGAGGCGCGCCAACGAGGCTAGAAACGAGGGAAGCCTGAAGTGCCGAGTATCAAAGCTTGTGTTGGATCTAACAAAGGGCCGGGCCCCCTGCAACTGCTGCGCCACAACCACATATAAGTAGGCTGTTTCTTGTGGGCATAAGAAACAAGGGTCCCCGTCGGGAGGGCGGGTAAAGCAAAAAGTAGAGCTAATCTCGGCGTACGGCAAGCTCGGCTCCTCCCTTTGGCGGGGGGCTGGATTCGATGACGGGCGAGGGCTGCACCAGTAAGCGTAACAGAGAGCACATGAGGAAACGCAAGAGAGGCATACATGATGCATGGTGGTATCAGTAAGAGATCTTGGGTGCTACGGAGATGAACAAGACCCCCCCCCCCCATCTGGTTTGTGTGTTTTTTGACCGGAGAAACGGCTACCGGATCACGTTGTTGTTGTATTGCCCCACGAGAAAAAAAAGAAGGAAAAAGATATACGTGCGTCTGCGGATACCAGGCGGAAACAAGGCGGAACGAGAAATGGTCAGCAGCCAATATTGCCCGCATAGACCCAGCAACGAGTCAGCCTGCCAATAGACGATGTTGAACTCAGGCGAGGCTGCGGGACAACTGCCAGAGTGAGACCCCCGGGGGGCGGCAACCCGGCTTTCCTCTTGCTTTGAGGCACGGCTTCATTCGTGCCCGGAGGAGGATACCCTTTTTCAACAAGTCGGTCCCTTGTTGATCCTTCTTGTTGGCCGACAGCGCCACGTTTCGCCCCGCGCGCGCATGCAGACAACAAAGACCCTGGACAAGGCAAAGTGTTTTGGGGGGTTCCGGGCACGGCAAACTCGGCCAGCCCTGTTTTGTTCCCCATTGTCGAGGCTTGATTTCGTCTTTTTTTTTGTACAGCCACCACGCTAATTGCCCTATTCAGTCTGCAGGGGAGGCGGGGGGGGAGTTGTGCTGATGCAAAACCGCCGGATGAAAACCATGGTCCTTTGATCCGTACAAGCGACATGTGTCAATGTGCGCCGGCAGGGGAAAAAGCTCAAACTCTTTGCTCTTCGTTCAACACTGGGTAGTGGCAAGTCGGCCGTTGACAATGGCCCAGCGGGAAATACAAGAGGCCTTGGAGATCGTGGGCCGGGGCTTGGAGGGGGGATGCTGACGCGGTATCGCTGCAGGCGGGCATGAGATATTGTGCCGGGCGGTGCATATCCAGTCTGGCTCTTCGTCACCGTGCAGCGGTCAAGACTTGAATGAAACTGGAGGGAGTCATTCCAACTTTGACGGTAAAAAAGGTGGTTTGTGAGGCTGCAAGACAGCTTGTACACGAAACGCTTCATGTTTTACATGACCTGCTTCTGTCCAATGAACTTGCGCTCGGTATGCAGGGTGCAGAGCAAATAACAGAAGTCATGAAATGCACAACAAAGAGATATCCTTGCATTAAACTTGCCTATATTCCATCAAAGTGCTAAAGTGGCCATCATGTCATTCCCATCGGCAGTACGATGCCATCCGGTCCACCTACGGCCCGTGAACATGACAGATTGATGCGATACTGGCTAGGAAGCGTGCATTCAAGGACGTAAGAGAATTGGCTGATTCGTTGTCGATGACCCCAGAATCGGTCATGGGTGGAAAATAAAGGATAGGACCCTTTGCCGATGCTTCCCCGGCCCGGAGCGATCAGGCTAGTTTTGATGACGGGGCCGGTTCAAATCGGCTCTCGGCCGCCACACTGACAACCAGGCATGTGCAAAAGGGACGAAAATCACAAGCGAAGCCACTTAAAAAAAAAAGGAGGATAGGGAATTAAAAAAAGCAAAGCCACCCTCCGCATGCGATGTCGACTGCGGAGGCCCCCCTCCGCAGCCTGGTGAATTATCAATGCAGATGCAGTTGAAGCTTGCGGGCGCGCCATTACGCACAAGAGAGTAATACTTGATATCCGTACCCGCTCCGGGGAGCTCGGGCCAGCGCCCTGCAATCGGAACTTTGGAGAGAGAGAGGGAAGCCTTGGCGTCAGATAGTACGACTTGCATCGTCGTTTTGGGGGGGGGGGGACAGCCGCTTGCAGTTAGAAAACGTGCATGGGCGTTCCGAACAAGACAAGGACGACCAGAGAGACGTTGCTCTAAAATGGAGAAACACCGTGCTGCTGAAATGAAACTCGATTAGGTCTCGACAATACGACCTCCCGGAGGTGGCCACAGCGGCGGATATCGGCCCCGCGGAGAAGGGGAGAAGGCTCTTTGTTGATGCCACCGGCGGGCGGAGCTATCAAGAGCAGACGCGCCAAGGCCTAGCAGCCACTTGACATGCCCCGAGAATAAACAGTACGGGACAGCGAAGTGCGGCGTGGAAGCACGGCCAGATGCTCCCCCGTGCGAGAGCCGAACTTGCACTCACCTGGACCCGGGAGCCCAAACATGGCAGGTGGCGGGGTGTGGACGGAAGAGCCGCAGGTGGCAAATCCATCATGGGGGCCAAAAAAAGGCCCAAGAGCCGAGCGAGATATGTATGTACCAGTATCGCCCCAAGATGTATCGTGTCTGTGACGACGCGAGGTCCGTGCCAATCCGTTTGTTGCGATAGAGCCATGAACAGGGGACGCCGCAAAATAGAGTTGCGGATCAACAACGTACGCCAGCCAATCGGGCGGTCCAATACTAGTTAGTTGGGCTCTTTTCCTAGACACAACGTAAACGCGTGAAGGCGAGTAGTAAGAAATGGCTTGGCAGGAACGCATGAATGAGATGGCCACGAGAAAAAAAGGTCTCAAGGTTGCTTGGCTCAGCGGCGGTTAGAAAGTATGTTGGTGCCGGCCGGGTCTATTCAGTAGTGCCGTGGTCGAGAGAGTAATGTTGACGTGCGCCTGATGTAAGCCTGCCCACTTGGAGCTCCCAGATCAGAGGCCGTGTTGGTGGTCGTGGTCTAAGTGTTTGCATCCGTGAGAGAGGCTGTTCTCATGTCCATGGTGCTCTAGCCATCAGCAATGGGGGTGGGCAGAAGAAGACGGGGACTTGATAAAGAACTGAAGAGTGAAGCATGCTTTGAGGAGTCTCGTTGAAGAGTCGGGTCGAGTACAGGCGTGATACGTAACCTCTCGAGACTGTGGTGCAAGCAGATATTCTCTAGATTCTGTCAGCGACTCTCCACGATGTACATGTCGAGGTGCAGTCTCACCACCTTACACCAGAGGCAATAGCACCAAGATAGCTCGACAGTATTCTTACCACTACCCATCACTCTCTCTCTCAATCTCGAACCTGGGGTTCTTTGACAGCGTTGCATGTATAAATCGCCGATGAGCTCGCGCGATCCCAAAAGGTCAAGGGTAGATGCGGGCACATGATGTTGTGATGCCAAGTACGATCCGGAATAAGCCAAAAAAATAACAATAAAAATGACCAACTAAAATAAGTTAAAAATCAAATAAATAAAAGTCCTGCCATAGTCTCGAATTGCGCCATCACCTCTCTCTCGTCGCATTGTTCGTCAGCTGAGACATGGGCCAAAATGCCGCGTTGGTTGGTGACGTTGGCGTCGCAAACCAAGGACGGGCCTGTTTCTTTCTAGTTATCAGACAAATAAATAAATAAAAACCCCCACCAGAAAAAAAATCGCGGTTAGCGCTGGCGCGAGCATAAAAACAAGGTTATGTGCCATTTATGCCGACGCCGCCGCCGCCGCGCCCGCTGCACACTGGGCAAGCCACGAGCTGGACCGTTTTGGTCCTCGATGCGAGACGTCATCCCTTGAGTCATGAGCGACAAAAAATCTGACAACAAATTAAATTATTAAGCTGATTTCCGCCAAGACGGCGTACTTTTTTTCTTTTTTCTTTTTGTCTTGGTCTTGGGGCATCCTTGTTTCCGCTCAAGCTTTTTTTGTCCCCTCCTAACCCCCCCGCCCCTTGGCGCGCCAAGCAGACCCTCACGGGTACTTTGTTGATATTGGCCCACCAGCGCCGTCCAAAGCTTGGCATGTTCAAGGAACTTTGCATCATTTTTTTGATGCGGTGTACATGACAGTAAATTCATAGTTGCATGGTTTCTGCACTTTTTGTGCTTGTCGATCATGCCAAGATACGTTTTGGCATTGACTCTTTTTAGTTGAGGTAGTTCTTGTCTTGGCAGCGTAGGGCTGGTTGGTGAGACCACCTGAGTTTTTTGGTCAGGCGGCCCTCTCCATCAGGTCAAGCTTTTTCTGGGCGTTTTGGTGGCTTGCAACCTGAAGGGCCCTTTTCGGGGGTTTGAGAAGAAACATGTCCGCGGAGTCGGAGTGCACATGTACCCCCCTACAACAGTGACGAACTCTGTGCGGGCGAAAAAGGCGTGGCTTTTCGAATTTTTGTTGTCTTGTTTGCCGACCAAAAATGGCACTAGTAGGCCGACGGAGTTGTGAACCACTGATTTGACCAGCTGGCGAATGAGACGGGCGGGCCGGCTCCGGCGGCGGTGGTGGTCATGGTAGACGCGAGCGTAGTGCGACAGCTACCTACGTACCGCCGAGACAGGAAATTCGTCATTCCGAAAAAAAACAAAAACAAAAAAAAACACACCAAAAGATGAGGTAACTAGAAACAAGGCTCCGGCCGGAAATAAGGCCCGTCCTCCGTCGTCGGTATCATGATAAATCTAGGTGGTATGCACCACTCTCGCGCGGAACAAGTGGGTGGGATGAAGTGCTTTTCTGGGAATAAGATGCCGAACCCGCAAGCTTAAATCAATAAAAATTCTGAATAAAAAAAGAAAAAAGAGGGCCAAGCCGGCTGGGACGGCATCTTGAAATGACGCTACTGCAAGCCACCAAGCTTGTCTTGCCCCATCGGCGCAACCCTCCCCTGTCCGCCCAGCCATGCCCGCAATTCCGACTATATTTTACGCTTGAGTTTTGAGTTGGGGAACTTTTTTGCCTCCAAGAAGAACAAGGAAGAAAAAGGTAAATGAACTGGGCAACGGTAATAGTCTGCTGTGCGGTGAAGGGGCGCTTCTATTTGTTGCGCCCCGCCCCGCGCCCGTTCTGTCGTTGTCCATTTGGCACAACCCTTGACATTGGGCGATCGGCTCGCCTGATGCTGCCCTCTCCTGCGCGATACTCGGCTGTGGATCAGCAGTTGGAGGGGGGTTACCGACCTGTCTCGCCGCGCCAAGACTAGTGGCTGACAACGTTTAAATTCATGCTTAAAACCCGCAAATCAAAACCGAGCAGGGGGGCGTGCATGTGGGGCTCCGTTGCCGACTTTGCCGTCCCAGGTATCTTTGTAGTTGTCCTTTTTTCTTTTTGGCCCAAAAGAAGCCTTCTTCGGTCAGAATGCGTAGCCCACTTCCCACCGCATTTGGTGTACCTACCTGAATGAGTAAATGTTTTTTATTTATTTTTGAAACCGACAACCCGACCCAGTAGTTCAGCCAATTGTCATTAGTAATGCGTTGGTCCCCCGTGGCGCACGACTTCAGCCAAAGCCCAAACGCCGCTACGAATCTCTTGTGCTACGCGCGGACGCACACGCACAACGAACACAGCAGCAGCTGTTAGCAGCTCCCCGCGCAGGCGCTGTTTGGGCTTATCTCGCTTGCAGATGCCGGGCGCAATCAACTGTAATAGAAGGCGTGATGCATGATCCTATACTAGTATCCATAGACTCGAAAAATAAATAAAAAAGCATGCGCAAGATACCAGGATTCTGTCCAAAAACCAAGCCAACCGAGTCCATTTTGACTCAATCGCTTTGCAAAGCCACGAGTGCGCTACGTTGTAATGCTTATCACCGGGTTGTGGGCGGCCAAGAGAATCCTTGATCGACATCTTGGCAAACACCGAGACGCGAGCCCACAACGTCAGCCAACGAAGCAGGTTGTAATAAAAAAGAAAAAACAAAAGGAAAAAAAAAGGGACAGAAAACCGCGCAGATTACTGGTAGTTAGGTAGTTAGTTCGGCATATCCCTCCCTGGAAGCCGACTTTGCCAGTGTCTCGCTCTTATCATGGGCAGACGCTAACTACATGGCATTCCAAATGATACGTGGTACACGTGGCCGGGGCAAAAAAAGAACCAGGACCGGAGGGATTGCGAAATTGAGAGAGAGAAGATCTCTACCACATCGAACCCTAACTACCATATCGAAACCCTATTCAGCCGTTGTCTGACTGAATAGTTAGCATGTACATGCACGCAAGACCAGGGTTCGTTCCGTGCGTGCTGGCATACCACAATGCCAAAGGTAAAAATAGAGTACGAAATTAAACAGAGACAAGAAGCCAGATATGCTTTTTACTTCTTCATGCACCCCGCCCACCACAACGTTCGGTTACGATTCGGCAAACGGGCAACAAGGAGACGCGGCCAAAAGGATAAGTCGGCACCGCTGGGCCTCACGCGATGTCATTGCGTGGCGTCTGTCGCGAAGCTGTTGTGCCTCGAAAAAGAAGGAGGGAAGCCTCCGTACCGTAAAAAAAAAAAAAAAAGGACATGTAGGAGATGTAATGCCAACTAGCATATCTTAGCTGATGATCCAAGCAATAGTGCCGGAGCCTCCTCTTCTGGTCATCATGGGCTCCAAAGAAAAAGCAGCCCTGTGAGAATGAATAAGCTGGGAGGCTCGCTTGCTGCGTACGCAGGGGACCCGGCTCTCAAGTTGCCGATGCAGCGGGTTGTCATCTTTCCCTTTCCCAAAGGAGCGCCGTGCAGCCAGCAGGCCCCGGGCGGCGCTGGGCCCGGGGTTTCTGGCTTGGGCCTCGCTTCTGCTGGTCTTGTCCAGAGTTGCTGGCTGAGAAGATAGAGCGACGATGAAAATGTAGTTAATTTGTACAGATGGTGAGACGGGGCGATTCTAGGCCTTGGCACCTGAAACCCGGGGGGACCAGCAACATGCACACACAAACTTCTACGAGATGTCCCCCTCTGGTTTCACGAGCAAGGCCAAGCAGAAGGGACAAGAGACCAGAAGACAAAAAGAAGCCGACTTTGCCGGTTTGGAGGTGTGGTTTCTGCTTGCCAAGCTTTTTCGTTTTGACGACGATCTGGACAGTAGCGGCTGTCAGGGCGATGGGGGTGGTTTCTTGGCCAATAGTCCACAGAAGGTAGGTAGATAGGTAAACCAGCAAATGTACCTGCGCAATCCCCTGCTCTTGTTGCTGCAAACACGCAGTGTAGACGGCCCATCCGTGGTGTTTGTATGTACGTACTGTACGAGTTGGCTTCATTCGCAGAACGGGGAGAAAGTTGACGGAGAGCCCGATGCATTGATGGGGGGTGCGTTGTATTAAGCTCGGTGCAGATCATCGAGATACTGGGCGGGTTGGAGAGGGCCGCGTGACAAGCTGTGTGCCCCTGCGCTCGACTGATACCTACGCAAAGTACCTGCTTACAGTTTATTACCATACCTACAAAAGACCCTCGTCGTCGTCATCTGCACAGGCGGCGCGGGTGCCCCGGAAAAGGCGTTCGGTGAGGAAAAGCCTGTCGCCGTTGCTCCTGCCCTCTTCGTCAGTAACTACAGAAGAGGTTTTGATCCATTGTGGCTATGATAAGGCTCTCAGCGCGCGGCGGCCGGGTAAAACGGCAGCGACAAGGGAGGTGGGGGGGCGGTTACCTTTTGGCGAAACGCCCATTAACGGGCAAAATCATTTCATAAAACAGGCCGAGGGTGCCTTGACAGGATCGGAGGGAGGGAGCCGTGTCCGCGGAAACCGGAGAGGCTGTGTTGGGGGATGAAACCACGGATTAGATGCGACAAGAAGCTTTCCCCCCCTCGTGGCAATCATGGTACAGATTAAATTTACTCGGTTTGGGTCCTGGAAAGGAGGGGTGGTCGAGAATGGGTGCAGGCGGCAGCTGCAGTAGCAACATCTGGGATTGGAAAGAAAATGCCGCGGTACTCGCCGCGGTGCTCGGCGGTTTCCAGCTTGCACTGGTCAGGTCGGCCGACCAGGGTCTACCCACCTACTTCCCTTTCTTTCCTTTTCTTTCATTATAGTAGAGTTATTTTATTAATCTAGTGCGCATTTTTCTCAAATCAAAAACACCACACCCCAGTCTGATAGAAAGAAAAATCGCCCGACTAAGAAAAACCTGGGGCGGAAGCCGGCACCACACCTTGTCTGTTAAGCTTGCTTTAGTCCGTAACCACACACACACACACACACAACGTCGTCCGTTTGCACGTTTCTTCAGCCACAGTGGGAGAAGGCGGAGGAGGGGGGGGGGGCACACACCTTTGGTCGTGCCGATTTATCCAGCGGCTGACACGGCACGCACGAAAGGGTAGGAAATAACAGATTACCTACGAATAGAGTACGAATTAGAGAATAGGCTACTTTTTAAGGCGCAGCTTGGACCACACGCAGGTTTACCAGCGGTCGGTTGATCAATAATTAGGTATGTAGTCTGTCAATTTTGTCGAGTATAATGGTTACTTCTTGGTCAATCAGGAGCAAAACGGTGGCGCTGTTGGTACTAATAAGGAAGCGGCACAACTGACACGAAGCGCTGGCTTGCTGCTAAAAGCAACCACCGTGTCAGGTGCGTCGAGACCCCCCTCCTTTCGTCTGTCTGCTTGCCGTCGTGACAAAGAAAAATATAAGCTTAGTACCCCTGCTGGCTTCTTCGGTACCTGTTTCATTTTTTTCCTTGTCTTTACTGGGTTGATCCCAGCCTGCCCCGATCCGTCTCTTCCTCATATCGCGGAGCGTCCTGTGCGCCCCTCAGCGGCCTGCCACAATGCCTTTTTTTTTTCCACGTGCCCGTTCTTTGTCCTTTCAGCAACTTGATTCCGTCACCGAGGGCTCCGTTTCCACAAGTCGCAGAAACTCGACCATTTCTATTTATTTGAAATTTGTTTTCGTGGCAGCATGTGGCGTCACAAACTTGCCACACGCGCACCAAAATACATTCGGCCGAACAAAAGTCAAGACGGAGGAAACATGTCTCCACCATGCTCTGGCGGTGGTTCTGCCTGTATCTAAATACCTACGTATGCCAAGTCTCTTATTTCCGGAAAGGTGGCCCGTCCCTGTTTTCTGTACTGCCAAGCTTCCCTCGCCCTTCGCGTTTTTCTCTGTTTCTCAAGGCAAGGCAGGGGGGCCTACTCCGTAGAAAAAGACGATTTCGCTCCTCCTGCTGATTCGCTTTAATTTGTTGCTCCCCGGGGGGCACTGCCTCCGCTCCGCGGGGCAGGTCCGGCCTGTCTGTGCCTTGCTATTGGTAATAATCGCACTATCCTGTTGCGCTGATTAATTGGCCGCTTTTTTGCCCGCATTTTGCAAACCACAAATGTGCCAGAAACAGGTACCTTTGAATTATCGCCATGGAGTGTGGTATTCCGCGCCTCGTTCAATGGGGGCGCTCGTTTGGAGCATACATATGATCTCTTCATCGTAAGTCTATTCACTGGCGTGTTTCAAAAAAGCTTGTCGGCCACGCAGCGAAACGCGCTCCGTTCGGCAGCACCCTCCCTTTTTTTTGCGCTTAACTTTTGCCTTGTTTCTGCTTCTTTGAATGAATTGTTTGGCACCTCTGCCACCCCCTTGGAGCTTGTACTGCTTCACGCTTGTGCTGTGATGCACGACTCGGCATCTCCCAGCCGTTGGTGGGTGGCATCAACGGAGATGAAAATAAAGCCGTTATCAGTTGCGCTGGGGCTTGGTCTTCATACTGGATGGGACAGCGTCGGATGAGCGGTAGCTGGCAGCCACAGAATCCTATTTTCCTATTTACGACGTATGTATCCACCAGCCACCAAGTAATAAAAGGCTGAATGGCATGTTTAAATTTGGGCGTTGGCAGTGAAATGGCTGTGCAAACTAGTGACTGGCTACCGAGTACTTTGTATGTGAGGCCGTAACTACTGGTACTATCTCGGCGCAGCCACGGAACTCGGCCTCTTTTTCCCTTGGGTGCGCCCTCGTCTCGCATTGCATTACAGACGCAGGTGCCTCTGCAAACCAAACAAGAAGCATGATACGCCATCTGTATCACGGCTTTGTCGATGCGGTCGGTAGAGCGACGCTCAGAGACGGGAGCCGGCAAGCACGGCTACAGCGAGCACGATGTGCTCATGGTTGCTGATAACCCGCAACCAATGGAGTCGATAGTTTGCCCGGCTAGGTCATCCCGTACTCTGTCTGGAGTCTGGAGTCTGGAGTACGGATCACCACAGCGGTACATACATACATGGATGCAGGGTTTGGCTTCGTAACAGGTGACGCTCCTCCTCCTCGACACACCCCCCGCTCGCGCTCGCGTTCTACAAGCGTCGCACCCCCTCGGGGGCTCGATGACGATCTCATGGCCCGTACGTCGGCGTCGAAGTGTGTCTTTGAGTACAGATTAGAGTACTCCGTCCTTGGCTCTCGGCATCTCCATCCGAGTCGCTGCTTGGGAAGTCTCGGCAAAAGACGCACTATCCCTCGTGCGCCCCTGCCAGCGCGAGCACTAATTATAAGAGAAATATAAGCATTGTAACATGGCGATGCAGAGGCACGTCAGTCCGTGACTAGTTAACTACCTACCTAGTTACCTAGTTGCCTAGGTATACTACTACTACTACTAGTTGCCTAGGTAGTCTGGCCCCTGGATTGCGCATCTTTCCAGCCCGCAAAGCGGCCCTCATTGCCCGCTGTTGCTCCCTGAGCATCTATCTCCAAGCGCTCACACACACCACCGTACCCTGCAAATTACTCGATTGCTCAACTAGCGGCTTTCGCTGCCATACCTCCCCTGCTTGTCGCTCGGCCGCCCATCTACGCTTCTTTTGAGCCTTGTTTGCCGACTGCTTGCAAGGGGGAAAACGCGGCGAATACGTAGAAAAAAGGGAAGAGGGTCAGCATGGCGCGCCGATGGGAGACGACGTGTCATGGATGGTTAAGTTCACCGAACAAAAACAACAACTGAAAAACAAATCTAGTACAACTAAAACTAAGTTTTATAGCACGGAAGCTTCGGAGACTCGTCGAGTAAGGTTATTCTAACGACACTATTCCGTAATGAAACTGGCTGATTTCCGTGTTGCCTGAAGAGCCCCCTGCGTACAAATTGAGCCAGCCAGAGAGAGCTGTATCTCGGCCACTGGCCACTGACCACTGACCACTGACCACTGACCACTGACCACTGACCACTGACCACTGACCACTGACCACTGACCACTGACCACTGACCCTTGCCCCAGAGCAGCTTGTTCAAACACACGCCCTTCTGCCACCGCACCCCCCCAGCACTCACACTCCACCCTCCCCCCCCCCAAACTGGGCTTAATGGATTCTTATTATTCTTTGATTTATTTCCAACCATGATGAGGGTTCAACGCGATCGGGTTTTCGGCATCTTAGCAGCGCCACATTAAAATGTATGTGCATTGGCCCCCCAGCATGTAGGCCCTGCCTGGTCCTATCCTATCCTAGGTAGTACGCCTTGGCTGGCCAACAGAGCCGACGCCTTGCTTCTCTTGGGACTATATTATCCAGTGCGCCCCTCGGCGGCCACGATCGGGTTTTGAACCCTCCTCCCCCCTCCACCTCTATTCACCTCTCCATATCCTCCAGATCCAACAAAACCATCATTCACTGCGCCCGGCCGTCTCCCAAATGGGAACCACCGACTTACTCCTCCCTCGACATCGTCAATTGCCTCGACTATAACACACGCAACCAACCAACTTGCAGGCAACCAACCTCTTGCCCTAGTTAGCGTCATCACTAGCCGTTCAGTTGACAACAAGTTCAAAACAACCAATTTGCCAAATCGACAGTCGACATTTCTGTTCCTCGAGGCAATCAAATTACCGAAACCGCCCATCATGGAAACCATTCCTTCAGAGAAGATGGAGACGTACCACGGCTACGTGCGCACGCCGGCAGACGCCATCAAGCTGTTTGAAGCGTGCCGCCTTGGCCTCTTGCCGCGGGTGCAGCGCCGCCTCTCCGAGAAGGAGCGCCAATCTATTCGCTCCGGCTCCGTTTTTGTGTGGGATGAGCGCGAAGCTGGTATGCGACGCTGGACCGACGGCAAGTCTTGGAGTGCGAGCCGCGTCTCGGGCAGCTTCCTGACATACCGGGAGATGGAAGGGAAGCGCGGCGGCGGCTTCGGGACCGGCCGTCGGGCTGGCAAGGATGGACGGCTTAGCGATGAGGATGTGGATGATGGAGAGCCGGAGGGGTACCGCTACAAGGCCGATGGGCTTATGAAGCAATCCTTCAGCATCACCACCTCGAACAACCAGCACCTCCATCTCATCTCGTACTACTCCCGTCCGCAGCCCGGGCATGCGGAGCTGCCTCAACCAACCACTGATCCTAACCTGCGCACCATCGTTCCCGTCAAGGGCATGTACCCCGAGTCTAGCATGGGCGAGGCGAACCAGACACCGGCACTAACACGAACGCCAATGCAGCAGGCCACGTACATGATTCCTCATCAACACGTGCACCCTCATGCCCACGGCACCCCGTACGCGTCTGGCTATGGCTGGCCTCCGTCGCCCGCGGCTACGCCTCCATACAGCAGCTTCGGCTCCTCGTCTTATCCTCACGGGTTACCGCCACTCCATAGCCGTCACGGCCAGCACCAATCAATGTCCGGCTACGGTGCTCCTCTCGCGGACCGCGCCCACGCTCCTCAACCGCACTATTCTTATCCGCACCACTACGAGGCTGCGCTGCCGCCGCTGCACACCACGCCTAAGAAGGCGCAGGCATATGCAAACTTTCCCACCCGCCCGCTGTCGCCGCCCCATGAGCTCCTGCCATACAATGCCTTGGCAGCCATTGACCGCCGTGGCTCGTTGAGCATGGGCCCTCTCCCGGGCCTTAACACGGTCACGGCCGGGCCGCGGGTCGGTGCTGGCACGCCACCGACCAGAAATGCTAGTGTGAGCCCTCCGCGCACCGCCGGCTCGGACCAGCCCAGCACCAGAGGCCAGCGCTCCAGTCTGAGCAATCCCGTCCTGAACAGTATCCTGCATCCGACCCCCGCTTCTAGCGAGTCCGGTGGCGGAAGCGGACACAATAGCCCAAGAAGCAACAGCGTTATGAGCGTGGATATGCTGGTATCCGGCAGCGAGGACGCGCGAGCCATTCAAATACTGAACCGCAACTTCTTCAGCTCAACTTGATAATCGCAACTTTTGCGGCCCAAAAAAATAGCGTTGATTTTTACATTTGATTTTTATGCATAGTATTGGTGTTGGGGAGTGATTTACGACCGGACAGTGGGCGAGGAGCGTCAAGTACGCTCCTCGAGTAGGACGAAGGACGGAATGTATCCGAGTATGACGAAGCATGGAACTTGTTCCATATCGCTTGGAAGTACGACAGGCCGCCAGGCGGCGCAGATACTATACGTCATTAATTTACTCAAAATTACACTGTATTACCAACGGTTCCTTCGCCTTGTAATTTGCAATTTTGTGCGTCACAAGTACCTAGATGCTTAGCGTTTGCACATCGGAGCAGGCTGGCTTCTGAAGGCTGGTTAGGCTGTTGCGTAAGTGTTTTAAAGTTTGTTCCGGGGACTTGTCAATTGACTTATAAAGCATATAATTAGTGATGAAGAGGAACATCGGTCCAAAGGCTCTAAAGAAAAGTAGTGCAAATTAGGACAATCCAGGGCCGCAGAGCCGCGTACACATGAAGGGAGGGAGCATCATCTCACCCGACAATATGCGCGCCAGACGAGAAACACAAAAGTCTTTTATCCACCTCGCGTGGCAATCCAAAATGGAAAGTGGTTTTTTTTACTTTGAACTGTTTGAAATTTTCTCCGTAGCTCGGCTACAGCGAAGTTTGCATTGTGGGCGCGTCGTCTGCATTTTAGGATTGGCGGCCAATTAAGTTGTGTGAAACCAGACGGAAATCGCCAGCGATGATGGCACGACCTACTCACGCGAGGGGGGCGAGAGCCTGAACCTTTGGCCTATAACGCGGGCTGGGCTTTATTTGGAGCAAAAGAGACATTGAGTTAGACTTGGGAAGTTTAATCCAAGGAACAGGACCAGGGGCGGGCAGTATGAGTCAAAAAGTCTGAGTAGGCTTTTTCTACTACTGCTAGCTGTCATGAAAATAAATCTAGAACGCGCCGGGATTTTACTCCCTCTTGTAGCTTGTTCCAGCACTCATGCAGATGTGGCTATTCGGGCTTCACCAACCTCGTCCTATAGCAATGCGAAGAGACCAACAGGGTCGCTTGAGCTCCCTAAGCCTTATCAAGCACTAGCACTTGCGTCGTGCCAACCTTGTGAGCCATGGCAGATTTTTTTTAACCTTTGACGTGTAAACATATGCTTTTTGTAGAAAGGGCGCGTGTCCGTCGCCTTGGGTCCTCTCAGTTGCTATGAACAACCACGAGTTGCGATAACCTTAAAGAAGGGGGGGAGGGTGTGTGTGACCCTAAAGGGCTCTAACGACTAAACGGAGTGAGCTGGGATAATTAAAGGCAGAGGTATCGGTTCCTCGTCTAGATCCTGGCCGGGTCGTTGATGCGGTACCGGGTAGGCTGCGTTGTTGTTGCGTGTAAAAATGTGGTGCCAGCCGGCGCGGCATAGTTGTTCCGGCGCTGGGTGACACGCGCCCACTGCCTGACAAGATATGCAGAACAATCTTTCCGCCACACATCACAATCGTCGCCATTGGGCTTGCCCACCAGTCGCTCCTTTCGCCACACTGCTTCCTAGATTCTCAGCCCTTATTCTTTTCAAATATCATGGCGTAAATCGCATCAGACGGCCCGGATCAAGCAAACCACAGTTCTACGCACACTCTGGTGTCGGCTGCGGGCTCGCCCCCCCATCGCACCATCGCAACCATGTTCACGTTTTGCCCTCTCCAGGGCGCGCAATCCGAGTCGCTGGCCTCACAGTCCCTGCTGGAGCTCGATGGCGGCGTCAAGGTGCTCGTGGATCTCGGATGGGATGAGTCCTTCGACGTGGCCAAGCTCGAGGAGCTGGAAAAGTAGGGGCGCCATCTCGTCACCACGCACGCGGGCCCTTTATGCTAACCTTGGCTCTTAGACAAGTCCCGACCCTCTCCCTCATCCTCCTGACGCACGCGACCGCCTCCCACATCGCCGCGTACGTGCACTGCTGCAAGAATATACCCCTCTTCACGCGCATCCCCGTCTACGCGACCCGGCCCGTCATCGACCTCGGCCGGACCCTCACGCAGGACCTGTACTCATCGACGCCCGCTGCGGCCACCACCGTACCTCCCGCCGCGCTGTCCGCGTCGGCCTATGCCTACACGCAGGCCGCGACGACGACGCAGAACCTGCTGCTACAGTCCCCGACCCCCGACGACATTGCGCGCTACTTTTCCCTCATCCAGCCCCTCAAGTACTCGCAGCCGCACCAGCCGCTGCCCTCGCCCTTTTCGCCGCCGCTCAACGGCCTCACCATCACCGCCTACAACGCGGGCCATACGCTCGGTGGCACCATCTGGCACATCCAGCACGGCCTTGAGTCCATCGTCTACGCCGTCGACTGGAACCAGGCCAGGGAAAACGTCTTTGCCGGCGCGGCCTGGCTCGGCGGCGCGGGTGGCGGCGGCGCCCAGGTCATTGAGCAGTTGCGCAAGCCGACCGCGCTCATCTGCAGCAGTCGCGGTGCGGAGAGGAATGCACAGGCGGGCGGCCGCGCCAAACGCGATGAGCAGCTGCTCGAGACGATCAAGGCGGCCGTGGCCAGGGGCGGCACCGTGCTGATTCCGGTAGACTCGAGCGCGCGGGTGCTGGAGCTTGCGTACTTGCTGGAGCACGCGTGGCGGACGGATTCGGCGTCGGCGGCTGGCGTGTTCAAGGCGGCCAAGCTCTACTTGGCTGGCCGCAACATGGCGAGTACCATGCGCTACGCACGAAGTATGCTCGAGTGGATGGACGACGGCATTGTACAAGAATTCGAGGCCTTTGCAGAGGGCCAGAAAAGAACCAACGGAGCTAGTGACAAAAAAGTAGGCGGCCCGCTTGACTTTCGCTTCATGCGCCTGTTGGATCGCAAAGCACAGATTGCGAAACTCCTGAGCACGGCTGTAAACAATGGCGAATCTAAAGGGCGCGTGATTCTGGCGAGCGATACCAGCATGGACTGGGGATTCTCCAAGGACTTGCTCAGAGGGTTGGCGTCTGACCCGAATAATGTTGTCATCCTTACAGATAAGCCTGGTATGGCGCAAGAAAGCAGCCCGTCTATTGCAAGAACGCTATGGAGTCTGTGGAAAGAGCGCAAGGATGGTGTTGCTACACTGCAAACAGCCAACGGCGACACGATCGAATACGTAAATACAAGTGGCTACGACCTGGAGATTCGGGATGCCAAACGTGAACCGCTGCAAGGGGAAGAACTTGCCGTATACCAACAATGGCTCGCCACACAACGACAGCTCCAAGCTACGCAGCAAACAGTCGGTGCAGACGGGATAGAGGCGTCTGCAGACGTGGTCGACGATGTGTCTTCCGATTCCTCGTCAGATTCGGAAGACGAGGACGGCCAGCAACAAGGCAAGGCGCTAAATGTGTCGGCTGCTCTTGGCCAAGTCGGCCGTAAGAACGTGGTTCTCAAAGACGAGGACCTCGGCATCAGTATTTTAATCAAGAAGAAGGGCGTCTACGATTTCGACTCGCGAGGCAAGCGCGGTCGTGAGCGATCGTTCCCCGTCACTGTGCGCAGGAAGAGAAACGACGACTTTGGCGAAATGATTCGGCCCGAAGACTATCTTCGTGCGGAAGAAAAGGAGGAGGATACCGTTGACGACCCCAATACCGCCGCCGACGACGAAAACTTGGGCAAGAAACGCAAGTGGGACGACGTGCAGGGCACTAGCGGCAACAAAAAACCGCAGCTCGGCAGAGGCACTGCCGCCGGTGGCGCCTTTGCAGGCGACGGCGGCGAAGACGGCAATATGACCGGCATGCAGGACGGTTTCGAACCCGACGAGCTGGACGCCGCCGAGGACGTCGACGTCGACGAGCCCGACGGCCCCTGCAAGCTCATCCACACAACGGAAACAATCGCCATCCACCTCCGCATTGCCTACGTCGACTTTGCCGGCCTGCACGACAAGCGCAGTCTCAACATGCTGATCCCGCTCATCCAGCCGCGCAAGCTCATCCTGATCGCCGGTACGCGCGAGGAGACGTTGGCCCTGGCACAGGACTGCCGCGCCATGCTCGGCGCCGACTCTGGCGGGAGCGGGGCTGGTGGTGAGAAGGGCGGTGCCGATATATACACGCCCGAAGTAGGCGTCGTCGTAGACGCTAGTGTTGATACAAGCGCTTGGGTCGTTAAGCTAGCCGACACGCTCGTCAAGAAGCTAAAGTGGCAAAATGTGCGTGGCCTAGGCATCGTCACCGTCTCTGGCCAGCTCTTTGCCGCTGCCGCCGCCGCCGTTGGCGCCATCGCCGGCGCCGCCGCCGACGAAGACGCGGACGCCGCCAACAAACGGCAAAAGACGAGCGACTCCTCCCTGGCGCTAACAACAACAACATCATCAACACCGACGACGACGACACTAATCCACACAACGGCGACGACGCCTAGCTTACCAACACTCGACGTGGTGACGGCCAGCTTAGCGGCCGTTGCCGCGCGCACGGCCGCGCAGCCGCTGCACGTGGGCGACCTCCGGCTCGCGGACCTCCGGCGCGCGATGCAGGCGGCCGGGCACGCGGCCGAGTTTCGCGGCGAGGGCATGCTCGTTGTCGACGGCGCCGTCGTCGTGCGCAAAACGGCCGAGGGCCAGGTCGAGGTGGAAAGCGTCGGTCTGCCGGCGGCAGGGCGGCGCAGCGCGCTGCACGAGGTCAAGAGGGCGATTTACGACAACTTGGCTGTGGTGGCGGGGGCGTAGAAAAAGAAGACAAGGAAAAAAGGGAGATGTATTCTTCCATCTGTGTATAATTTGAGGGGGTGGTGGGCGAATCTCGGCAGAAATTTGGCGTCTTTGCATTTATACCGCAGTCGTATACTACAGCCCTGAACAAAGCCATCATTTTGAAGTACTCTTCTTGTTGGGCTTGCCGGGTGATTGTCATCATGGAATAGTAGAATTATTTATATGCTTTGTCCGCATTGTGGACAACACGACAGTTGAAAACTGCACGCCGCGCTTCTTCCCACCCGCGGCCAACTAGCTCCATTACAAATACAGAGATGCACAAAAGAAATCGACACGCCAAGGTCTAGTGATGTATGATAGCCAAAGAGGGCCGCCTTGAGCATCGGTAATAAAACAAGAGAGGAAAGAAAAGAAAACGCCTAGCAATGCAACGCTTAGCAAAAAAACGCCCTTGTACAGTGTTGACCCCATGACTGGATCCCTCGCGCTCGCACTCATGACGCCGTCTTCATCTGCACCATTTCGTACTCGCCCTGCCCGTCTCTGCCGCGGCCCTTGCCGCGCGCACCCTGCACGAAGCCCGTCTCGTCGTCGCCGCCCGGGCCGTGGCCCGCTTCCAGATCCGCCGTCCGACTGCTGCTGCTGCTGCCGGCGGCGCGCTCTGGCGGTGGGGAGCTCGCTCTGGCGGTGCGGCCGTCGCCGGCGCCGAGGATGCGGCCGCCAAAGAAGACGGGCTGCAGCTCGCGGTAGCGGCAGCCCCAGGTGGCGAGGCCGACGGCCGCGGCGGACGAGGCCGCCATGGTGAGCCACCACATGGCGTGGCGCGGGAGCGAGCGCGTGTAGAGCGTGACGACGACGAGGTGGAGGGCGTGCACGGTGAGGGCAAAGTCGGGAACGAGCTTGCTGCGAGCAATGAGGATGACAATGGCGACGGCCCTTTTTCGTTGATTGAATAGTTAGTAACCGGAGCGCAAAAGGGAAGAGGGGGGGGGGGAGACAAACATGCAAAAAGAACCGTCAAAGAGCCAGACAAACGCCATCAGCCAGCCTTGGGTGTTGTCGGCCCGCACCGCTTCCCACCCGAGCACCAGGTCCAGGCCAAAGGGCTGGCCGGCGACGAGCGAGGTGAAGACGATGAGGACGAGCGCGACGGCGTAAAAGAGAAGCTGCAGCACGGCGATCTGGGCCGCGGTGCGCAGCGGCTGCAGCTCGTGGAGGGCGCCGGCCCTGGGGGGTCTGCGTCTGCGCGGCATTGCTTTGGGGGGGGGTTGGATGTGTGTGGTTGGCGACGAGGCAGTCGCAAAGTCGGTATATCGAAGAAGAAGAGTGGCGACTTTATCCGCGGCGCATCTTCAGGAATCGCCAACAGAAACAAGACCGACGATAGAAGACTGTTGAAGTGGAAAAGAGGTTCGAGGTTCGGCCGGATAGAACAACAAGTCGGCGGACGCGGAGGGGGCGCAAACTGGACTGCCTGAGGAACAGAATAGAGGCAGAGGAGAAAACGACGCTGTTGAGTTTTGCGGTCCTGCTGCAAGTGACGAGAGAAGCGGAACCAAAAAAAAAACGAAGAAGAACGAGAAAGAATTCGGCGAGAGAAGTGAAGACGATTGCTGCCTGCTGCGAGATCCAGGAGGTTTGACAGCTTGCATCAAACTAACTAGGGGTACGTACCTTTTGGGGGAGTCGAACATATATGGAGCTGACCGCCCTAGCATTCTGCCAAGGACCCGACGTCGTACAGCATATTTTAATGATAATAGTTATATAGGCTATAATCAAGAATTGATAGTTTATTCATCTCTTGAAAAGAAAATCGTACTAAAGGAACACTTTCCTAGTTTTTATTATTATAAGTTATTAGTAAAATAACAAGCAGTGTGTTATAGGAAGTGTTGTACGATGCCTGGCTACGTCACGAATTACTGGAGACTTTTTGTGGGGGCTGGAATAAAGCTTCCTTTCAGACGGGTGCCAAACGACCTTTTTGATCAATTCGACGCCTACATCAATCGAAACCGAATCCGTTTGATCGTACTCGCGAGCCGTTCAAACAAGCAACCCGATAACCGGTCAACGAAGCTCTCACATTTCCGCGGGTCATCCCAAGGTGCAACCAGATCCGCGACCCCCCAACCCGAATTCCAACCGCAACAAGAATGGGCTGGCTGCCATTCACGACGGCCTCGCGCGGGGACGAGATCCGCAGCGGCGCAGCCATCCCGACGCGCTCGGAGCGCGCGGTGTGCTGGGCCGCGCGCGACGCCTACTTTGGCTGCCTGGACGCGCACAGCATCATCGACGCGTCCAAGGCGCCGGGCGCGGGCGCGGCGGCGGCCGCCTGCCCGGAGACGTCGGCCGCGTTTGAGAAGGACTGCGCCGCGGCGTGGGTCAAGTACTTCAAGCAGTGGCGCGTGGCGGACGCGCAGAAGCGCCGCCGCATCGAGCAGCTGCAGGCCGAGGGCGCCGTCGAGGCCGCCGTCAGCAGCAGCTTCGCCGGCGGCGGCAACATTGCTGCCCCCGCCAGGGCGCAGGCCACAAAGGAGGATATTCAGGCCATGCTGGATAAGAAGCGCGGGTAAGACGGGTGCCCCCGAGGAAAGAAACAAGGAGAACAGAGTGGCAGCCTGAGAGGGAGAGAGGAGGTGTATTATTACGGTTCTTGTACAGTAGCGGGCGGAATGAATGACTACGCCACAACATTTCACTCATATTATAAAGCGCAATGCAAAGTTCCTGGGGCATCCATACGGTGCAAGGGCATACAATTCATGGATCGAGTACTTTGCCTCGTCTAGATTACAACACAGCTGGAAAAGAATGGCGTACAGTGACGTAAACTGGTTCCTATTTTCCAAAGCCAACAAGCATCACAAATTCGCTCTTGAAAAAATAGTGACAAATGCCAGTGTCGTCTCCTGGAAGCAATGTCTTTTTGCTCGACTAAACCAAATAAAGTAACAGAAGAAAAAATAACAACGGAAAAAAAATGTATAGACAGTAGAAACTACTCGCAATGCACTGGTGGTATCATCCATGTCTCTTTTGGCAACAGAAAAGGAAAAGAACAAAAACAAAAAAAAAGACAAAAACAAGATGGAGAGCAAGGGCCACGACAAAAGAGCCGCAAACCCAAAATTTCAAAGCCCAGGCCAAAAAATATATCATTCTCGCTCCACAGGAATCGTCTTGGCTTTCTACAAACGACGGTCGTAGAGAAGCGTCTTCGCTCGCACCACTTCACACAAGTCGGTCAGGAAAACAATAATGAAATAGGTTGTCATGAAATGTAGCATCGCTCCATCTTTCGTCTGTATCAAAGTCCGCCTTCCATGCAAAAACAACAACCCTGACGGGTGATGCGAGGCCAGAGTTTCAGAGGCTAAAGGTACTGCGACGGCCGCGGGAAGAGGGATCGAAACGGGCTGAGAATCTATGCCGACCCGTTTCGTGGATCCGCAGCTTCCTTGGGCAGAGGCGGTAGCTTCTTGTCTAGGCTGCCGCGGCTATATGTGCGTGTTCGGTCGAGATCCTCGTAGCCGTCGTCCTTGGCGGGTGGTAAAGGAGCGGCTCGTGTCGGCTCTAACATGCCATTGATTCTACCATGTTCATTGTCGTCGCGGCTGCTTTCGCCAAGCTCTTCCACCACGGGCAAGATGCGTTCATGTTGCGCCGAGTTGCGGTTTTCTGCGGGAACAGACATAGTCTTGATCGTTCGCTCTGGCGGATAATCAGAGGTCGACTTTTGTGCCTCCTTAGTCGCCATGTCTACCGTATCCTTGGGTGCTTGGTGTTCAGGAGCGCCAGGTGGCACCGGTGGAAGATGCGTTGGCATGGGCGGGATCGAGTGCCTAGTCTTCCCGGCCCGCGTCTCGCCCGATTGACGGGCGTCCATGGCCTCTTGCTCGCGTCGAATCTCCTCTCTATGTGCCTGCTCGCTCGACATGGTAATCCCCTCTACAAAGTTGTAGAAGCGATCGCCGTATTGGTCTGGCGGCAGAGCAGAGATTTGCGTCCTATCGCTGGAAAGGCCCTTCCAAAAATGCTCAATCTTCTTGATGATACCATAGTGGGTAAGGCAATCAATGACACCAAGGTAGTAAATCTCATCAGCGGGATCGTTATTCTCGCGAGTGGCTTGAAAGCCGCCGTCGTCTTGATTGAAAACAAATCCTGGACGACTGTGGCCTACGCCGAGCTCATCGGGCATTTTGTCAATAGCTTGGCCCATAGGGATGGGACGCTCTTGTCGGATCATCTGGCGAAGTTCGCGGGCCTTGCGGGCCGTCTCAAGCTTGGATGGGGTTCGGTGCAGGGGCATTGGCGGCTCCTCTTCTGTCGACTTTTCGCGGCCTGGGTTGAACACTTGGAGGGTCTTGCCACGCAGGTTCTCATCGTTACCACGAGACACGTCGTGGATACCAACGAGCAGAGAATAGTCCATAATTTGGAGGCGCTTCAATAGCACCACATCGGCGCGTAGTTGTTCCAAAAAAAGTCGCTTTTTCTGAATACCTAGTTCCAGGTTTCGTTTCCTGCGCAGCCAGTTGAGGTCTTTCAAGGTGGCTCTTGGGTTCTGCTCCAAGTCCTCCTCTTTGTAGTTGCGGCCGACCGTCGATCCCTTCAAATCGAATGTGGTGTGAATATCACGATGCGGCGGAAAGAGATTATTCATCACGACAAAGTGAATCTTCTTGCCGTAGGGCATCTTGACGCGGTGTAGTCCGTAGAACTGAGAAAGCAGAGTGTTGGGGTTTTGCTGAACGTGAGTATAGTAATCTTTAAGGATTTTCCTCAAAAACTTATGTTCGGAGTGATGAATCGTTTTAATGATGTACTTGTAGTCTCTAGAAAAGTAGAAAAAGCTGCCACTCTTGCCGGGCGAGCCCAGCTCTGACAAGATGTACTTGCCAGTGAGAGACATGAGGTAGTCGGCAGGGTCGAGACGGAAGAGAGCGCGTAGACGCCGGAAAACCCAAGGGGCGTAATCTTTGAATTTGAAATCATACTTGGCCGAGGGTACCAGCTCGTTTCCGGTGCTATTCGAGGTTAGTAGCTGCTAGTTCGTGGAGGGTGGCAAAGACATACATATCGAAAGTCGACTTTTGCTTGGCTTCAAAGTCGGCGTCTGTAAGCTCGCGATCGAGCTTTGCGTTTGTTCTGGAAACGGAGACGCGGATTCCAGTTAACATGTTGTAGGCAGTGACCCAGTTGGCATGGCTCTCATCGACTTTTGTGCCGACAAGAACTCGATCATCGTCTTCCTCCTCTTTGCGCCTGCGCTTGCTAGCTCGCTTCTGGCGAATGGCCTCGGCCCACCTAGCGGCGTCTTCGTCCAGAGCTATCTCGTCGCGGGGCATGTCCGATATTCCTGAACGTGTCGCTCTACGGCCCAGGTTCATGGAGGCACGTCGTGCCCCAGATACAGCGGATGTTGGCGAGAACCTGCCAGTCGCCAAGGCCGCGTCCTGCCCATCTTTAGAAGGCCGGCTGGATTTGGGAACCTCGAGCGTATGTCGTTGCTTCAAAATCGGCGGTGGAGCTGGTGGAAGAAGATGTCCGGAGGGAGATGAATTCAGCGAGGTATTACCGGGTTGGTAGGCAGGAGGAGAGGAGAAGCGGTGGGTAGTAGGTTTTGGAGAACTCGGCTGGGCGCCATGGCTCACGTCGGTGAGACTAGGTGAGGCGACTGGAGGAAAGTCCTTCTCGACAGGTACGGGGGGTTGTTCGTCGTGGCTTGGCGCGGCACTTGGAGCATGGTTGGGAGGGTTTGGCGGTTGGTGGAGAGGAGCGGAGGGTATTTGGGTCGATTGCTTGGCGGAGCCATTTTGTACATGATGGCCATTTGGGGTGGATGATTGAAGTGTAGTTCGGTCAGGAAGAGAGATTTTGCCATTAGCGAGGCCATTGGGGGCAATGGGATGTGTGTCGCGCCCGTCGTCATTCGTATACGAGTTCATGCTCGTTGGTCGAGTGCCATTGCCATTTTCGTTGAGCATCATCGCACGCGTGCCAGATGTGTCAGAGTCGTGCGTAGAGATTAAACTCTCATCGAAGCTCTCTGCTGTATTATCAGGCCTTGGGCGGTCGAGGACATGGGTGTCGGGCGCAACCTTGTCTGAGGCGAGGGCAAACTTGTCGTCGTGGCTGAACTGGAGAAAGTCAAGATGTGGGGAATCTACTGGCGCGTTGTCGTCAGTGAGATATGAGGGCATTTCGGCAGTGGCCCGGGTGCCGTGGACGGGCGATGCCTTGCGTGGCAGACGCTGGTCGGCAGCCGATGTGTTGACGTTGCTTGTTGGACGACTAAAAAAAAGACGTTTCGTAGACGACGGCGTGGAGCTTGAACGGGCTCAGAGCACGCTCAGGATTCGGGATGGTATGCCAGGACAGTCAGACAAGAAGGAATATATATCCGAATCGAGAGTTGGTGGCACGAAAGGACGCTCGTCAAGGCAAGCCACAGGGGCGGCTGGGGTGAATGGCGGTGATGATGCGAGGCGGTGCACACAGGACAGACATATACGGTCGGAGCTGACGAAGGAGAAGAGACAGGATGGCGTTGCACGAGGCTCGGCCTCGCGGACGAGAGCTCGGATGTTGCTAATTCGGCAGCTGCGGCGAGGAAATTCAATGAGGATGAGTGTGCGGATGATGATGCTAGCGGCCAGAGAAGGGAGGGGGGAGAATCGATGGTGAGCGAGACTTTTGGGGGGAAAGACAGAGAAGAAGAGACGACAAAACGTTGACGAAGACGTGCGCACGTTGGGCGGCGAAAATGGCCAACGAGGCGGCGCAGGCGGAGCCACAGGATTGGACGCAATTACAGGGGACAGCAGGGGAGAACAAGGTGCAACAGCGCTGTCAAGAGGCGCCAACTTCGCCAACTTGGGCTGCTCAGCGGTCGTGATCCACCTGTGGCTGAGCCACGGGGCGCTGCTGTTGGCCGCCGCGGAGCGCTGGCCAGGAACAAGGGGCAGCCAACAACCTAGGTAGGTAGGCAGGTAGTCAAGATGGCGGGAAAATCACCTACTAATAATACCTATTGGTGAGGTCCGTAGGTAAGTATAAAAGGATGCACAGGTAGGTTTCGAAACGACACATCCAATTCGTCAATTACAGGCACATCAGTCCCTTCTACTAGAAGGCACGCGTGCGACATACCCCATTGTTTGGAGTACCACGCTTGCTAAGGAAAGGAACACATGCTGTGCAGGTGTGTTTTACTTCTTTTCAAAATATATAATAGATTACTTAGGCGACGTATCGTGAAGTTCACATATCGTAAATTTTGATGTATTTGTTCTTCCACGTTGAGAAACGGTCTGGCGAGCTAACTATAGTATGTACCTGCCCACCTGTTAGATCTTTCCAGAGCCTCCACAACGGAACCAACCACCAATAATTTTATTTTAGGAGCTGCATGACGCGTTCAGGTAGGTTCAGTCAGTACCAGTACTCTGTACGGAGTATAGTCGCTGCAATTCGATTACCAGTCAGCGCCTCGGTTCCTGCTTCCAGCCGCCACAGTTGTCAGCCATTGCCAATAATAACAACGCCGAAGCCTGAATACGACTCGCCAAGGGCCTCGAATCCTGGCCTGGCGCCACAGCTCCAGTCTTCAGTGCCGCGTCTACTTCCAGGCATAACTCGCAACATCCCCTCGACTCCGTAGTAACATTGCAGTACCGACGCAGCCCTTGACCCTGGCTTGAAAGAGGCAACGAAGCACAAGAACAAACTCAAGCAGAAACGAAACGAAGGAAAAGAAACCACACAGATATATCAAAGCCACAGCTCAAGACTCGATATCACCAAGATCAATAACACATGTCTCAGACCCCTGGCGGTACCTGCTAATAATACGACTACCTATGTGTCGTCACTAAAGAAAGCAACGCAGCCTCTGCCTCCCTGTGCGGCGGCTTATCCCGTTGCTTAGCGGCATTTGGGAGGTAACACCTACCTACATACATAGTAAGAAGCTCGATGCACTGACAACACAATGCAGGCCCAGCCTGATGCACCTTCTGTCACAACCGCCCATCTTTGTGATCCGTGCATCATCTCAATGTGCATTATATCAATGCTATCTGAGTTATTCACCAGCACGCTGCCGACCCACAGCCTTCCCATCGAATACCACGCCAAAAGTGCCACGTATGGTCCTGCTCTGACGTCGCGACGCCAGCAGACTATCCCAAGCTCCGGTAATAAAAGAGACAATTTCCGATTCTCAAACGAGTACCCGGCTGCCTAGTATATCCTGCACTTGGTTTCTAATCGCCAGCCGAGTTATTGGTACAGCAGACCAGCGCTGGCGGTACGGGGCAGTACATGCCCAGGGCCATCAAGCATATCATAGCGAAGCGCGTTTCGGGCTGTATAACATATGCAATACCAGCATCGCCCACAATCGCAATGGGAATGACGCAGAGCAGAATGATGAATAGTTGGTAAGATTACAAGTCGATAAAATACGTCAAATTATGCTTTAAATTATCAACAAGGCTCTCACCTGTAATGGAGTGTGCATGGCAAATAGGACAACGGACCAAATGAGCAAAAAGCAGCACCTGGCCGTTGAGCCGGCTCCTCGCGCATAAAAGTACGACTGAGAAAGAGACATTGACATAACGTGATACAATAGCTACGGTGAACATTCTTAGATTGACCACCTTGGTCTTGTTCCAAGCGATCTCCTACTGCTGCGCTTCTTTTGTCAGGAATGGACCTTCTCGCAGCAAATTTGGCGGACTAAGATAAGAGGTAGTTGCAAAAATAGCTATCCAGAAAGCTTGTTAGGGAAAATAATCAAACCGACTGCTCACGTTGGAAAGACACAAAGATGATAAAGTTCTTCAAGGTACCACCACAAGGACCAGTGGCAGATAGCCCATGGTATATGGCAAGTGCATTGCAACAATGTGTAAGAGTTATATGTACGTAGCTTGCTATCCCGATAATATTGGCATTGTGAACACTTGTCCCATCGAGGAAGGAGCAAAGAAGGGTACATAGTTGTGTCTGTAGAGGTATGAGACCGACACAAGGAGTGATTTGCTTTACTTCCTGTCAAAAAGTCTCCGATTCTCCAAGCTCCATCTACTCCAAAGAACTGGCGGTATTTGATTTGTACCTATTGTTTGCCTATGTCAACAGTTGATTCTGGCCCTCTACATGCGCATGATCATGACACAGGACACCTGCGCCTGTAGCACTAGGCGGATACGATTGCGGGCGGGTAACAGCTTTACGCCCAAGGAGTGGCGGGGAGGAGCGGCGTGGTCAATTTTTAATTGAGATAATTGAGATAATTGAGAAATAAACAAATTGCCAGAGATCATGTTGCAAGTAGTATCTACAAGGGATAGCGTGCCATGCGAGGCAAATTCATGTGGAAGGCGCTGGTGAGAAGGCGTCGCTTAGCCTTCTTAGCAGGATCACTTAGATGCTGCTTATTGACCAGTACAAACACACCTAACACCATGAATTACCAACATTACCAATCACAGTAGAGTTATACATCTTCGAGTCGACCTTTACGACCTCCAAAACATCGATATCATCCCCCCAAAAATGCTCCCAGCAGACGGACTGCAGTCAACCTCGCAGGATGCCTGTGCCAGTGACGGCAACTCGTGCGCCGGGTCAAACCGAGAAGAAACTCCATCAGAAGTCGAAGCGACAAAGGAATCTGGCTTGTACCGCTTCGTGCAAATACAGAGCTGCCCCGACCACAATGGCAGCAATGAAGGGAGCCCGCGACCTTCGCTCCAGTCCATGGAGGAGATGTACAGCCGGTCTCTGAACGACGTGTCCAGCTTGATGAACCAAAGCACATCCAAGGAGACTGACAGCCAGGTATGAAGGCTCATATATCGCGTCGATAACCTAGTTATCGCAGCGCAGAATGTACTAACGGCGAGGTCCGGCACAGAGCGAGATCCTAGACATGCGAAAGAAGCGACAGCCGCGATCCCAGCCCTTGACACCACCAGGCTTAAGACACCGACTGTTGAAAAAAATTAGACCGAGACGTCACTGGGAGACATCACACAATCATGGACAAGATTGTACAGCAAATGTGGCTGCTTCGTTGGGCACAGTCGGACAATTGCGACGCCGAGATCGAGACTCGACCCAGATACACACCTCGTCCGATGACGAGGATGCGGCTAACAGTCGACAGCCTTTGACGCAAGAGGAACAGGCTTCTAATATGAAGACAAGTGATGCGGCCTCGGGTGTATAAGGCGGACTGTCGTTGCGGATGAGGAAGATGCCGCTGCAAGCCTAACCAAGGCGATGATCGGTTATCACTATCCACTCATGTCCCTTTGCTCGACTGAATTATTAGACTATTTGTATCTATTGAAATTATTTATTACAACAGTCTCCAGATGCCGGTATTATTAGTCAAGCTTGACAGCTCGGAGTAGTTCGGCGTAGTCGCCACATATCAGTCGGTGCCGGTCCAACACCGCAATCCACAACTCGCACTTCTCACCGAGGCATCACGGCGTAGTGTGCCCAGTGAGCGCTGCACAATCATGCTTTAGTGGGGATTTACAGTGGGCTGCGTCGGATCCACGCCTGGAAGACCGCCTAATGATAATGGCTGTGGGGAAAACCCCGGGGAAGCGGCATCGCTCGCCATCATTTGTCCGCCGGCATTGGCAATTTACAAAACACAGACCTGCCACCTACACCTCTCCCTCTCTTGTCTTTCTCATTTACGACATCCATTGGCCGTTGGAAATCGCTCCGCCGCGTCTACCGTCACAATGTTCCGTCCCGTACTAAGACAAGCTATGAGAACGAGCTTGGCTCTTCGCCCTGCTACGGTCCGCTCTTTCGCCTCGGCATCTGACCCTACCTTCAATTGGCAAGATCCTCTTGCTTCCAAGAACCTTCTAACAGAGGAGGAGATTGCAATTGCCGAGACGGCAGAGAGATACTGCCAAGAGCGCATGCTGCCACGAGTTTTGCGTAAGTACCGACTACCAGTGCTATTGGCAGCGCTTGCTAATTCAGCGCAAACAGAGGCTTACCGCGATGAACACTACGATCCCAAGATCCTCGAAGAAATGGGCGAGCTCGGTCTGCTCGGCGCCACCATCCAGGGCTACGGCTGCGCCGGTGTGTCGAACGTCGCCAGCGGTCTCATCACCCGCGCCGTGGAGCGGGTGGACAGCGGCTACCGCTCCGGCATGTCAGTACAGTCGTCGCTGGTCATGGGCGGCATCAACGAGTTCGGCACGGCGGAACAAAAGGAGCGCTTTCTCCCAGAGATGGCCAAGGGAAAACTCCTTGGCGCCTTTGGTCTGACTGAACCCAACCACGGCAGCGACCCCGGCAGCATGGAGGCAATTGCGCGTCCGCACCCGACCAAGAAGGGCGTCTACCTGCTCAGCGGCGCCAAGACGTGGATCACAAACAGTCCGATTGCCGATGTCCTGATGATCTGGGCCAAATTTGAGGAGACGGGCAAAATTCGCGGTTTTCTGGTCGAGCGCAAGGACTGCCCGGCCGGCACTCTCGCCACGCCGGCCATCAAGGACAAGAATGGCCTGCGCGCTTCCATAACGGGCATGATCCAGCTCGATGATTGCCCGGTTCCGGTAGAGAACATGTTCCCCGACATTGAGGGCCTGCGCGGACCCTTTTCGTGCCTCAACAACGCCCGCTTCGGCATCGCGTTTGGCATCATGGGCGCGTTGGAGGACTGCATCGCGCGCGCGCGCACTTACGCGCTAGAGCGCAAGCAGTTCAAAGGCAATCCTCTAGCGCGCTATCAGCTGATCCAAAAGAAGCTGGCCGACGCCACGACGGACGCTGCGTACGGCACGCTGGCGGCCATTCAGGTCGGCCGCCTCAAGGACGAGGGCAAGGCGACAAACGAGATGATTAGCATGATCAAGAGGGCCAACTGTGATGCCGCTCTGCGCAACGCGCGCATTCTGCAGGAGATTTTCGGCGGCAATGCCGTATCGGACGAATACGGCATTGGCCGCCACGTCGCAAACCTGTTCGTTACGCAAACGTACGAGGGTCAGAGCGATATTCACAGTACGTTTTTACTGAAGAAAAACGCACATTTGCAACTCAAGCTAACATTTACCTCACAGGCCTTATCCTAGGAAGAGCCATCACTGGCATCCAAGCCTTTGTCTAATGCAAGCGACCTGTTGGGGCAATGTCACGCGACAGCCGTAGAGCGGACGGATGGCGCAGCGTTTGGGTCACGGAAGATCATGAAGCTGGGATTTTAAACATACTAGGGATGCATTCGAAAAAGCGTATACAGTGCAATTAGAAATACAAAATGTACAAGCTACGAGAGTTGTAACTTGGGCAGACCGCTGGCCGGTGATGGCACGAGGAGCTGCCAGCACGAACGAGGAGAGGCGCTGTGGTGCAGTGACTGCATGCGCGCGGCACGCAAATGTTGATTTTCCCATCAAAGACGACAATGGACTATTGGTCAGCGTGCAAAATCATGACAAAAGGGATGCTCGAGTGGCAAATGGCTGAGAACTTTTTGCCCTGTTCTCGGCGATGGTGCCTGGCAGAGAGGGCCTCCGAGGTGGGCTGGCCGTCAAACCCGACCGAACCGGCAGCCACAGGCGGTACTGCTGAGTACAAGCTCAACTAACACCGTAATGGGGGTCACACACGCGTGGGCTGATAGCGCTGATGAACCGGCTCCGCCTGGTTTGTGCAGCCGCCCGACACCGCCACAAGGTGAGGGGCAGAAAAAACGAAAAGACTTTTGGGTCAGTCAGCGCTTGCCCAGGCCTGCACTGTCCAGCCATCCATGCTCCGTTGGCCAGCGCACCTCGTACTGTGACTGGCGCTGGCGGAGGCCCCCCACCTGGGCTGCCCTCACCTTCCTTCTCCTTCCAGTGCCGCCGCTGATGACTGTTGCCCATTCTGCCCGCCCAGAGCCTTTTTTCCCCTCCAACACAACATACAACCACCAAATTTTTGATCGGTTTTCCTAACGCACCTATCGAGCACGAGAACGTCGCCGTTGCCATCCCCTCTCTCTTTACATTTCCTGTTACTGCCCGTCCATTACGAGCACTTCTGATCTTGTTGTCTGGGTATGTTTTATCGACAAACGACAACCTCCTGCTGCCCTTTCCCCTCTTTTGCCCGCCACATTGCTAACCACCGCAAAACACAACAGCAACGCTTTCTCAGCGAAACCGACAGCCACCTTCATCACCCCATCCACACAAACAACATACACGCCGCCCGCCATGGCTCTCAAGCGCATTAACAAGGAACTCACTGATCTCGGCCGGTAAATACCTATTTTTCCTTCTCTTTTGACTCTGAATCCCGTCGCTTGGCCTGCCCGACGCCCAGCCGTGGTGTCATGAGGTCACGTCTTGTTTGCAGCCCAAGGGACGAGCAAGGTGGGGCTCGCTGAAGCGGGGTCCCCTTTGGCAACGACGCTGCGCCCGTGGCTGTAATGGCGAGCTATCCCGCCGGGATGCCTTGCTCTGGGCGAGACGCGGATCTTTTGACGACGATTCGATTGTATTTATGTTGGCGTGCATTGCTGACGATGTTCTAGAGACCCGCCCTCTTCCTGCTCAGCCGGTCCCGTGGGTGAAGATTTGGTACGTTTGCTCTCGCTTCGCCGTCGCAGCGGCTCTGTCCATCCGGGTTGCCCAACCGTCGTTTGGCCACCGCTGCCACTGGTATCACATCATAGGATATCTTACTAACTATTTTCAACAGTTCCACTGGCAAGCTACTATTATGGGACCCGTAAGTTACGCAGGCCAGCGTGCCACCTGGCCGGGTAACCCCGGCTGCGATTTGCGGCGTCACGCCTTGCATCTGAATACTAATCACCGATGATAGAGCGATTCCCCATACTCCGGTGGTGTCTTCTTCCTCGCCATTCACTTCCCTACCGACTACCCCTTCAAGCCTCCCAAGGTCAACTTCACAACTCGCATCTACCACCCGAATATCAACTCGAATGGTAGCATCTGCCTAGACATTCTGCGAGACCAGTGGAGCCCGGCGTTGACAATTTCCAAAGGTTTGTGCATACATGGGCCTCGAAACGAGGCAGATGGTTCTGCAATCACATACTGACAATCTCTAGTCCTCCTGTCCATCTGCTCGATGCTGACAGACCCCAACCCCGACGACCCTCTTGTTCCCGAGATTGCGCACGTGTACAAGACGGACCGACCACGATACGAGGCTACGGCCCGCGAGTGGACGCGCAAGTATGCCGTCTAAGCGGACGTGCTCTGGTGTGAGTGTGGAGAGCTGGTGTGCGAGGAGAGATGGGGCGGGTGATGATTTCGTCTTCTGTTACACAATACTAGCATAGGATATCAAGCGAGTGATTGCTCAGCGACACGGTTGGAATATGGCTGGATCGTGGGCCGTGAACTTGGCAGCCGTCTAGCACAGAACCGCCGTGGGAGCCAGCGACGTCTAGTTATGACTGGACCGAAGCGAGCTTGATGGTATGCTAACGGGAATCGAAACGGCAAAGTCAAGCTGTGTGGTCTGAAGTAACATTGCAATCACCAGGGATACCAGGCAGCTGGGGCAGTGCATTTCAGGTTGCAATCCTGTTCGTGGCATGCAGATTCAGGCAGCATATTTCATCATTGTCTCGAAACATTTGCAGTTCACCTTGAGTGCAAACGTGTCGACGTGACTGTGACAGGAAACGGGCGAGTGAAACTGACACGGGTCGCCGGCAGGCCATATGCTTATCAGGACTCAGTCGAGGAGACATGTAACGTAGATGAAGAGAATGATATGGTGATGGTTGAGTAGCGACATGTGTACCTAAGGTTACAGGGGCCAAGAGGTACACGTGCAATAATATTGGAGAGATTGGCGATAGAAGGATGACGGGTATGACGGCAATAGAATGGATTTACGAAACAAAGACGAGTTGATAGGATACACGAGGGTAGAAGAGGAAGGGGGAGGGGAAGCGCAAAAGACAAGGACTCCAAGTACAGTAGCATCGCGGCTGTAAGAGGAACAGGCGGATCTGCGCAGGATGCGGCTAGGTGCTGGGCGGGTGGTGTTTGTCATGGTATTTTTAGGTAACTATGTAGCAGGCACGAAGCAGCCACATGTCTGCAGCAAAAGACCCAGTGGATGATCAGGTTGAGTGGTCAGTCTGCAGAGCATGAGATGCATCAGAATTTGGGACGAAACAGAAACGGAAATGTTTCGAGGCCGATACGGTTGGGTGGGGAGTGGCGCGATTTTGTGGTGGTGAAGGCTATTGCATAAATCCTTTTCTTTTTTCTTAACCGTTTCTGTGAAAGACTTTTGTCAGGACCCGGGCTTATCAATCCTTGGTGGGAGCCGGGGAATATTCGAGATGGCGTGCAGAGTGGCAGGGGAGGGACGGGGAGGTGATGGCGGCGACGATAGATGTCGCAAGGTGTTTCAGGGCCGACGGAGGCGGGGCGGCGGAAGAGATGACACGCTTGGCAGGGACAGGGTGGTGGTTGACGGAGGAGGGAGAAGGCCGGGTCATTGTGAAGAATGACGATCAGATGCAGGTTGATTTTTTTGCGAGGTGATGGCGAATGGTTCATATGGGGAAATGGGGGTTTGGCGAGAGAAGGAGGGAATGTGTGTGTAACTACTAAGGTACTAGGTAGTATAAGCTTTGCTTGGTTGGTGTTGTATGCGGTGGATGCTGAAGAAAAGCTGCAGCAGCTCAGCGAGACAGCCTTGCATGGCGGTGCTTCAAGGGGGGGGATACAAGCCGTCTTGGCAGCTGTCAGCAGGGGATTTGTACACCCGCCCCAAACCAGCCTCCTCCCTCGTTCATCTCCGCAACAAAGCAATATCGAAAAAAAATCGAACGAGTCGGAAGCTCTGCAATTCTCTTTGATAATTCCGTCAAGAGAGTACACAAGATACACGATACGGACCACGGCCATTCGTACATTTCCAAAGGTCCATATGACTGGAAAGCTGGAAACACTTTGCATGCGACTGAAGCGCAAACGAGCCGCAAAAGATGGGATGACGGGGTCCGGGCAGCAGGGACCGAGCGTGCTATCCTGATGCAACAATGTACGTGATGTGTCTATTGTTTTTCCTTGACCAGATGAACATGACAAAACAGGTGATTTCTGATTGCTCAGACTAGACTCTGGCTCCGCGACGCTGGCCCTTGGGTGCCACCACGACAACACCAAAGGCTCTGCCCTTTTCTTCTTTGGTCGGCGACTCGCGGTAATACAAATTGACCATGGAGATCTGGGAAGGAAATAAAGAGTAGACGTCGTCCCCCGACGTTGCCCGTTTCGGACCGTATATGCCACGCCATGTTGGGCCCTGTAACGCGTCCAACCCGCCCAGCCAGAATCTCAAACAGCACTAGCGACGCACTCCTACAAGCCAGGACTACCAGGACTACGTGTTATAGGTACGTCGTTTAGATTGCTGACCCCAAACGTGAGGGACTCTCTAGTTACCCGTCGACGACGTCGGTGGATTCATTATTTCCCAATTAATTTACTTTTTATTCTTGATTCAAAAAGAGAGTTTCCTTGTTATTTTTCATCACCTCTTATCACGCTGCGACCGCAGGCCCTGTGCCCTGTTACAGGCTATTAGCCCCCGTTCCCCTCTCCCCTTCACCAAACGTGATTCTACCACCACGCCAGCTTTCTTACCTTCCTCTCTCCTTTTGCTCTTGTTCCCTTTTATTCCCTCGCTTCCGGTTTCCATCTCCATTCCCAATTTGAATGTCATTCATTTTTTAGCTTGTGTAATGTTGGGAGCCGGCTGGTCTTTAATACGTGTTATCTGGTCAGTTCACTTACACCCCGAATATCAGCCTGAGTCCGTTGCCGATGCCATCTTTTCATCAATGCTAACATGCTCTTGCAGAGTGAAAATAATAGGGCTTATCCGATTTCGAAAGCAACCTCATCGACATATGATACACGCCGGCATCTACCTCTACACCTCTTGACGAGGCCTCATTTCCTTAATACACAAGCAAGACAGCGGATTCCCAGTATACCAGTATTTCCGACAAGCTCGCGGGCTTTTCCGCTTCATTCTGCACCGGCCCAGGCCGTTTCCTTCTCACATCACCTCCTATCCGACTCAACACAGCCTTCGCCATGAATGCCAGCTATGAACGACCCGAGAGGTCGCGAGGCACGCCCCTCACCCGCATGCTCATGAACGGCGAGGTGTCCATGGAAAAACAGCTCGACCTGACATCAAGAGAAAAGTTTGACCGCTGGATGATTAACGAGGGCTATCGAAGATTGTACGTCGGGACCTCTTCTCCTCTTCTCCAACACCAACCATGATCGGCCGCTTTCCATCCATCCACCCATCCACTAACAATCTTGCAGCTTCGTCTTCGTTTTTATCCTTGCCCATGGCCTCATCTTCGCCTTTGGCTGCGTCCACTATGGTCTCAAGGACTCCCTCGCGGGCCCGCGCGGCATCTTTGGCTTCACCTTTACTGTGGCCCGCGCCTCGGCCCTGGTGCTGCACGTCGACGTCGGCATCGTGCTCTTTCCCGTGTGCCGGACGCTCGTCTCGCTCATGCGGCAGACGCCCCTCAACGGCGTCATCCAGTTCGACAAGAACATCACCTTTCACATCACGACGGCTTGGTCCATTGTCTTTTGGTCCTGGGTGCACACCATTGCCCACTGGAACAACTTTGCCCAGGTCGCGGCCAAGAACAACCTGGGCTTCTACGGCTGGCTGCTCGCCAACTTTGCCTCGGGCCCCGGCTGGACCGGCTACGTGATGCTGCTCGCTCTCATGGGCATGGTTGTTACGTCGCTTGAGAAGCCGCGCCGCGCCAACTATGAGCGCTTCTGGTACACGCACCACATGTTCATCGTCTTCTTCTTCTTCTGGTCCCTGCACGGCGCCTTTTGCATGATCCAGCCCGACGTTGCGCCTTTTTGCACCAGCATCGGTGCCTCGGCCATTGGTGTCTTTTGGCAGTTTTGGATGTACAGCGGCTTCTGCTACCTGGCCGAGCGCGTCGCCCGCGAGATCCGCGGTCGCCACAAGACGTACATTTCAAAGGTTATCCAGCACCCGAGCCAGGTCTGCGAGATTCAGATCAAAAAGGAGCACACCAAGACGCGTGCCGGCCAGTACATCTTCTTCTGCTGCCCCGCCGTCTCGCTCTGGCAGTATCACCCCTTTACTCTCACCAGCGCCCCCGAGGAGGACTACATCTCCATCCACATGCGCTGCCAGGGCGACTTCACTATGGCCGTGTCGGCCGCGCTCGGCTGCGAGTGGGGTAAAAAGGGCGACACGAGCAAGGTCGTCGGCGTCGAGGCCGCTGATGCCTCCAACGGCGTCGATCCAGCCCTGCGCCGCGTGCTCCCGCGCGTGTACATTGACGGCCCCTTTGGCTCCGCCTCTGAGGACGTCTTCAAGTATGAGGTGTCGGTACTTGTCGGCGCGGGCATCGGCGTGACGCCGTTTGCCTCGATCCTCAAGTCCATCTGGTACCGCATGAACTACCCGCAAAAGAAGACGCGCCTGTCCAAGGTCTACTTTTTCTGGATCTGCCGCGACTTTGGCTCTTTCGAGTGGTTCCGCTCGCTGCTCATGGCCGTCGAGGCGCAGGACGTCGAGCACCGCATCGAGATCCACACGTATCTCACGGCCAAGATCAAGAGCGACGACGCGACCAACATCATGATCAACGACGCCGATGCCGAAGCCGACGCCATCACCGGCCTGCGTAGCCCTACCAACTTTGGCCGCCCCAACTGGGACATGATCTTCAAGGGCATCCGCAAGCTGCATACTCCTGGCGAGGCGGGCGTCTTCTTTTGCGGCTCCAAAGGTCTGGGCAGCTCCCTGCACGTCTACTGCAATAAGTATTCCGAGCCTGGGTAAGTTTACAAGCGTTGAAAAGTATCCCCATCACTAGAGATTTGCTAACACGTCATCTAGATTCTCGTTTGTCTGGGGCAAAGAAAACTTTTAAATATGCTGATGGGTGGACTACTCGTTTAAAAATGTCCATTTTTATTCTACTCGTTCATCATTCTTTTATTTTTCTGCATATATAGGTGTTTTGTGCGCCCATTTTCGTTATACCCAAGACGACGCCCTTTTCTTTTACTTGTCGTTTCTTGGGACAAAAATGGCGCGGGATATTTTTATTTTCTTTTTGACCAAAGGGTTGTGAGCAGCCTACACAAGTTTGCGCCGGACGCAAGTTGAAAGCCGTCTCGCTTCCCGGAGTTTGACGTCTTTTGTGTCATGCCGGACTGCGGACGAGCACATACCATCTTTTAACTAGCTAATAAAAGACCCTTGCAAGGTAATTGCAACGCTTGACTTTGTGTTGGATGCTGTATACTGAGTGGCTCGTTGTGATGTTTGGATATACGGATACCGCACGGGACAAACCCGGCTTTTCTTGCCTATTTCGGCTGCGGCGTGGTGCCGGTCACGCAACCGCTGCAGCCCATCGTCGTCAGTTCCCCGCCGCCGCGCGCCGGGCCTCTGCCGGATCCGGTCCTGCGGCGGCCTGCAGCGGTACCCGGTTGTGCACGCCGGTAGCTGTACTCGTCCGCAGAGGGCGTCGTTGTCGCCGTCATCACCGAGGGGGCCCTTGCAGTTATTGTGGCGTCGTCGGGCCGCGGTCGGCAGGAGCAGCTCCGAATTGGAAGATGGGGCTCGCGGCGGCGCATGTGGTGCGGACGGAGGAGAGCATGGTGTTGTGCTATTGTTTGCGCTTGCTGGACGGGCGGGAAGCCCACCATGACCGATTTTGCTTGTTGTTGATTCTCTTGGAAATCTTGATACTCGGAAATCCTACCACCTAGTTGAGTGCCCCATGTTCCAGCCCAGAGAATGGCCATGTACATGACAGAATGAGAAGAACAAGTATTCGATAAAATGAATCCACTCAGCATCATGCAAGCTTTGCTTCTGCAACTGCCGACATGGTATCACCCGCTCCCCCCTCCCCTTCACGTATACACGGTGAAACGCAAATATCTGCCAAGAAGAAAGCGAAGCGGCCAAACGACGACGCGCACAAACCCTCCCCGAGTCCACGATGCCTTCCTCTCATCTTCAGACAACGTAGCAGCATCGCTGCCACCGCGCGCGACCACACGGATCATGCGACTCGAGGCAGAATCCAGCCAGTCACACTGTTTGCCGCCCTGCGCGAGTCGAACATGACAAGCACGCATAAACACACACCTTCCAATCGGGGCCCGCCGTGCCTCACATGCTCGGAACTGTGCAACCCAGTCCTCGGAACTCATTCACTGACAAAACTGGGATATGATTAGGGGGGGACAATACGGCCGGCCGAATCAAGGCAATAAGCGATCAATCTGAGAAAAGTGCTGCAGATGATGTCGGTTGCGCGGAGAATCGACCTGCTCTTTTGGTGATAAGGGGGTATAGGCGCTAAAAATGGATGCATGTTTGAGTACCTATATAACCCAACAGCATGAGGGCGGGAGGACTCGACAGGTGACGTAAAATTGCTGTTAATGCCATGCTCCCAAGTTAATTCCCAGAGAGTTCTTTTCTAGTACCAGGTCACTACTTCTTACAACTCTAGAGAGGCTATAAACTAAAGGAGTTGGAACAAGATGCCAAAGGGTGGCCTATAATAGCGAGATAATTCCTCTCTTCTACAAGGTACGAAAGTCAATTCTTCTAGTGTATACCGCAACATGTATAACTCACCACAGAGCGGCATTCAGCCACACGGCACGGCACACGGCACTTTGCTTCTGTAATCATGTTTTCGTACCGGGTAACTAGTAGATGACAGACCGGCTCATCGTACTATTGTGGCTTTTTGGATCGGCGGAACCCGAGCTCGGCCCCTTTGTGCGGCGCGTCCAGTCACATTGTCCCATTGCCACCTTCTCGATGCAGTCTGGTCCAATGGGCGTCGCCCCCGTACCACGTTTGGCAAGTCGGTATCGAAAGGGTCGGCCTTGCTGACGGCCGTGCCCGCCTTTGTCGCCGAGGGACCGTCAGCTGGCATCGGAGTATTGGCCAAACGGAGACTAACACGAAATTCAATACCATGTCGCCTGTTTTGTCTCCTTGCAGATCCCGTTTCCGATCGATGGACAGCTAATCATTTCGGCTATAAAAGCGCCTGCCACCTCGAGAACTCTGTGGCCATCAAGGGACCTCCAACGTATACACACCACTACGTCAACCGCCCATCATGATGCAAAAGCCCCTGCCCGTCCTGGCCCTCGCTGCTGCTGCCATGGCTGCCGGCTCCTGCCCCAGCGACTCGCCGCTGTCGTGCCACAACGCCACGGCCGTCGCCGATACGTGCTGCTTCATTCCGGCCGGCCAGCTGCTCCAGACGCAGTTCTGGGACACTGACCCTCCCACCGGTCCTTCTGGTACGGGTTTGCTGCCATGCCCGCCCCCTTTCTGCCCATCCCGACTAATTTCTTTCTTTTTTTTTCAGACTCGTGGACCATTCACGGTCTCTGGCCCGACAACTGCGACGGCAGCTACCCGGCGCAGTGCGACACGGACCGGGCCTACACCAACATCACGCAGATCCTGCAGGCCAACGACGCCGGGGCCGTGCTCGACTACATGAGCACGTACTGGAAGGACTACCGGGGCGACGACGAGAGCTTCTGGGAGCACGAGTGGGGAAAGCACGGGACCTGCATCAGCACGCTGGAGCCGTCGTGCTACGGCGCCGCGTACCGGGACGGCGAGGAGGCGGCCGACTTCTTCGCCCGCGCCGTCGGCCTCTTCCAGACGCTGCCCACGTACCAGTGGCTCGCCGACGCCGGCATCACGCCCTCGGACAGCAAGACGTACGACGTGGCCCAGATCCAGAGCGTCCTGTCCGGGAAGCACGGCGCCCAGGTTACCCTCAACTGCCGCGGCAAGGTCTTCAACGAGGTCTGGTATCACTACAATGTTCGCGGCTCCCTCCAGGACGGCGACTTTGTCGCGGCGCCACCAGACGGCGCCAAGAGCAAGTGCAAGGGCAAGGTCCAGTACAAGCCCAAGGCGTAAGCAGCTACGAGTTTTGGAGAAGACGTTGCGTATGTTCTTGCGCAGTTGTCGAGTTAGGACCCCCATGGTCCCGAGATGGGAGAAAACAAAACGTTGAACGTACGGGGTGTTTTTTGTTTCTGTATATAAGAGTCATTAAGTGATGAGAGGCCAAAAAAAAAAGTCATAGCTGTAGATAGAATATCTGTGTGATGAAATCATGTTGAATTATCTTTGTCTGCAGCTCTTATATTTCTACGGAAGTTTGACTTAGTCATGGGCTATGGTACAGAATCCACAAGCATAAGCGAATGGACATTTCTAAACATGTGCAGCTTGTACTGGCATATTTTTCGCCGATGGCGCCTCCTCATGCTTGAAGCTGAAGGGGATGAGGTAGAGGCGCCGGTCGGAGAGAGGATCATGCTAGAAGAAGCAAGGCAGAGTTATCTCCTTGCCGCGGTGAGCTGTCCGAGGTATCTTTGCCCCTGAGCGACTTCATCGGTATAATTTTAGCGAAAACCGCCAAGGGGAGCGGATGGACGGCCGCATGGCCGCATTGGGACCTCTTTTTCCCAGACTTTAGAACTCGCGCAAATTGGTCGCAACCCACTCATGCGATGACATCGAGTTTTGGCATGCGTAACACAGCGTCAATACTACTGCGTCAAAGTTTCAATAGATAGTTGCCTTTCGTGAGCGGACGCCGTGGCGAATTAATCTGCAAGGGCGGAAGCTGCTCAATCGGCATTCTGATTCTTCCGTGCTCGCCTATGGTCGGTCTAGAAGCATAAAAATCCAACCACATGTAGTCCCTCACAAATCAGCATAGCCTAACTGTTTGTGAGTTTAGCTACATGGCAAGGGCGTGTTGACAGGGTCAAATGATGACAAGGCTGCAGGGTTTCCATGCGGCGCTGACGTCTGCTTTTACGTCTACGTCTACCAGACTGAACACTCTTCATCGTCTAGTCACGGCAGCAAAAACTAGCGGTATATGGATTTAATACATCACTAGCGAGGGAGTAAAGTACAGTTGAATCGCACGGTCTGGTATTGCCGCAGCTGATGTTGCCTCGTGTACGTATTACGGTGTTAGCTCGCGAATAGTCAATGCTATTTCATATAGCCGTATCTGTTAAATGCAGTTGAGAGTTTATTGCATCAACACGGTGGATAGGCTGTAACGGGCAGTGACGGCGTTGCCCGCGTGTTGTGTGCAGGCGTTCTGTAGTATCGTGGCCCGTGTTGTTGCGTGGGGTCTGCGTATTGCGTTGGATTCTGACCGGAACATGTCTACCAGCACGCAGGCTTGAGCCTGTGCTAGTGGCAGTGGGCGTTGAACGCCTTAGGACAGAAAACTTGGCCCGGCAGCCAGATTGCATCCTGGGCAAGGAAGGGCAGCAACGGCGCCGGGGTGTAAGCTAGTCGCGAGGCCAGCCGTGAGGCCAGTCGTGAGGCCAGTCGTGAGGCCAGTCGTGAGGCCAGTCGTGAGGCCAGTCGTGAGAGACAGTCGTGAGGGGCAGTGGCCCGAGGAGTTGTTACGAAAGAGGATTCGACACCATGCGGCATGTCTTTGTAGTTGAAGCAACGGCAGCAGGGGAAGGGCGGCCAGCCAGCGCTGTCTTGTAGAACCCAGGCTTGGCCGCTGGTAAGGCGGCGATGCGACAACTGCGACGAGGTACCATAGGCGGAGTCTGCAGCTTCTGTTCCTTTTGGCTTCTTTGCATGCCCAGTGACGTCTTTGAAGCAGTGGCCGAGAAGGCGGCTGTGCTTGTATTCGGATGTGGGAAAGCAGCTTGGCTGTTCCCATTAGCGAGGTGGTGGGGAGAATCGCGCTTCGGCCGCTTAGGGGGAAGATTAGTATCGGTCTCCATCGCAGAGACTTTGTCGTGAGGTCGTTTTCTGGATGTCGAGTACTGGATGATTGCCGTTTCCAGTCGTTTGGATTGCATGTCGCGGACAGCGGCCACCGGAGCAGCTTCGTCAACACCTAGCATCATGGGCAGGCCCATCAACCAGGTCCATATCCAGGACCGGCAAGGATCAGAAGTCCTCGCTCCGCCAATAGGGCCGTAGGGATCTTTTCGCGTAATCTGGCGCCACTCTTGTGTCACAAAATGCAATTGCTTGGTCCAGAAGGCGAGGTCTTTTGGCAAGGGGCTGCCGTCAGCCATGATGAGGGGTTCGTAAGGACCGCGGGCACGCAACGGCTGTCTCTTAATGATGCCCATGCCCTCTTTTCCCAGTTTTTGTAAATCGCAAAGCGCAAAAGCGACAGACTGCTTCTTGGCCCGTAGGTGTTCGACAGGGTCATCGCCCCAAAACTCGGCGCTGCTGAGGGTCCGCCATGATCGGGATGCCGACGTGGGCGCGGATGAGCTGCTCGTAGAAGATGAAGATGGGGTAGCTTGGGCATCGAGCCCAAGCATGATGCAGTGCTGGCAAGGCGGGACAAGTGATGGTTGTTGTGCAAATGTGCCTGTCGCAGAGGCCAAGTTGCTAGCTGACCAAGTTATTAGTGTTGAGTCTGCTCGCGACCAGACACGCCATGATGGGGATGACAAAGCACCTGATTAGGTGATACGAGAGCGCCGCTTAAGGACAGCATTCGTGCCATCCGTAGAGCTAGCCCTTGCAGAAAAACTACATGACAGAAACGTTCTGCCAATGTAGGCGACACCTTGTGCCGGATAAGCTGCATGTTGAGACCGGCCAAGTGCATTATTAATACATAAAGTCATTATATTGTGGAGTCGGGATCGGGACGCGCCGCACTTGGGCTGCAAGGCTGTTACCTTGGAGCGGGGTATGGACATGGGACGTCTTGTTGATAATTCACGAGACGTTTGACAACCCCCGTGAAGTCCTTCAGCCAACTATGGAGAGATTGGAATCTGCTTTGCCTTTTCTAGAGGCTCTAGAAACGCTCAAAACCCTGAAGCGCGCTGGCTGGTGCAAGCGAAACGTGCCCGATCCTGAAAATGTCGGCAATCACATGTACCAGATGCTGTGGTACTGCTACCTGCATCCCGACGTGCGTCTTCCAAACCTGCCCTTCTCCAAATGTTCCGACGACTGATCACGTCCCCAGCTGCAACATGAAGACGAGACCAAAGCACTGATGATGTGCATCGTCCACGACATCGGCGAAGTGACCGCTGGTGACATAACACCATCGGACGGGGTTGACCCTAGTACGATAATGGCCCTTTGCATTTCTTACTTTTTCTGCTCACACGTAGATACAGAGAGGAAATTTCTCCTAGAGAAGCTGGGCGTGCAGTACCTCTCGTGCTTGCTGGCCAAGTCCAATCCGCCGCTCGCCGCACAGCTCCCCGAGATATGGCTCGAGTATGAAGCATCCGAGACACGCGTCGCCCAGCTCGTCCACCAGATTGACAAGCTCGAGTGTCTTCACCAAGCCTTCATCTACAGAAAGCGCCACGGCAGCGGACACAGGCTCGAAGAATTCCAGGACCAGCGCGCCAAGATTTCTGATCCGTGGCTCGCGAAGCAGGCTGATGCTGTTCTGGCGGAATGGGCGACAGTAGAGCAGAAGCAGTTCTCCAGCCCCATCTTCTTCATTATTGGTGTGTATTTTTTTCTTTTGAGAATGCTGGTACGACATCGTGTAATAAGTTACTAATACTTTACTCAAGGCGGACCGGGTGTAGGCAAGGGCACAGTGTGCGCCCGCCTTGTCAACGTCTTCGGCTACCAGCACATTTCTGTCGGCGATCTCCTCCGGGAGGAGATGAACAGGCCCGACTCCGCGTTCGGCGCCTTCATCGCGGAAAGCATGCAACAATCCGTCATCGTGCCGCCATCGCTAACGCTGCTACTCCTCAAGGACCGGATCCAGAAGGCGCAGGCCGAGGGGCGCGGGGTCCTGGTGGATGGGTTTCCGCGCAGCGTGAGCCAGGCCGTGGCTTTTGAGCAAGAGGTTTGTGTCGACGCCAAAACGACCGTCGCTTTCTCATGTGGCTAACCTGCATGGTGCACAGATTTCTCCCGTATATTCGACGATAGTTCTAGAGTGCCCTACGGAAATCATGGTGCAGCGCGTGCAGCAACGTTCTGCTAGTTCGGCACGCGACGATGACGCCACGGCTGTTCTAGTCAAGAGAATCGATACCTTCCTACAGACGAACAAGTCTGTGTTGGATCATCTCGTCAAAAATAAGTTGTCAAGAGTAAGTTATATCATCTTTTCCTGAGCAGAACCTCCAGTAACCTTCGTTTCGTAGGTTGACTGCACGGGAACCGCAGATGAGGTCTTCTCAATTGTGGAGAAGATTGTGCAGTCGTCACAATGAGGAGACCAAGACCCAATGTCTTTTAGCAATGCCATGTCGAGTTAGATTTGGGGTGCGAAACTGAATGAAAAGTAGACCGCCTACAATAGTGCCTTCTCGACAAGTCCTTGGACGAGGCTGGCGCGTAGACAGCCACCGGCATGCTTGTGAAACTGTTGGTGCTTGGCCGTCAAATGACATTTTTCGAAAGGAATACGTCTAGTCTAATCCGATCAGATTCCTTCGTACCAGTGGCCGCGCCAGTGAGCGATTGAGGTTTGCCGCCTCGATATCGATACTATGGCCCCCCTAAAGGTTTTGGATACTGAAAACTGTCACGGAGGGAGTCAGTCAGGGGTTGAGTATTTGGCTACGGGTATTGGTCGGTTGTTTTGTCTTTTTGCCTCCTCTCTCTCGCCGTCCGTCGCGAGCCCTGTCTATGCCAGTTGTAGAAGGTCTATCCAAGTATGTAGGCGATACTAAATGCACAAAAACAGACTACTCGATTTTGACAGGCCCAGCAAGAATGGAGAACTGACCACCAGCACCGGCCCACGTGACGGCGGTATCAAAAAGATCATTGCGTTGGACCTGTCGCGCAACCTCGACGTCCCGTTGCGACCCAAGGCCAAGTTGACCTGATGACCCGAATCCTGTAGTATAGGCGATGCCGTCTTTGTTAACGAAGATTGTGTGGTCGGTGCCACAGGCAACATGAACAGCATCGCCAATGGATGTGATGATGGTTGGGCAAAGACAAATACGTGGCTTGTCACGCTCGTCATACCGGATCAGGTCTTTGTTCTCGAGTTGCTCCGTGGTAAAACGGATACCCAGCTGTCCGCCATCCATTCGGCCCCAGACTAGGCATTTGCCGTCCATTGTCACAGCAGCAGAATGGTGGGCGCCGCCAGCAAGAACGGTGACGCCCTTGCCGCATAAGTCGCGTATCATCATCGGGTATGGTAGGACGGCCGAGTCGCCACCAGCATCCTTTGCATAGCCAGCTTCGCCAAAGCTATTCAGTCCCCAGGCCCAGACGTTGTCCTTATGATCAATGGCAAAGGAGTGGTACTCCCCGGATGCGATGTATTTGGCTCGTCCGCGGCAGACTTGGACCAGGCGAGGCTTTAAATGCTCTTGGTGGCGGCGGAGGAGGCGGCGGCCGAGTTGATTTTGTTCGTGGGCACCCCATCCCCACACGGATCCCTTGACATCGAGAGCCAAGGCGTGGTTCGCCCCGCAGGCGATTTGTACAATCTTTGTCAGACCAACGATGCAAGTGGGTGTTTTCTGCTTCACGATGAGTTGTCCTCGGGAGTCATAGCCAAACTCGTCGTCACCCGAGGCGTTCTAGTTCAGTATACGTTAATAAAGGCTTAGGGCGAAGCATTACGTGGTAAACGTACCCGAAACGTACCCCATCCATAGACGAGGCCATGACTGGTAAGCGCGAAGCTACAGCTATCGCCCGCGGCCACCTGGACAAATCGAGTGCCTGGGGGAAAGCTCGCCGCGGGGACTACAGCAGGAATGGACTCGTGCGGGTTTAGCTCGCCTTCTTCCTCATCGCCCGAGTCTTGTTTCTCATCCCGCCACACGCCATCCCACTCCGTATCCCGTCCTAGGGCCCAATTGTCGTTGACACCCCAGGTGATGATCTCATTGTCCGACGTTAGGACAACAGTGTGCATGCCCCCGCATGCGACCTGAACGACCCGGGGCTTCGGTGATGAACCGCTGCTAGCATCGAGATACGGGTTGACGCAAGGTGTGAGGGCTTCCGTTGTGCTGGGTCCGAGGCCAAGCTCGCCCATGTCGCCGTTGCCAAAGGGAAAAATCGAGAGGACTTGGGTTGGAACTTCATTCAGATGTGGGGGAGACCGAGGCGCTTCTGCACCTGCCAGAACTTTGGTCTTCTTCAATGGACGCTCCTTACCGGCTTCTGGAGCGCTCTTCCGTTTGCTAGACGGCAGTCGAATAGGTGTCGTGCCATTAGGCAAATTGTCGGCCGGAGAGTTCGAGGTGGGCTTCGAAGCTCGCGCTAAAAGGGACGCGTTGTGAGTAGAGGAGGCATCGCGTAAAAAGGTGGCGAGATGGTGTGAGCTAACTCGACTTGGATTTTCTTTCGGTGGCAGCAGCTTGCTTTTTGGAAGTTGCTGTGCTGACCTTGGCCAGGGACCTTTTGGGAGGCATTGCCGTGAGATTACCTACAATTTCGCGCGCGCGAAAGTTGAGAGATGATTGAACGTGGTCCGAAGGGAAGGAAGGGAAGGCTGGCTAGGTAGGTACCTTGAGCAAGCAAGGTGCCTGTGATGACGCGGGAGCAGTGGGCCGGCCAGTGGAAGCTAAAGACGGGAGCGAGCACGAGCCGCTGCGTCGGGTTAAGCGAGTCCCACAGGGAAAACAAAGGAGTGATGAAAGGCTTTTATTAGTACGGAGTATACTATTACACATTAGTGTCATGAAAAGCAAACATTTCCAACTGTTCTTGTTCGTGTAGATTGATGGCGCTCCCATCCGTTTCCGCGTCCTCCATGTAGTCCGAATCACTGAGGCGCTGTGGGCGGGGCTGTTTAGCGGCCGCGTGGTTGACGGGCAACATTCTGGGGCTTGACTCTCCATTTTCATAGCGCACGCAGCCTTACAAATAGGGTAGCATACAGCATACAGCAGCCATTGCGAATGCAGGGCAATTCGTGTAATAATTGGCTAAAGGCAGGTTTAAAGACGAACAACTGCGACGGGGCGTTCAAGTAAGCTGCAAACAAAACCTCGCATATAAGATGTAAGCCCTCGCCCGTTTGCATTACTACCAAGCAGACAAAGAAATGGCATTGTATTTTAGGTATTCTAGAAAATGGAAACTTTTGTATGCTCTGCAATGTAGACTGCCTACTCAATTTGCTTGCCGCACCCAATGCGGTTCAATAGCTCCTTGCGGTCCGTATGACCGCGAAAGTGCACGCTGCTGCCGGAGCTGCTCACCTGAGCCGCGCTGGCACGAGCTGTCCAGTTGATCGCCTCGGCGTCCACTTCCATTTCCAGGTACTGCGGCCGCCCCATCTCATCGACGTCCTCTGTCTCTTCCTCCGAATCTTCCGCCTCGCTGTTGCTTCGCACGTCCTCGGCTGGCTTGCCTTGGAACATGCGCACGACGATTCTGACGATAAACGTGAACCACATAATCATCATGACCTGGAGGAAAAGAAGAAAAGACAGGAAGGCATACGTAATGTTGTTATTGAAACAAACGACGCCTTGGGGGTCGCGGAACGGCTCTAGGAGATGGGACCAGCCACTCGTGGGGATGGCAAACGGTCCCTGGAGGTTATCGGCCGAACCGCGGTAGCAAACCTCTTTCTGGATGCGGGGAAGGTCCGTGTAGACGCTCCAGCATGTAAGAATGTGGAGGACATGGCGCGCGATGATCCACGAGACAATAAATCCGCCAAATACTACGTCGCAGATGACGCCGAAACCGAGGTATTTAAGGCACTTGGCGAGCTATGCGACGATTAGCTCCGATCCCGGAGACCTATGCAAAGAAACATACCGGCAGGAAAAGGTCAATAACATCCATCAAGACAAGAATCAGGTTGCCGACTCGAGTCTGATGGTAGGCGTAGCAGCCGGCCATCAGGGCGATGGTAACAAAGTGGTGCGTCAGCATTTGCCAGTGATCCTTTCTACGCTCCTCAATGTTAATAACCAGGATCTGCTGGATCCAAAAAGACCACTGGCCAAGAATATAGGCCTTCATTAAGCCGCCAATTTCTCGCTGCGGCCAGTCGGTCCAGAGCTCCTCCATATGCCCAAAGTATTTAGAGTTGTAGTAGAGATACTGTCGTAGAGTTAGCAAAGCAGCTAAGCAGCAAGTAAACAGTAGTGTGGCATACCATTCCAGTCGGCCAAAAGACGTTGTAGTATATGAGCATCCAGCCCTGCTCAGCAAAGCGGGTAGCGTTCTTACCAGCAACGCCCCATCGCTGAGCCAGGGGCGCCAGAACATGGTGCATGAAGCCGGCGCGGAGACAAGTCAGGAGAACAATGCAAAAGGTCATGAAGTAGAAGTCATCGTAGCCGGCGGCATACTTGCCCGTCTGCGCATTGCGATAGGACAGTGAGAAGAACTTGGTGGTGTACTGCCGCGATGCGGGGATGAAGCAGTGCGAGAGAAACAAGAGGGCCAGCAAATTGAACGAGACACCTGCAGAGCCCGAGTTAGAAGATCAAGCAAGCCGGCGATCGAGAGAGGGGAGCGGCGGCTTCATACCGAACTGGTTCTTGAGCAGCCATTTTGCAGCGCCACTCTGGACGGGACCTCGCTTCTTCGGCCGGCTAGAGCCTCTGCTCTTGTGAGCGGCGGCAGCGGCGCCCTTGTCCATTTTCTGAGTGTTTCTAGACTTGCCTGGCCTGGCACGCTGATGATGATGATGATGATGATGATGATACTGTCAGCCAAGTTATCGATTACCTGACGGTTGAGAGGAGGAGCCAGCCCAGGCGGCGTTGGGCTGGGGGACGTTGAGGATGGACGGAGCAAACAAGGCGCCGCCAACGAATTAGTGCGGGCGTGAGGCCCTGAACCCCCCCGGCTCCCCCAAAAGGGGCATTATCAAAGGCATTGCCAAGAAAGAGACCTGCTAGTTATATATATATACAAGATATACTAGGTGACGGGGGATTGTTCCTCTGGCTTCCGGGCTGTCTGTTCTTACTTTGAGAATGGTTGTTATAACACTCCCAACGGATGAGGTTGGTCTTGACTCTCTCGTCGCTGTTCGCAGTAGATCATGGTTCCTGAATCATTTCCACGTCAATATCCCTGCGTTGAGAATCCTCGCGGCTGCATCTTTTCAAGACCTCATTTTGCAATTGTACCGAAGCTCTCCTCTAATAACGGCGACGACGCGGATTCGTCAGAATCGAAAAATGCCTCGACCCATGGGTCCCCTCAGAATATCGCTGTCCAGCTAGACACATCACTGTCAACGGAACCACAGACACTGGCGGCACTTGCTGAAGGTGAACCCCTCACGTCGGCGACGCTCGACGATGTCAAACTTGAGAGATCGGGACAAGTCCTTTACGCAGTCAGAGTCCCTCTTTGCTCATGAGCTGCTAGAAGACGAGTCAACTCTAACAATACAGGTATGCTTCCTTGTTAGTGAGAGAGCATCAAGCTGCCTTATGATGTGGCTTTCATGGTGGTGAATAACATGGGCCGCGACATGCGCATTGTCAAGAACGCGCAGGAGTCTCTGTACACCGAAGAAGACGCAATCAACATTGCGAACGGATTCGAGGATATTTTATCCGAGTTTTCGCAGGACCTGAGCTTACCTGTTGGTGACGAGTGGAATTTTCGACATGAATTGTCGCACGCAGCTTTGAGGGCCGGCCTCGGCCAGTCATCTGATGCTACTACAGGACCGAGTTTCGACTGGAACTCGAACAAAACATTGATTTATATGTTTCATGACACTGTTGCCGCTTTTGCGCAAAACACGTCGATTCTAGATGGCCAAGTCAATTCTTTGACATACAAAGATCTGGCCAAGTGCATTGCCAGTCGTGCCGCCGACTTGGCGGACAATGGTTATACCTTCTAGCTGACCCCACTTGTAATCGAGTGAAACTCATAATTTCAGTATAAAGGCGCTTTGAGAGCGCTTTGAGAGCGCTTTGAGAGCCCCTTTAAGGGTGTCTCTTACACGCCTTGAAGCAGATTTCATGTCTGGCTATGTGTCGGAGGGAGGTTGTAGCGGTTGTAGAGCTTGTAGAGGTTGTAGTTTGAGATTGTGAGAGGGTACGTGGCTGTGTGGGTCGGTAAATGTGTACATTCGTATGTCCTGCACAATTCAGGGCTCGTGTTTGGACGAAATGTTAGTGACAGCGTGCCCTAACTAGAACTTGCACTAGGGCCCGCCACAGCGGTCCTGACTACTAAGTGTTCCACTAATAAAAACGGTCACAGAATCAAGCCAAGGCAGAGCGACGCGCGGGAGACTCGTGTACTTGTTGGCCGCTAATCGTACCTGAGACGCTGCTCTTGATTTTGCCTTCAAGAGTCGCAAAAAAGAATTGAGCAAAGAAGAAATTTCATCCATCTCGATTCTGCTTCTGAAGCTCTACTAGGATAATGCAGCAACTGCTCATGGCTGCATGTGCATCTGCAGCTGCAGTATCAGCCCAAGAATTAAGGATACTGGCATCCGCACATTGTTGATGCTTCCGGTGGGGGATACGCGCAGACAGGGGATGAACCCGAGAGTTGTTACTGCATCTGGGGGCCGACTCGACGAGTAATAAAAAGCCTCGTGTCTATATTGACAAGTATTAATACTAGCCAGTCTTGGGGGCTGCATTGTGCGCGTGGTAAAATGCAGGGCCTTTGCCCGTCTCATGGTCAATGTCACTATCTTGCCCGGAACCCTAATCAACCACACAAGCACCAATTAACCGTTGAACATTCCAGACCAAGACGACGAAAGAAAAAAAGTCAAGACCCAGATTCCAACGTTTGTACGCCATTCATGACCCTCCAAGTGCCGCCAAGCTGTCCAAGCCGAGACCAGTCAAAAGACCCGGCCCGCTCGTATTAAGAACTGTAGTTAGGGGGATCGCTGCGCCTTCCTGCGACGCCACCATATGTCCTAGGCCAGAAAAGGCTTAACCCACGGCTTGACTGGCGATGCCGCGTTCTTTTCTTTGCTTGTCTGGCATCAGTGCTGCGTGCTGATACAAAGTACCTTGGTCAGCAGACTCTTAACGGGCAGTTTTGCATGCTCAAAAGACCCCGACTGGGATCGAAACATTTGCTTCACCCGTACTACTGTACTAACAAGGCAACTAGAAGACGCAAACGGCAGAGACGAGCAATCCATTGTCTCAGCTCGTCAGCCACTGCAACTCAAGCGTCTCGCTCGCTGTGCCTAACCTCTGCTCTTGTGCGAATTTAGCGCCTCGTCCACTGTAAATTCAGCTGCGCCTGCTCCATTTTTTCCCTCCTTCAGCGACCTTGCCCGTTCCAGTTCGCCTCCTCTCATCAGCCTCTTGTCTTCTTCCAACTTCACCTTCTCTCGTGACACCATTCCCTTTTTTTTTTTTTTTCGTTCCTTCCGGCCCCTGTCCTCTTTTCTTCACATCTTGAAGTTGCGCTTCGTCGCTCCTCTCTTCACATCATTCGCTTTGTAACACCGACCTCGACATTTTTTTTCCTTCTACTGTCCACCTTTTTCCAAACCGAGCCCATCGTCACCCCTTGACCCCCTCTATCGACTGATTCACATCAACCACCCTTCACCCGAGGCGGCCATCGGTGCCGACTCCTGATCCATCCTCTCGCCTTTCCACCACTATGCGCTTCTCCTTGGCCCTCGGGCTCGCGGCCCTTGCCGCCACGGTCGATGCCTCCATTGCCCGCCGTCAGAGTTCTGCGTCGCCTGGTGCCTCTGCTACACCTAGTCCCAGCGCGCCAAGTAGTTCTACGCCTACCTCAACCTCAACAACCCCGTCCACCACCACCGAGACCGGCGCAGACAGTACTACCACCGTGACCGAAACCGTCACCGGCACAGCAAAATCTACCTCGACCACGGAAGTGGCAGGCTCTACCATTTTCTCCACCATGACCGAGACGAGCACCGTCTTCGTCACCGCCACCGTCACCAGCAGTGATAACACTATCGCCACACAGACTGTCTGGGAAACGACAACAGTCAAGGTTGAAAAGCGCAACCTCGCTCTTGCGACCGCTCCTGCTCTTGTAACTCCTACTGCCGTCCCCGCTACTGCCGCCCCCGCCCCCTTAGCAAACCGTGCTGTCAAGACATCTACGACGACTGTCACTGTCAACCCCTCCGCCACCGTCGTCACCGTCACGAAGGACATAGTCACTTTTAAATTTACCACCACCACTGTCACTAGCACCGACACCGAGACCAGCCAGGCCAATGCAAAGACCACCACTACTGTTACTAGTACCAAGACTGTTTCCTCCGTCGTCGTCACCCAGACCTGGAGCAGCATCGACTCCACCCCGACCAGCAATCCCTCCACCACCACCGCCGCTGGCGGAGGTGGCGGCGGTGGCAGCACCGACAATGGACTCTCCACTGGCGCCAAGGCTGGTATCGGTGCTGGCGTTGGTGTTGGTGCCCTTGTCATCATTGCCGGTGCCATCTTTTTCTGTCTCAGACGCCGTAATCGCAATCCCAAGCCTGATCCCGACATGATGGCAGGTGCCTCAGAAGTTCCTGTCGGTGGCAGACGTCCCATGTCTGAAGATTCTAGCACTGCCTTCCGCCCACCGCCCGTTCGCACTCCCGTCAACAAGGCCCCAGAAGGCTACCGTGGAACAGCCATGGGCGACGGTAGAGCTGGATATGCCAAACCCGAGTCTTACGGTTCCAGCTACGGCCCCAGCCGAAGCACCACCACCACAGTACCTCCCGCCAGAAGCAGCGCTGGCGCCGATGCTCTGCCCGAGCATCCATCCCCCGGCTCCGAACATGTGCTGGCGGCAGTTCCTCACATGGGATCTGTCTCCCCCTCCAATGTTTCGCCGCCACCACCCAAGCAAGCAACGATGCTCCCCCAGACATATGCCCATGAGCTGGGCACAGACAACAACTTGGCGGCCAACAAGTGGCACAGCGAATCCGCTGCTGAGATTGACAGCCAGCCTGTCTCAGGTCACCAGAGCGGGCCTGTGTACGAGATGGCGACTGAAAACTACCGATGAGAAACGGAGCTGGCGGCCACGCGATGATTGAGCAGCCGAAACGTCCTAGTTCCATTTGCTGCGAAGCATATGTTATTCCGACGGGCGCAATATGACTGTATTCTTCGGCCCTCTACTTTGTATATACTAGTCTGCACGCGTGCCGACGCGGCGGACCGCAGTCTACATTGTCTCACTTGGTTTATCTCGTTTTTAAACTTTCCTGATTCGGCACAGCCAAGAAACGTTGTCGACCAGGGCAGCTGGTGGCATTTTTTCTTGAGTGGCATGTTGAAAATGAGATAACCTTCGTACATGGTGTAAGACGTGGCGCAGTGCTGGGGTTGAAGCGGCACGCCGCGGCGCAGCGAGGAAGATGACGGACCTTTTGATTTCTACTGATATATAGTGCAATCTACTCTTAATTTTGAAGACTCAAAGGTCGTGTTGTTGTTTTGGTGTTTGCCAGAATGCGATGATAACCCCCCCCCCCGCCCCCATTGGATGCAGATGGTGTTTCTTGTGACATGTTCATGTGTCTGCATCCTGTCTTGATCATGTCATTTACCGTGACGTTTCAGCTATCTTACCTGAGGGCTGAACAAGTTGCTTTCAATAGAATCTGCAAAACTGGCTTGGCCGAAAATTTGCCTCAATCGGACAGTATCTGAGTCAAGGGCTGAGCAAGACCAAGACCAAAGTCTCCACAACGAAGTCTTGAGCCAGCTACCACCACTTCCCAAATGAAGAAAAAAAAACACAAAAGGCGCAAAAACAACACATCATCTCTTGTTTTCCCTCACCATCCACAGTGAACTGGACTACACGCCCGATTTCGTCTGGATCTGCTGACATATTGAAAGAGGCTCTCCCCAGCAGTCAGACAAGCTCGGCTGTCAGCCTCTTCTCTTCGCCACGCCGGACACCATGGCCGACGGCACAGTGCGGGATGATGTAGAGGAAATTGAACAGCTGGAGGCGCGTGCGGCACAGCTTGACGAGCGGAAGCTGGTGCGCAAGTTGGATCTCCATATCATTCCGCTCATTCTGATGCTGTACCTGTTTAGCTTCCTTGACCGGTGAGTTTGCGTCTTTGGCCGAGACAGGCGCGGGCACACACACCTGCCACGAATACTGAGCTGACAACTGACACGGCGGCAGCGTGAACATTGGAAACGCACGCTTCTACAAGCTCGAGTCGGACCTGGGCCTGTCCTCGACGCAGTTCCAGATTGCCGTGTCCATCTTCTTCGTGCCCTATCTCCTCTTCGAGGTGCCCTCGAACCTGGTGCTCAAGCTCTTCACCCCGCGGCGGTGGCTCGCGGCGCTCGCGCTCGCCTGGGGCCTCGTGGCCACGCTCTCCGGGCTCGTGCAGTCGTACGCGGGTCTGCTCGCGTGCCGGCTGGTGCTCGGGGTCGTCGAGGCGGGCCTCTTCCCGGGGCTCACCGTGTACCTGACGCTCTTTTACACGCGGCACGAGCTCGCGCGGCGCGTGGGCTACCTGTTTGTGAGCGCGGCCGTTGCGGGCGCCGTCGGCGGCCTGCTCGCGTTTGGCATCGGCCACCTGGACGGCGTGCGCGGCATGAGCGGCTGGCGCTGGATCCTGATCCTCGAGGGCATCCCGAGCGCGCTGCTCGGCGTGGCCACGTACGTCTGGCTGCCCAACGACCCGGCCACGGCGCGGTTCTTGGGCGACGCCGAGAGGGCGCTGATGGAGCTGAGGCATCGCAGGGAGTACGGAAACACACAGTCCAGCAGGGAGTTTAGCGCAAGGGATATGAGAACGGCGTTTCTGGACTGGAAGGTGTGGGCGTTTTGCGTGGCGCAGTTTGGCGTGGACACTATGCTCTACGGTATGTTGGTCGCCGCCCCGGTGGGAAGGTGTTGATGTGCTGCTGCTGACAATGTGGCCGGAATTGGGACCAGGTTACTCGACGTTTTTGCCAACCATTATTAAAGGCCTGGGGAAATGGACGCCGGCGCAGGTGCAGCTGCTCACGATCCCGTGCTACTTTGTAGGCGCGAGCACCTACATGGCCATTGCCACCGTGTCGGACCGGACGCAGAAGCGCGGACTGTTTTGCGTCGTCTTTGGCATACTCAGCGTCGTTGGCTACGCAGTCTTGCTGTCCAATGTGTCGTCGGGCGTGCATTATTTTGCGTGTTTCCTGGTGGCAGCGGGACTCTACGTTGTCGTCGGCCTACCACTGGCTTGGGTATGAACTATTTTCTTTATTCGAAAAGGGCTCACATGCAAAGCTCCAACTATGCTAACATTTTGCGGCAAGCTCCCCAACAATTCGCCTCGTTACGGCAAGCGAACCACGGCCACGGGTCTGCAGCTCACGATTGGCAATGCCTCTGGCATCATGTCGTCCTTTATCTAGTACGTAAAACACCCCCCAAGTTTCGCGACGACACTCCTGTTTTTGCTAACAAACTGAATGCGTGCAGCCCAACTCTGGATGCCCCGCGCTTCATTCGCGGACACGCCGTGACGCTGTCCATGGTATCCATGGGCACGCTCATCTATGGCCTGCTGTGGGCGTGGTACCGCGGCGAGAATCGGCGACGCGCCGCGGGGTTTGTCAAGGAGGAGTACAAAACCATGTCCGATGACGAGCTGCGGGAGCTGGGCGATGAGAGCCCTCGATTCACATACACGATATAACCGGTATGAAGCGCGAGCTGGGTGACAAACACTCTCATTCCACGTACATGATATAAACAGTATAGAGCACTAGACAATATAGATATGCATGAAAATGAAACGCGGCACACAATTGCTGCGACCTGCAGCATGGGCATGTGGTGGCGTTTCATGAAGGATTCTGTCTAACAAGTTGACAGCTACTTGATACTTGAACTACCCCGCGATCAAAGAAATCCAGTGAAAACGCCTCTGTTTTCATCCAACGTCTTGCGAGAAATGCATCCAATTGACCAGCCCAGGGGTAGTGCGGCCCGTGGCGCTCACGACTGGAATGTTTCTGTAGCAAGCACCCAGCAAATCTGGATGCGCTCTCACCCTTGTCTCTATTCCCAGACAAGAGAGGAAAGGAGAGGGCGCGTTATTCTGTGAGACTGAGGAATTTGATCTACCAGTACAAGGCCGTAAAAAGAAAGGGGTTCAGCTGGGCATGCGACTATTTTGTACACGGGCCATACTGAGTTACGGATACAGCAACTACAGCCAACCCCCCGGATACAGAATCATCTTGGAGACGGATAAGAATAAACGAACCGTTCCTTTCGAGGGATTCATTCCGGCAGTCGAGCGTCCCCCGGATACTTGGCGCTGCATCCAGGGCTGGGCAAGCAAACAAGATTGAAGGGCGGAGACGTTCTTGTGTGAGACATTGGAGAATTCCAAGACACTTGAGCATGGCCGCGTTCAAAGTCTCTCGTTTTTTTGTCTATGGGGAAAAGCAAGGAAAACAAGAGGCCCAGCTTCTTTTTAGTTAAAAGGCGGCGAGCTTGCCCTGCAGCCCTATGATGCATCCTTTTGCCTTCTCCCGCATCCTTCTTTCTTGGCTTTCTCAACTGCAGGGCTTGTAGAAGAGTCCATCACAACTTGTATTCGACGCCTTTTTTTTTTAATTGTTTCTTTTTTCTTTCTTTTCAGCGTTGCGCTTCATTTACACCGCAATCCCTTTTTTCCTTCCAATCCCTTTCTCGCCCCTCTGCAAAAAATGTCGAGATTCCTTCACATTGTCCTCATCCTCATGACCGCTCTTGGCTTCTGCCTCACCGCCCAGCAGCCACACCACATCAACGCCCGGCGCCTCGCGCACAGCCCCCGCGGCGCGGCGTCGGGCTTCATCGAGGTCGAGCACCCGACGAGCGTGCAGGACGCGCCACCGGCGGGCGACGTGGTCAGCCACCGCGAGACCAACAGCGGCGGCGGCGGCGGCGGCGGTGAGGACAGCCAGCCGCGCCCGACGCGGTTCAAGACGCCGGCGGCGGAGACGGTGCTGCCGACCAACACAAAGGTGCCCGTGGCCATGAGCACGGCGGCGGCGGCGGCATCGGGCACGAGTCTCTCGGATCCGGGCTTCATTGCGCTGGTCGCGTCGCTGGGGCTGATGACGCTGGGCATGACCCTCGTGTGAAGAGCGCGGCGGGGGGGGGGTTTGGATGCAACGCAGGATGTACATCAACAAGTGCCCCAGGGAAAAAGAAGGAGTTCAGGGGCGCGCCTCAAGTGAGACATTCTCAGACTTTTGGGGCCCCGGCACAGGCTTATTGGTTCTCGCAAAAAGAGGCCAGATACAAGCCGAGTTCCCCAGAACCAGCCACGCAAGACGGAAAAGGGGACTTGGTGTTCCGGGCGGAAAAACGGTGCCGCGGCCTCATCTTCGGGTTGCGTGAGAGCGAGGGCGGAAGTTGGGCAAGCCAGGTTACCGAATGTCTCTGATGGACGAGCGACAGGGAGAAAAAGCCCTTGCTCCAAGGGATGGCAACATGAGCCGATACCAAGACGTATTACAACCAGAATACCTTTTTTATTTTATTTTGTTTCCACACTGAAGCCTTTCAATATCATAGCAGAAGCGCACACTATTCACCAAATTGAACACAACCAACTATCAAGTACATTCCACAACGACTTGACAGGCCCGTGTTCTTGATAGATTCCGGCAACGACAAGCCGAGCCGCCAGTGCTAGTTAACATTGCGCTGTCTAACTCTGATACGCCGATCGACAGTGACGGGGGTCACTACGCGATCCCAATCGAGGAGAAGTGCGTGTTATTAATGAATCACCGACTGTCATCTCCTCAATCCGCATTTGTATCATTCTAGTCCTATCCATCATGTTGGATGTGGATAAGGTCGCGCGAGGGGGGGCTTACTCCTTTGCGACTTGCATCGAGAGGCTGAAGTAGCTGACCATCTTGCGGAAGATATGAAAGCTGCAGCCCTGACTGCAATTTATTCATCAAGAGTAATATTCATCAACACCAGCAATGATCTCACCTTGTGTGGCAGTTACCCCGCTGCGCGGCCACCATGTTGAACAGTAATTCGTATCCGTACTCGAGGTCTAAATTCCGTGCCAGCAGGTGTGGATACATTTTGCTGCTAACATTCGGTAGGCGACAACCAGAAACACCAGCAACCCCGCCACGAACATGTACTTGGGCATCTCAACCTCCTCAACACCACCCCGCACCCCGTAAGAACCCGTTCAACTCGGTCCAAAATGGCCCCCATAACGCATATTGTCATGTTCGAGTTCAAGTCCGACGTCACAAAGGCCCAGCGCGACGAGGTGCGACACAAGCCGGCCCGCTGCACATGCGTGCTGAGTGCTGAATAACAGGCTGACGGCGGCAAACACAGCTCAGCAAAGAGATGCTCGCGCTCAAGGACAACTGTATCCACGCCGCGACTCAGAAACCGTACATTGTCCACTCGCACGGCGGCACAGACAATAGCATCGAGGGCTTCCAGGTAAGCCGAGATGGCATGGGTGGATGCACTTCGTCACTCGTCAGGGAATCGCTTTGTCGAGGGCCTGAGCCGTTTGGGAGACGGCCTGGATGAACCAAGAACCCCCCGAGCGGACAAAGATGAAAAAAGACGTGAGACTGACCCTCTTTGCTAGCACGGCATCAGCCATGTCTTTGTCGTCGAATTCGCCTCTGTCGAAGACCGCACATATTACGTCAAGGAGGACCCTGTCCACAGCCGCTATGTCCAAAAGCTTCTCCCGTTTCTCGTCAAGCCCACTGTCGTTGACTTTACGCCCGGTGAATTTCACTAGTACAGAGTACAGAAGCTCCGGGGGAAGAACGAATCACGCCATGTAGTGCGGCTCAACGGAGCTTGTCGGTTTCGATATCTGTCTGGGTTGTACAGGCGCGTCAGCTTTAGTGAACCAAGGCTACACCATCAAGTATCAAAAACGCAATCAAAAAACTCTTTCATACCACGTCGTTGACCTTGAATCACTTGATCGCCTCCTATGCATTGATTCGTGGCCTCAATTATTTTCAAAGAGTCGCTCAGGGTAGGGTTGAGACGAGGGTCGTCTGGATCACCGTCTTGTACAATCCTGACAGACAGGTGGCCCCTGACAAAGCCCAATGTGTAGCGCAACGGACCACGTACATAAATAGCAGACATCACCCCGATATACCATCGCGAGGGCGTCTTCTCCCCGTACCTACACCTCTCCTACTGACCGGCCAAGATAAATATTGACGCCAGAAAACACTGTTACTGCCGCCCGCCGACTGAGACAACGACAAGCCACCACCGCCGCTGCCGGGAGTCATGAGAGCGTACAAGGTGTTTCTCATCTTCAAGGTGGGCGGGGACGACAACCAATGCGCGCTCTTCATCGAGACAGACCCGGACGGCAGCAAGGGCACCATCCTGGAGGTGGCGGGGGGGACCCAGCGCGGGGGCATGTACATGCGGCGGCGCTCGGAGATCGTGCTCGACGCGACGTGGGACGACGACGACAAGGACCACATTGGCTGGGTGCTCGAGGCGAAGCTCGCGCTGGTCTGGGGGGTGGTGTGCCGTGTGCTGCCGCCGGGCCACTGGGGCGCCAGGTGCCGCACCGCCCGCGAGTGGACGGAGCAGGTTACGCGCGCGCTTCAGACGCGTGGCGTCATGTCGTTTGAGCGCGGAATGGAGCCCACCGTCCACCAAGACACGGACACGGACACGGACACGGACACGGACACGGACACGGACAGCGAATTCGGCGAAGTCAGCGACGGCGAAGTCAGCGACGGGATCATTCTGTACATAGGTTAGGGTGCCCGAGGAGCACGAGTCTGAGATATCAGAGGAGGAATAGGAGAGGCACTAGAAATCATGCGGGGGTAGAGAGGATAGCGTTGGGGTGTGATATCGGGTGTTTGAGAATAGCTACCATGGATGATTATAAGTACAGCGCAGAGGCTTGATACTTGATTTAACAGAAACATAATTGAATAGCGTTCATCATGCTGGTCTTGCTCCGTAGCATGTTGCTAATAATGATACACCAAATCGTACCCACCCACCGTTTTTACATCCGTTCAGTTCATCGAACAAACTCCTTGAGGTCCTTGCCGTCCTCAAACGTAACTTTGCCATCCTGCTTAATCTCGGCCACCTTGATCACAGGCTCGTCCACTTTGGCCGTCTTAGCCGCCGCCGGCTCCAGCGCGTCCTGCACCACACCCGCCGGCGCGTCCGCAATCTCATTCACCTCTTGGCTCGACAGCACGTCGGCCATGCGGACGCCGCGGCTCGACATGAGAATCGTCGTCGGGCCCCGAAATTGCAGAAACAGCCGGTCGCCCCATATCGTCCTCCTCGCCATGGTGCGCAGCCCAAACAGCGCGCGCGCCACAAACCTGTACACGGCCGAGTCGCGGACTGTCTTGAGCCACGCCATTTCCGGCAGGAACCGGGCCACCGACGGCACCTGCAGGCGGAGACCTGCGCCGCTCTTGAAGCGAAACGGGCGCGGCGCGTGGCGCGACACCGAGTACGCGACGACGCTGCCCGGGTGCGCGACAAACGCCTCGTCCGCGGCCAGCGTGAGCTGGTAGACCTGGCCGGGCGCCGACACGGCGGCGAGGCCGCGGCCGGTGAGCAGCGTGGCGCCCCAGTGGGAGACGCCCAGGCTGGTCTGCATGCGCGGCGACGGCGCCAGCGTGTGGCCGGTCCACGCGAGCAGCGCGTTGCGCTGCGCCACCAGCCAGTCGGTCGTGCCGTCGAGGTGGATAACGGAAAAGGTCGTCGTCGGAGACTTGGTCGAGAGGAGCGCCGTGACGGGCGACGCGGCGGATATGCGCTGGTAGAGAAACGGAACACCCAGCGGGGCGCGGGTCAGAGGGTTGAGAATGGAGAGGGTCGATTGAGCCTGTTCTCTGGTCAGTCATTATCGCGCAGGACCATCATTGGGTTCGTACGTCTTCGGGGTTGCCAGCGAGCGCAACGAGAGTGCCTCGTCTCGTGTAGAGGCGTTGTGAGGGCGATAGCGTCACCGAGAGCAATGAATATGGCGAGCCGAGGACTTCGAATCGTGCGTCTAATCATCCACGTCAGCATCCCACCGGCACATGAGTTAGTTCAATCCGTCGCAGCGTACCAGCCATGTCGCGCGAGGGATCTATTGGCGTGCCAAACACACCCCCTCCAGCTCCGAGGCTGCCCCTCGGAGCTTCCGTGCTCGGGGCGGCGCTGATTTGAATCGCTCTGCATTGCCGGCAAATGTACGATGGCTGCGCGATGCGGAAGCCACGCATCGGCCGGATCAATGCGTTGTGACCCTTCATGTTGGCTGTAGTCGATGCGGCAGAGTCGACCAAAAAAAAAGCCGCGATGAGTTGCAAAGTTGCTGTAACGTCTTTTATTCCCGGAAGTACCCTATAGCTAAGGCGAGCGAAAGCGGGCCGGCCTTTCAGACGGCCCGAACGTTGCGGCGAGCTTCACGTGTCGGTTGCCTAGACAACGACGAAGCTGGTAACCACCAAATAACGGGTTAGTATACATTGAAACCACAGCAAAGTACAGTATCCAAGGTAGGTCACGGATGTATTAATAAGATCGACACGATTCACGACCAAGAATAACGCCCGCTTCGAAAGAAATCGAATACCCTCGAAATACTGGGGTCAATTGATTTATGAAATACACATAATCATGTCTGTTCGAGTAGTGGCCCGAATTCGTCCACTGCTGGACGGCGAGCACGACAAGGACATTATTGTCCACGCCGACAGCACCGAGGCTGGCAAGCCCAACACGATTGTCAAGATCCCCAGCCCCAAGAATGGTGCCGAGGAGTTTTCGTTTGCGTTTAACAGCGTCTATGACCAATCCACCTCGCAGGAAGCCCTCTACACTGCCGAAGGTAAGGGGACAGCTCAACTGGAGAAACAGCAACGCCTCCCGTACTGACCAGTTGCACAGTCCAGCCGCTTCTCAAATCGCTCTTCCAAGGCCTCGACGTGACCCTCTTTGCCTATGGCGTCACCGGCACCGGCAAGACGCACACGATGCGTGGTGGCCTCAAGCTGGCGGACCGAGGCGTGATCCCGCGTCTGCTGAGCGGCGTCTTCCGCCGGGGCAAGAAGATAGCCAAGGACACGGACGGCGGGACGAGCGTTGTTGTAGCGCTCTCGTACTACGAAATCTACAACGACAAGGTCTTTGACCTGCTGGAGCCGCCCGAGCAGCGGACGCCCATGGGCCTGCCGCTGCGCGCCGAGGCCGGCGGCCGCACCGTCGTTTGCGGCCTCACAGAGCGCCGCTGCGATGACCTGCGCGACTTTGAAACGCTCTACATCGAAGCCAACAGCAACCGCGTGACGGCGGCGACGCGGCTCAACGCGCACAGCAGCCGCAGCCACGCGGTGCTGCGCGTCAAGGTCACGCAGACGCGGGGAGACGACGGCAGCGTGCGCGAGAGCACCGTCTCCGCCATCGACCTCGCGGGCTCCGAGGACAACCGCCGCACGGACAATGGCAAGGAGCGGCTGGTCGAGTCGGCGGCCATCAACAAGAGCCTGTTTGTGCTGAGCCAGTGCATCGACGCGATTGCGCGCGGCGACCGCCGTGTGCCCTACCGCGAGTCCAAGATGACACGCATCCTCTCGCTCGGCCAGAACAAGGGCATCACCGTCATGATCCTCAACCTGGCCCCGCTCCGCAGCTACCACCTCGACACCCTCAGCAGCCTCAACGTCAGCTCCCGCGCCAAGCGCATCGAGGTCCGCGAGATTGAAAACGAGGTCGTCTACAAGCAGTTTCCCAAACCGAGTGTCGCCCACAACGTCGGGCCCGGCGGGGGCAAGCGTCAGCCGCTGCAGCCGCTGGTCAACGCCCACAACGTCCTGAGTGGCAACGCGGCCGCGCCGCGTCCCGTCAAGGCGTTTAGCGTCTTCACTGATGAGCTCAAGCCGTTGCCAACCGCCCGCTCATCCCTCGCCACGTCGGACCTGCGCAAGACCAGCCCCTTGAAGCGCACCTCGGACCAGGCACCCACCAGTACGCGGCCCTCGAAGCTGGCCCGCCCGTCGCTGCTGCCGTCCTCGCTCTCGAGCAGCAACGGGTCCATCACAATGTCCACCGCGCAGATTGAAGCCATGGTGGAGAAGAAGGTTGCCGAGGTCCTCGCTGCGCGCATGGCGGCCGAGTCACAAACCACCACCGTCATGGCGCCACCGCCGCCGCCGTCAACCGATGACGCCATGAAAAGGCGTCTGGAGGCGCTGGAGCGTCGAATCGAGGCCGACGAGCGCCGCGAGGACGCCAAGTCGGACGGCCTGCGGTACCTGCTTGCGGCGCGCCAGCACAAGACGAGCGGCGATGAAGCGGCGGCGCTGCGGGCGTACGAGAGCGCGCTGCCCTTTTTCCCCGGCCAGGCCAGGCTCGTGGGGAAGATAGCGCGCCTGCGTCAGCGCCTCAACATGCCGCCGCGGGCACCGTCAGCGCCCGTCGCGGCCGCGGCCAAGGCGGCTGCCCAGGCAGCAGCAGCTGCCGTCGCTGACGATGTGACGTCTCTCGTCGGCCAGACGCCAGAGAGACGCCGCATGTCCCGGCTGCCCGTCGTGCAAGACGCTGCGGGCAATCTCACGGCGAACCTGGATGTGACGAGCACAATGTCATTTGATTTCAGCGCGCGTACAAGACGCATGTCGCGATTCAACGTGCATCCCATGCCGGCAAACTAGGACACTCGAAAGAGTCATGCTTGCCGCGTGGGCCATTTAAAAAAGGTGGCATATTAAAAGGGCATACTGTTATCGTGCTTTGTACCTCTTTTTCCCCTTCATCTTTGCATGGTTATGGTTGTTTTTTGGAGCATGACGAAAACAAGGCGGATACCAGCATCATTTCATCTCCGCATGAGAAGAACTTGGCTTTGGATAAAGAGCCAATTTGGCGGACTTTCGGCGTTTTCTTTGGGAGGGAGTTGGGGAACTTGGTTGATATTTGTTTGTGATTTTGGGGCGATGAGAGGACAAGTTTTTGGTTGGATTTGTTGGCTTGCCTCTTATGAAGTCATGTGTTTGAATAATTTCAAGTCTAAAGTAAACAACAAGATGGACAAATAAGCACGACTCAAGATGAAGAAAAATACTGGTTCGTAGTGCGCTGCGTGGTTGCATGGGACGACGTGTGCAGTGGAATTGGAAGCCTTCTCATCCTCTCATTTTGCTCCTGTCGGCCATGGCCAAGTCGGCCCATGAAGGAGGCGACAAACGGCATTCCCCGGTTTGATGCACCGGTTTGATGCACCGCTTTACATTGACGAGTTCTCTGCCTGAGCATGTTCCGACTCGCGTTTCATGCCGGCACCGCCTCCTGTACTTGGGCAGCACCCCAGCTCATTCCCAAGTCGCGGGGCAGCACGCGACCACGGAAATTTGGCACCACGCCGGATACACGGCAAGGCTGAAAAAAAGCAAAATAAAAGTAGATAAGTAAAACAATATATCTGTAGTAGGGGAATGATGGAAGTCTCATTCTGTGGTCGCGGTTGACATGGTCATGGTGTCTATTCTTAGAAAGTCGCTGTCATGCAGTACCGTGTCATCCATCGCTACAAGGTGCGCTATCCGACGACCCAAAATCATTGTGAAACATGCATGACAAGACAAGAGCAAAAAGGCGCAAATGTAGATTCGCTGTTTGCAAAGCCAGTCGTACCAAGACCGAGACGTCGGACGGAGCCACGTGAGGCACGGAGCACTTGAAACGGCGGCGGCGAGAAAAGGTCTCGGGCATTCGACATCGAACCCCCTCCACCCGCACACGATTCGTGCGTGACTCAGGCGTAACCTCAGAGGGAAGAGTCCAGAAGACAAGGCAGAAGCCAAAATGTTAACAAAAATCAATTGAATTGAACAAGTGTATTGAAGCAATAGCCAAACAAAGAAACTGGTGTTCGTGATAGAAATACACGCACAATCATGTGCAGTGTGAGGAAATTCGTAACCAAAGGCCCGCATATGATATATAAGCCCATCTAGAAAAGAGCCCCCTCCATGAAACCCCAAATAAGAAAAAAGTTGATAAAAAGGGAAGGCGTAAAGATGGCAGTGGTTAAAGATGAGGGATGTAAAAGAGTGCCAGGGCTATGATGCACCCACGAAATGCGGAATAAAACGCTCAACTCCGAAAGCGAAATGAAAGGCCATGATCAGTTGTGTGGCAGCCATCCGGCTGCTTTTTTATCTTCCCGCTTGTTGTCAACGTTGTGCATCACCACTTCTTGTCGAGCCATTGGACGGCACTCCGTCGTCGGTCGCTGGCCGAGGTCTGCGTGGTGGTGCTGCCGTTGAACGAGGGCATGGAGCTGAAGCGGTTGAGACGCTTGCGTTCGGGCATCTGGGTAGGCGAGGCGTCGTGGTCATGGCCGTGGTCCATGAGGGGGGAGGCGGGCATGCCGCCGCGGAGCATGCTCGACTTGCTGGCGGCGGCTGAGGTGCTGCCAACGTGCTCGCCGTGGAGGGCGTCGGTCTGATGAGGGGCAAAGGCAGACTCGGCGGCCGAGGAGGAGCCGGTGCTGTTGGGTGTCTGGTAGACGTATTCGCCGTCGACGTAGATGGCGTTGGAGACAAAGGTTGAGCGGCGGTGGCGGCGGCGGGTGTAGTGCTGCTCGAGGCGGAAGAACTCGAGCTTGGCCTGGATGCGGTCGATGAGGCTGCGGCCCATGCTGGCGAGTGGACGAGTGTAAGTTGGAGAGGCGTAGGGGAGAAGCGTTAACGGGGTGGCAGCGCCAAGATTGCTTCTTTCTTCTAGAAAAAGGAAGCTCTGGCAGCCAATTGTCGACAGGAGTTTGACGCGGAACGGCCGGTTGCAGGTTGATGGCGTGAGACACGGCGAGAACGTTGGATCTAAACGGCTAAAGGAGAGACAGGACGTTGGAGGATTCAACAACGACGACAGTATTTTTTCGACAAGTTTCGAGAGAGAGCGTTACTTTTTCTTGGAGAGGCGGGGAAGAAGAGAGACAGGAGAGGGGTGCCAGGGGCGGCAGCAAGATGGGTTCTTATCGAGGCGTTGCGACGAACGAAGGACTGGGAAGGGGCAGGTCCGGGTTGCCTGCATGAAAAAGAGGCTGCGGCTCGTGGGGGAGAGGGGCTGGTGTGGGAGGGCAGAGCGGTTAGAAGAAAAAAAAAGAGGACGAAGCCACAACCGAATGCTGGAGGAAGAGGAGGAAAAGATAGAAACAAATAACTCCGTATAATAATTATTATATTAACCAGAACCCGCAAGGTGCGTTAGTGTGCCTGGGAGACGTACGGCGACTGGTCGAGAGACAAGCCGTTAATAAGCTTGCAGGGGATGAAGAGGGGACGGCTTTTGGAGGTACAAGTTCCCTACAGGTATATCTTAGGGAGGTTGTGCATAGGTGTTGCACAGACGGTGCCCTTGACGATACTTGTACGATACGCAGATCCTTGCGACCTCCCATGCGGCTAACAGCTGCTGGGGCCAGGCACCATCGCCGTTTGTTGGCAGCACTTTGCAACTGTACAACATTAGATGGCACTTGGCTTCTCTCCATTCTCCTCGTGGGAGCCACTCGCATGAAGCACGCCGTCAAGCGCTTGACGTTTCTACCAGCAGGTTTTTCTTCTCTCCCTCTACCTACCTATCTATCTGCCCACATCTCTGTTTGTTTTGTTCCCCGTCGTCAATCTAGCTGAACAAACGCAGACACATGATACTAGCAAACGCTGGTCAAAACAACAAAGAAAACATCCCCAAACAACCTGGCCGAGACATGGGATCATTTATCATTTGACTTTTGGGGTCGGCTATCATAACTAGCCCCTGTTAGCACGCAGAGACCGCGCAACGGCCTGTTCACGCCACGAGATAATTAGTTTCCTGCGCTGGTGCCCACCAACCACGCGAGCCAACCCACCGTCCAACCTTGCACACAACCACCAGCTGCTCATTTCCAGGCGAATCACTGTCACACCTCTGACTATCGTCATACTGGCACCAGTAGATGACGGCCCTGGTTGCCAGTGCCCTGTTCCTGGGCAACCTGTCGAGCAGAATGGCATAGTTATTCAGCTCCTTAGCTTTCGAGACCGCGTTGAAATGCCCACCAGCGCCAGCCACAAGAGCGCCAGTCGCACGCTATTCGAGTTTGAGCCAGTCGGCGCCGAAAAGTTCCCACCACATTGCTGTCGAGCAGATTATCAGCGACTTGGCGCAGCCCCTGACCCGGTTTTCGCTGCGCTATCAGCTCCAACGGTTGGCGAGCTGAGTGCCACCACCTGAAGTATGGACGACGCCCCCAGCTTCCAAAATCCTTCCACGGATCCCTCACCACCTGCGAACGAACTCGTGGCAAGCGCTGGACTCCGTGCTCCTTCCAGCCAGTTGCCAGTTGCCGTCCACAGACCAACTTGGCAGGGCCCGGCTCGGATGGGGGGTTTGTCTCGCCCGGTCCTGTTGCACCACACACTGTCCAACTGCCAGCTCGTCTTGTCCTCGCACTCGTACACAGTCTGGGTGAGCACAATGCCACAACCATTTGATTGGCTGCGTAACTAGACTACAGTGCATGCTCAAATGCAGGGGGTATGCGTGGTTGTGGAATACCGCCAGATGGATAAGAATAATAAGCTGCTCAGCGCTACGGGCCTACAGGCACCGCGGCCTCGCACCACACTCGTGTCATCGTAGCCAAAGGCTACGGTTGCCGATGTCGTTTCGGCAGCCGCTGTTTGCAGTGTTGCAGTGGGATGCAGAACTTTGTTTCAGCACATCTCGTATGAGAGGACTTGAACAGCCGCGGACGAGACTTGGCACAGGTCTGGGCCTCACTTGTAACGACCTTGAATGATGGTGACGATTAGGTATGAAGACCTCGCCTGGCACTTTTGTTACAGTGCCAGAATTGGTAGGCAGACGCCAGGCGAATCGACAGCCACTCAACTTACACTGCTAGTAGCGCCCCACCGCCGCATTCTCTCCATCTCGCCAATCCTTGACCCGATAGTATTTGTCAAGTGCAATAATTCTGTCATATAAGTAATATCGCATCTAGGTATCCTGGTGTATGACGGGAGCGGTACTTGTGATCATGGGTGTGGTATTTGAGATCACGTCAAGGAGGTGCCGACAATTTACCTAGCGGAACGTAACCGCCGTCTCCCAGGGCTCTGCTAAGCGGTGCCGAGCTTGATGTCGCGCGTCGGCGCAAATGGTGAACTTGGTGCCTGCGCCCATGATTGGGGCGATATCCTTGCGACCGGGAGTAAAGCAGGCGCTACAGTCGGATGGCCATGGCTTGAACTAAGCTCTGGTATTTTGGCCTTGGGTCCGGACAGCTGCTAGCATGCATGTCACTCATTGAGCACAGGGACAATCTGCATTTGTAATACCAAAAAAGAGTTTGTTTCATCTCTATAGTAGCCGTGTTAGGCAGCAATAGGTGCCAACCAGTCGCTACTATAGGCTGTAGTGTAATCAGATCATTAACCATATAAAATCAAAGCATGGAAACGTGTTGAAGTTACACATTTCCCAAAGAGGTCCGTCAGCATGCCTTGTTGACGGACCTAAGAATGTAAAGTGTTCAGTTATTCATGAAAATCATTCCGTGATCATTTCATGCATTTCTGTCCCAGCCTCGTCTGGGTCCCCGCTGTCATGTCGATAGCGGTAGTTCAATCCAATTCAATTCAAAGCGCTTGACGTCTCTCGACGTCCAAAAAAAGGGGGGCTTTCGAAAAACCCCAAAAGATGACAAGTTCACCCAGTCTATCACTTCTTACACTAGTAAGCACAAGCACACCGAAACGGGGGGGGGGTAATACTTACAGCTGGGCCACCATTCTGCACCGGGGCCAATTCTGCTTGTTGGCGCTCTGGTGATGGTGATGACTACTGAGAGTCGGTCGTCGGGTCCTGGGCGGAGCCGGACCGCGTGCCGCGACGAGATGTCGGGAGCGGCGTGCGAGGGGAGGTTGGTGCCATGGCGATGGGTGTAGCAGCCCGTTGCGGCGGTTGAGCTGAGCCTTGCCGGCCAGGGGGGGCCGACGCCTGCGGCTGAGCGGCGGCGAGCGTCGGGCGAGGGGCGACGGCGGGTGCATTTCGTTGCGGCGGATGAGCTGAGCCTTGCCGGCTCGGGGGGGGGCGACGCCTGCGGTGGGAGCGACGGATGAGCGGCGGCGAGCGTCGGGCGAGGGGCGATGGCGGGCGCATTTCGTTG